TTATGTCGTACCTGTTTCTTGGCGCTGTGTCGTCTGGGGCTCTGGGCTGGTTTTAGCCCGAACTGTTGACTTCAAAAAAATGGGAATACATTTAATAATGTAATTAAGGGCGGTCCCCAGTCAAAAACTCTGGCCATCTTCGATAAAGTTTGATTCCTTTAATATATCTATGAATAATGCTACAATGATGTATTTCAATATTCACTAAATCAAATACAACTAGCTATATAGCACAATAAGCTAACGAAAAAACAACACACCTTCTCTTGGCTATCATGCATGATCTTATTCTAGTAGTTTGTTCGGTGATTTAAACCTTTTGGAGTAAAATCCGCCGGCCAACATATAGATATCGTTGGTGCATGCGCTGAAAGATTGCCTGCATGGTTTATAGAATTTTCACGCGTTTTCCGACCATCAACATGCAGATCATAAATAAAAAAAACGTTAATTATCTTGAAATACATTTCTCGCGTTTGCATTTCAAATTACATGATCTGAAATGGTTAAGTTTTATTGGCTATTCCATTGTCACAACATCTGAAATGAGTTAATTTGCATGCAAGCCGAGACGGTCTATTGTTTAAAACTAAGCTACTTTCTAAAACTTACCAAATTTAGAAGTTTATAGTGATCAAAACCTGCATTTCTCATCAAATTTACTACAGGTTCTTCTGAATAGGAAGTGTTGAGTAATTCACAATTTCTTTCTGCTGTAGACTTTGTGTTTTTCTTGTAGTTTACAGATCTGCATGAATTTCCATAGTTGTAACATGCAGCGATGCAATACTTTTCCGACTTTTTGTCAATATACATGATTCTCGATGCATTACTTTTCAGGCGGTGACCTTTGAAAATTGTGAGAATAAAACACGTACTTGTAGCTCTAAGGCCTGTTCTAGACGTCAAACTTTTCGTATGTCGAACCCAATGTTAATGAGCTTTGTTTAGGTTTATAAATAACATTTAACTTAGCACATGAAAAGTTCGACGTCTGAAACTGGCCAGTGCAACATGACTGTTCTATTATAAATCTCATCGCTATGTACGCCCTTCAATAGTGATCAAGGGATTTTTTCGACACATGCCAGAGGGAAGAAAACGCCTTCGGTAGAGGATGGAAAAGCAGGTTCTAGCATGAAGCAGCCAGGCATAAACTGAACTAATCTCATTAGTAAGCTAAATTGACTTCAAGCAAACTTCAAAAGAGAGCGAAGTTATCGTTCCAGTTTCCTTAGAGTTTACTGCATCAATTTGATATCTCTCCTTTGTCTCATCATAACCAAAGCGGTATAAGGTTATTCCTCTCTGAATTCTGAAATCCAGTTTTTGTTTGAGTGCTTGATGCGTGAGGGCTGCCCGCCGCTTTCCACTGTCGCGTTTTTCATACGCACGTACACGCACGTAAAAGTCTAAATCCTTATAATTATACATGTAGCTAGTATTTGAAAAAGCTATGTTATTAAAATTGAGTTTTCGGCACATCTTAGTGTGCATTTGTTGAGCAATTCGTTAAATGATAACAATTTGGAAGCACTTAATGTTTTCCGCGCGTAAAAACGCGACAGTGGAAAGATGGCCTAAGTTCATCAGCGCAAAAACATTCCTCCTTATCCCGTAGATATTCTTAATTTTAAAGATTAGGTTCTCAATAAATACACATGCGTGTCCAGGCTCTACACAAGCTAGTATAACGTGCAATTATCTTATAATAATAATATACAGTTTTGAATTCGTAGCTTTCAATATAAATTAGCGACTATGTAAAACCCACCTATTTTGGAGCGATCAAAACAAATGCGGATCTCTTCTCCAAAGGTTTCAACATTCAAATTTGCCACAATCCATAAACCTAGAAGAATATGAATTAAACTCTGTGTCCAGACTTTGCAAGATGAAATGAAAACTGCTCCGGCCATCTTCTTTTGAACAGCTGCAATGCGACGTGACGCTTATTATAATTTTTAGCAAAAACAATATTCCTACAGCAGAAATATTTCATTTAATCATTTAATCATTTTGTCACAACACAATACAATTATTACGCATATACATGTACGATAACAGAGGACATAAGTGTGACAGAGGAAAGGAACAGGACTTGCGTCCCAATTGACACCTGACCCCAATATTATAACTGGACTTTATATTACACAAATAACACTTATTTTAAGTTATAACTTATAAATCTAAGTAAAGCCAGGAGGGCTGTAAGAAGTTAACTTAGAAACATAATAATTACGAATACTAACTCTGAAAGAGTTAAGCGAGCCACAGGTTTTTAGATATATATTGTGACACGATTATATACAATAAAATTCCCCCGAAATTTCTCTCAATTGCGTGGAAACTTCTGCTTGCACGAAAGTCGAACTGTCGAATATCTTAAAATTAATAAAGTTAATTGCTGAATTTAAAAACATTTAAAATTAAGATAAATTAAAAACATTTTCTTTTTCGGTATATTTTCTTTAAGTTCCGTTTAAGACGTCGAACTTTTCATGTGCCGAACCTAATGTTAATGAGCTAAAGTCTTTGTTTAAGTTCATTTGCATTCGATTCGGCACATGAAAAGTTCGACGTCTGAAACGGGCTTAAGCATTTGTTGACTTTAGCTTCTTTCTAATACAACCAAAGTTAAAATGAATATTTAAACAAATGGCATGACATAATGTGGATAAATTTATATTTTTAGAGAAGTATAAGCAGCAACGAATTGCAAATATTTATATTGTAGGATATTTAATAAGAAAAGTTATATTGCTGGATCCGGTTGTATCAGGCGCGTTTGGTTTGAACGGTAATATTCGAGCTAATTTACTTATTTCAAAATCTACAAGTTGCCTCATTCAAGAGAGATGACAGGCCCGTTTCAGACGTCGAACTTTTCCTGTGCAGAACCTAACGTTAATGAGCTAAAGTCTTTGTTTAAGATCATTTGCATTTTTTTCGGTACATGAAAAGTTTTACGTCTAAAACAGGCCTAATAGTGCATGTTTATTAATTTTTGCTTATCCACCGTTGGGCTAAACGGGCTTGATACAAGTTAGAGTAGAGTAGAGTATAGATGTAGGCTTTACTTCAAACGTTTGCATGGAATGCATTACAGAGTCAAAATCAACAAACGTCAAAGTGAGTCCAAATTAGTTTGTCAAAGTCCAAATATCATGAAACACCTGCGTGTTAAAAGTATGTAATGCAAGTTGACTAATCAGAAGCGTATCTGAAGGTAAGTTCATGACATTGGCCATGACATGGCAATTGCTGAGAAAGATCCTTCCTGAGTACTCCTATTAAAATAGTAACCATGTAAACTGACGAACATACATGCAATAAGCCGCCCAAATTTGCGTGATAATTCGAAAATCGAAATTACTGTAAACATATTATGCAAATGCCGTTTTTGACAACACGTACGTTGACCGGAAGTAAAGTTTTTGTTTTTCACCAATCACATGCAATCCTTGACCCGGTCTTTTGACGTTACTCTTGCCGTTTGTGTTGTAAAAAAACGTCACTTGCATGTTTAACCTCACTGAGTCACTGTTAACTATTTGTATACGATCAATAAAGATCCATTTGATTAATTGATTGCGATGCGAAATGATAGTTGGATAGGTGTGCATTTCCATGCACTTTAGGTACTTACCTTTAGGCTGCCGTTGACCCCATAGAAAAAAAATAATTATTTATCCCTGCTGGCTGCTGTATAGGACACAGTACAACTTTTCTCTAACTCGTTCCTTTGGAGAAAGGAGAACTTTGAGAGCGGCAATTGCTGTAACAATTTCCTCTTTGCCAAGATCAACGTGAATCCATGATTAGTTTTGATTGTTTGTATCTTTGGGATACCAAGAGGCTGCCGCGTTTAATCTCTCTTTTGCTGTAGAAAATCCATGTTGATGATATGACCTGCATGAGAATTCTTTATCCTGCCATGCGAAACCTCACTGGTGTTGCAAGAACCTTGCTAAAGGAAATAAGAATAATATTAAGTAATTTTGTCTTCTGTAATTGCGTAATCCTCTTATTTGATCCCTGCTATTTGTAGGAGTTTATATGGTATCAAAACTTTTAAGCCACGTACAGACGGGCAAGTTTACCTTGACAAGGTTTCTTGACCACTTGACTTGCTGGTGTGTATGCCACAGTTAATAGAATATACATGGTTGAAGAATAAATAAAAGTATACAATACAACTCATTATAACTATGCTATTGTCCAGGTTTATGCAAAAATTGGTTCCTTTCTCGTCACGTGTCTATTGTTTTTTCGCCAAACGTACCAATGGCATTCGTCTTGCTAAGCTCCTCAACCTTGACTTGAAAGATATGTTAATTATAAGATTGCTATTGGTTTATCTGTGTAAAATACAATAGGCAATTGATGAGAAAGGAACAATTTTGTGCATAAATCTAAATCGAATTGTATTGTAGTTTTAAGTGGTCTCCAAACCATGTATATTCTATCAACTATATAATGATATGGCGAACAAGTTTTCGTTGACAAGTTTTATTTGCTCGTGTGTACGCGAAAAACTTAACAAATTTTTCTTGACAAGTTTTACGAGAATATGATAATATTTTACGATAATATGAGGCATGATAAATGAGTATATGACCGAATCTCAAAACAAACAGAAATGATAAAACTTCAAAAATCCACTCGATTGGCTCGAAGATTGTTGCGCTGTTCCCTACTGCGCAATTCCTTGTCAAGTTTTCCTTAACGGCCGTGCACACGAGCATTTCAGTTACCTATCACAATTTCACCCAGGGAGGATGGGATAACATAATAAAGCTCGCTCCTTCGTCGCTTGGTCCACACTTTTAAAAAGCCTCGGTCTGATATTTCACAGTAACGACTAAACAAGCGAGGTCAATAATCTGTTTATTATATGGCTGAACTGCATGAGACATCCGGGATACTGGTCCAGATACGGAATATACGCACCTCGGTCCGGATACGAGTTTTCACGGACAGCTCGCCAACCAATCAGAATAGAGGATTTTGCAAAGCCGTATAATAATGTTTGATACTAAAGTTGTAATTTACATTTTTTAGATTTCTGGCAATAACTATTTTCAAAATTCATTTTTATTGCAATATTGGTAAAATTAATGCATCAAATTGTAAATATCTATCGTTTCTAATTAAAGGTGCCATTTGTTACGAGTTCCTCCAGGATATTTTTCGTCTCCGAAGGACTTTTCACAGTATGTCCTATGGTCCTCGGGTCAGTATAAATCTCATAATCATTACCACCCTATAAGGAAGGACAAATATTATTAGATGTCAGGGGCCTGGTGTAAGAAAGCTGGATAGCGCTAGGGATAGTGGTTTTTTCAATCTCGCTAAAACTATTCGTTGTTTGTCCGGTGTAACTTTGTCGAAAGTCGAAACCTTAGTATTCTTAAGTTGGGGATTCTTTTTAATAATTATTAGCAATGGTTAGCTAAAAAACTGTAATTCTATTGCTTTTCAAGTATTTTTACAACGGTTGAAAAAATCACCTCCTGCTAAACCTGCCTTCGTACAACCGACCGGAAGAAAGGAGGAATTTCGTTTTAAACTAATCGGCAAGTGTATCAAATCTCGAATAGTCCCTTGGGCCAGCTGTGCCCCAGGACGGGGGGAGGGAAAAAAGAACATAATGTATAAAAATGGCGGGCAAGCTGTGTTGTTGCCATTGTCATTGAACATACGATTATTTTGTTGAGTTTATGTCATTTTGTTTAAATAAAGTTCTAATAATCAATTAACAATCAATAATCAATCAACTTTAACGAGGGAAACACTGAACAGTATATCAAATGACTAACAAGTGGCCCTAATAAGCGACTGGTTTGTGAAGAATTCGTGACAGCAAGTTTGTTTACATTTTTCAGGCTGGAAAAACAATCAGAATGCATAAATGTGTAATACTTCGTGTAAAATTTTACATGGTGAATAATGTACCTTTTTACCGAAAGTAGTCAAAATTTATTAATCCTAATTGGGTTATTTAAAACGTAAACAAATTTCCTGATTGCTCAAAAACGAAAACCTCCTTGTTCCGGCGCTAAGTAATGAGTTTCAGCATTATGAAATATGCAATGCTCGACTAACCTGCCAAGTTTTGTCTCCAAAGAAGTGAATTTGTTTATAACCTTCGTCTGTTAAATGGTTTAAACAATATGTTTTATCCCAGCCGATGGGAAAAACATCGAAACTAATCTGTCCTCCGATGGAGAAGTGCAAGTTATAATCAGCAAACTGTTTTTTCAGGACCTCAACAAAATCTCTTCTCACATTATGGATCTGTGGAAAACAATAATTAATGATTAAAATTGATTTAATTAATATTTAACTATTGATTTGATTGGTTGAAGGTCACGTGTAGAAGAAAGCCTGCTATTTCTAACGTGTCAAGGGAACATTGATTTAATTGGGTTTGGCTAACACCGGATTATATGCAAATGTATTTCAATACATGTTTCATATTCAATTCATACAAATACACATTTTTTCTTGAAGACTCGCTACAAATCAGACACTATTTTCAAATCATCAATACACCTTTCTCAAAATGACGTCAAACGAAGAAAACCTGACGTTATTGGCTCGTTGGTTTTTTCCGAGCCAATCAAACTTCGTGGAAAATTCTGCGACCTTCCGCGCTTGACGTGTTATGAGAAAGGTCTTCTATCCCTTTCTGAAAATTATATCTCACCTTATCGTACTTCTCAAAGTCGTCACGTTCATCTTTAGAACAGTTTCGACCAATCGGAGAAATATTTATTAGGCCACTTCGAAACTCTACGAATGTACCCCTAATGTGAAAAATATTTTAAAAACATTGAAAACATTGTGTAGAAAATAGCAAGAGAAGTTAAACTATGAATAACTGGCCTCGTGGTAAAGACAGTGGGAAGTTTAAGATCTACGACGCTGTTATAGTTTGACGTCGCTTGTGAAATATTCTGCTTGAAATAAGCTACGGCATATGGTAGCATACTACCAGGACTTTGAAATAATCATGCAAAAGTTTCAATTGTGCTAAGAACCTCCTATTTTTAGCTGATATTACAGTTTCATATAAGCTGTAAAACAGCAATCACTTTGCAGCTGCTCTCATGTCGTCAAGAACTCGAAGAAGCCGTGAAATTGCTTCATTTGAAGGCGTCGTAAGAATTGCAACGCTGTTCTGGGACCACAAGTTATGCATAGCTATTGTCTCGCGTGTGGTGTTTCCTTTGTTTCGTAAGCGCGCCGTTAATTTTTAACGCCCTCTAGTGACCAGTGCCAACGATACGCATCCAATTTAATGATCCTTACCGCTTAATAGGTATTGATATTTCAGATAAATACTTCAGGGTAAAGTTGATAAATTTCGTAATCTTTTCTTCCCCGAGAAATGACTTGATATTCTGTTGATAAAAAAAAGTATTTCGAAGCTTCCTGTATATATAACTGGTTTGAAGGTTGTCCCTGACGATTCAAAACCTCAAACCCTATAATTAAGTAATGAGTACTTAGGGTTTAATTAGCGTGAAGTGAGACTGGGATTATTTTCAACCCATGAAACGTGATTGTCTATTTAGTAATCCGTGATCGAAAGGTTCAATGACTATACGTGACCTTGAATAATAGTTAACCTCGTCCTTGGTTATATAACTTCATACTTTTGACAGGAACTTAAAAGTTTTGACAGGAATCAGAAGTGAATGTGAATTTTTTTAAGATTATACGTGACATTTAATTGGGGTTAAGTACTGTGAATGCAGTGTAAAAAGGGGTTTTGGCCTTTGGGAGGACCCTCAGTATTAGTATAGGCTAATGGGGTTTACATACTGTGTAAAGGTCAACACTAAGCAAACTAGATCAATTGAAGGTAGGTTTTGTAGCTAAAACTACAGGTTTATTATGACAAGTGTACCCTTCAAAGTTCTTAAAGAATTGTCACAAAGAACAGGGATTTCTAGCCCCCTCCCCCCCCCTGCGGAACAAATTGTTCAGTATCTAAGCTTCGCTGGATTACCCCCGCATTTTCATTTTCTTGCATAGAGATCTCGCTAGGATTGTGGGAACCTTAAATATGACCAACCTGCGTTGAATGATAACAGCCATGCTTGTAGGAAACTAAGCCGTTTTCTGGGAACAGATAGTCATACTGTTTGAACACTAGAATTGAAGATAGAGAATTAGAATAACATTATAACCAGACTTAATATGATCACAATATTCTTGTTCACTTCAGACTTACCATCCCCTCCTCCAAGCTGTTCTTGAACCTTGGAATAGTCAGAACCACCAACCATACCAATGTCAACCTTATCCCGTAATTGCGCTAAGAAGTCTTTCATGTCATTTGTGATTACCTGAAATATATTACCTTAGATCTTGAGATTTCAGAATGAATACTTGAATGACATAAAAATATGGTGTAATAGCAATCAGTGAATATATGCAGTGAGTTTGAGATTTCTGAGGGATGATATTTAACTAAGATGAAGCTTGAATCAACCATCATATTTACTTTTGATGGATGTTTTATACTCTGTTGACTTGCAATATATGTTAGGTAGTAAATCAGCTAAAGCCACACAGTACTGCTTTATCAATGAGAGACTACATTCCATATGTCAAAAGTGGATTAAATCCAACAAAATTGTTGGCAAAGTCGAATATAAATTTGTTCATCTTACAGCACGTGTAGATTAATTAAAAAAAGTTTTTTTAAAAACATATGATAACCTAGATTAATTTACAAATGGGCAAAATGGCCTTTGTCTTGAAGAATATGGTTGTTGTTTAGAAGATTGACACGTCCACTAGCATTCTGTACATGAATTTACAAATTTTCAACATACTGTAATCTGAACAATCATAAGTGTGGAATAGTGGATGACCTCACCTGTCGTGGTAGTGTGACTGTACCATCCACATCAAACAAACACAAAATTTCATTTCTGGCCTGAGACATTTTCGGACAATATGCACACACTAACCGTTACAGACACAACAAGATTTTGACGATTTAGTTTAACTTGCCACGTTTACATCTCTTTCATGTTCTTGAAAATCTTTGTATACACACAAACTAAGATTGTTTTGTGATGTGGTTTGTTATGGTTTCCACATCTTAAAATTAAAAATTCATTTTCAACGTGGAAGAGAAATATAGTTTCCTAATGTGGAAACACGTCTCTCCGTTGTTTGCACCCAGATGAACAGATGTATGTTAAATTGAAACTTTTAAAAATTTAATACCTAATAACTCCATGTCTGGAATTAGTGGAATATAATACACTCTTCCCTGATTTAATCCTTTGAGGTTAGCAGTTGGGTAGGGATTAGGATTAATGTTAAGATTATATTCTTGAAATCTGGTCATTGAATTACCACCATTACTACCATATCAACAGACCAGTTTACCGCCGCCGTTTGTTTCTTTACATGTTATATTTCTGCTGTTCTCTTTTCCATACAATAACAGTTCCCTATAATAGACGATTTTCAATAAAAGTCGATGTTAATGAAATGTTCACAAGGGATTACTACGGGGATCAAACAGTTCACTTTCTGTGGAATATATAAAACTAGTGTGTTTCCACGTTTAAACTACACAAAATTTACCGGAAATATGAGCTACTTTAGTGCGTCTTGTTTCAATATTTTATTTTAACTGATCATAAGTACTCTGATGTAACCCAGGCCTTACTATACCCACCTACATGAGCTATAATTAATGCCTGATAATTTTTCTCTCAAGCCATAGATTACAAATTTCTTCTCACCTCAGAATCACAAGATGCTAACAGACTTTCATCATAATTCCAGCAAACATCCACAACTGGTGCTGAATGGCCGAGCAATTTATTCACGCAGGGTTTCTCTGCCTTCTCAACATCAAAGAAATACACCGCCATATCTTCACTCCCACTCACTAAACAACAAACACGACACACGGTTCACTTTCTACTGGGGTGTTCGTTTTACTACCAGGGGCAGGTTGTATGAAAGCTGCATGCACTTTTAAATTACCTGTAGCTCGACACAAACCATTAAAAAGTTTTGCATTCTTAAAGAAAGTATTAGCATGAAAATTTAGTTACGATTATTGTTCTATGACTCAGGTGAGATTAATGTTGTGATTGTGCACCTATGAAATACTAACTGCGCAAGCCTCAAAAATAGCTTCACCACGGCGGGAAACAAACGAGCAAGCTTTGGTTTCTAGTCAATGTTCTTCTAACTGAGCTATAACTAGGTCAGGATAGTTCGAATAAGCGATATTTCAAAGTTCCGTCCATATCTGCGTGTCTTTATGTTGATGATGGTGTCTATGACTCAGGTGTGATAATATTGTGATGGTGCTACTCCGAGTTACACGAGTCGGAGTGCACGAGTCCAGTGCATGGTGAGCCCAATGGATTCCTTATATGAAAAAGCAATGGTCCAGTGGCATCAATATTAACCATACAGCCATACTGATGAAATATTAATAGGCAAAAATTTGAGGGAGGTGAAGATTTTAAAGTTTTCCAAGTTTCCAGACTACGTTTTTTGATAATGTTACCATGAATTAATTATACCAACTTGTGATAGCAAGTTGAATCATTGCATGATGAATACTTTTTCAACTCACCAACACATGCTCCTTGTCTGAATGACATGAGAGGGCAAAACGAGCTGCGAATACCCAGAGACTGGTGACGAATATTAAATGATCTTTTCAACTTTAAGACACCCTCTTCATTGACAACCCTGAAGAGACAAAATGGGTTTGATATTTCAATCTGGGGCTCTATAATAGAAAGATCGCAAGATTTGCAAATATTTGAGCGAACGTGTCATTAGTACCGTCAAAAAACAAAGAAAACAAAGAGCCATTGTAACAGAGTTTGGCCTCCGAAATTCACAAATCTGGCAACCCTGTTTATAGTCATTTTAATGTGTGGAATTGTGTGTGGAATTGTGTGTGGAAAAAGAAGGGGGGACTTCGTTTTAGACAAACAGCAAGTTTGAAATGAATATTGTGATGTTGCTACTCTGAGTCACCAACCAGGTAAGCTGAAAAATTAGCTTGACCACGGTGGGAATCGAACCCGCGACCTTCGATTTGCTAGTCCAATGCTCTTCCAACTGAGCTACTAGGTCGAGACGGTTCGAGTAATTGACATTTAGAAACTCGGTCACCTCAGTCTTACACCCGAGTCTTTGCGGTATTACCATAGTCTGGGTTCCGAAATATCAATTACTCGTACCGTCTCGACCTGGTAGCTCAGTTGGAAGAACATTGGACTAGCAAACCAAAAGGTCGCGGGTTCCCATTTGGGTTTGTTTACATTTTCAGTAACCCAATAAGAATGTAGAAATTTTTACTACTTCTGGTGAAAAGATACCGGCAATTATTTACCCGTAATTTACATGAAGTATTTCATATTAAGACATTTTGATTGGCTTTGCCTAAAAAGTGTAAACAAATATGCCGATTAGCTTAAAACGAAATCCCTCCTTGTTAAGTGGAACTGACCTGAATAGACAGAGGTTGTTATTAGCAACATTAACAAGCAGCGAGGGATCTCTTGCTTCACGATTTATCCAACTTCGATACGATATTGATGTTATTGCGCAACCATCCGCGATCACCATCCTGAAAACGAAAGTTCGCAACTTTATTGGAACGATCCACTGATCTGATAAAACACTGGATATGTACCCTTTATGTACCCTTTATGTACCCTGTATATGTTACAAAAAAATACCAAGAGTGGAGTTAACAGATATAGCAACTACAGATATATAATTTTGCTGCGATTTTATGTCCGATTTTCTTCTTTTTATAGATGTGAACGAGTGAAATAGTTACAGATGTTTAAATAAGAGCTCTTTTACATCAGAGTATTCGTAACTAATTATAACTCGTTCACATGAACCAAAAGAAGAAAATCACACATAAAATCGAAGCAAAACTGGCAAACTTTAAACGGGCCTTAAACGAGTTTCCTCGCTTTGCCGGGGCGCTTCGAAATCAAAGTACCAACAATCAAAACATAAGCCCCCCGTTTACAATACACTCGATTTATTGACACGGCACGGCTAAAATTGGCACTTTAGCCCCATTTACACAACACTCAATTTTATGGCACGGCTAAAATAGGTAACCGTGTTCATTTCATCCATGCTCAGACTTTGTTTTTGTAACCTGAACACTAATGAAATTCAAGCCCCGTTTACACTACAGTCAATTTATCGGCACGGCACGGCTAAAATGGGTAACGTGCCCAATTTCACTAGTGGTCAGGCTACCAAAACAAAGGCCGGGCACGAATGAAGTGGGCACGGGTACCCATTTTAGCCGTGCCGTGCCAATAATTCCAGTGTAGTGTAAATGGGGCTTCAGGCTACCAAGGCAGGCCGAGCGCAGATGAAATGGGCACGGGTACCCATTCTAGCCGTGTCGTCCCAATAAATCGAGTGTAGTGTAAACGAGGCTATAATCACCCAGTATGACCTTTCCTAGAGTCATATGATTGGAATACCAATAAACATTTGGAATAATTAAATCAGATTTCAAACTCCAGTTGGGTGGTGAGTTCAGTAATATCGTAAGTGGTCGTAAACAGTGAACTCCATACAACTGGAACGCTAACTCCTGACAAACATCCCTATGTTAGCTTGAAGCCAAAATAGTTTTTCTGAGTTTTGAGATGTAATACTTGACACCGGACGTTGGGCTGTGTGTCAAATTAAAGCCATTGAAAAGTTATATTATTCGTAGAAATTTCAAGACTTAAACTACATAGGAAATATTTAAAAAAAACAACAATTACTAACCGAAAAAAAAATGGAAATTTTCAAATAATTTTTAGATATTTCCCTTGCTTTTTGCTTTTCATGTTGTTATAACTTTTAAAACCCGTTTGAAAAAATTGAAAGTACCCCAAAAACGTTATCGTGAGAAAGGCTAATTTTCCCCCTGAGTTATCGTTCCAGTTTGTTTCCAGTTCAATGGTCGTAAATAGAGTTAACTGGCGATTACTTACGATGTCTCTGAACTCATAGTACAACTGGAGTGAGAATACATAAGTACTGACCGTTTTCCCTTTTGTACCCTTCCGGTAGCAATGTCGAAACAAAAAGACAATACACCACCCTAAAATGGGAATATTTTTGTAGTTTGCTTTCAAATGATTTAGTAAGCGTTCTAGATGTTTATCCATTTTTACAGTATTACTTATGGGGGTATCGACAATCGACGTAGCATGCTGCATGCAAAAATAAGCGTTCGACAATATTTTAGTTTGGAATAAATCAGTAGAATGGTGGACTAGTCAAGAGAAAGGAGCATTTTTTAAGAGCCGCGTTTAACAGGCTTTTACAGGTTGTCTTATAAACTTGAGGTAATTCTGACAATAGCGCAAATTATTCCACAAAAAACTAGTTGTAACGTTTTGCGCGAAGGGATTTTTATCCCTTTTTTAAAATATCTGGGTACGTGTGGACGGGGCCTCATTCTGTTTCAATTTTCAATTCTGCTTTTATCTCTAAAGCGTAATTTCGAGAACCTTCGTAATAGCGTGTTCGCATGTATTTTCAAAGCAACAAATGCATTTCAGCAGGCGAAATCTCGACTGCCCGATTGTATTAAACAGCATTTTACGTCGCGGCCAGTTCTCGAGTTTGTTTATCTACACTATGATCGATAGCATTGTTTTTTACGATTGACGATTTATAAATTTGAATTTACACTGAAACATCTGGAAATACTCACTTATCAAGAGCAGGTTTCTGATATTTACAGGCAATCATTATATCCTTATTTATTTTCAAACAAAAGTATATTTAATGTTTAAGAAACTAAAAATACTTCCGTGTTTCTATACAGGATGTCTAAAAAAACACGAAAACTATTGAAATAACCCATAACAATGTAATTGTTAGAGTTTGAATGACTAAGCACTCCGATCGGTCCCACAAGTGTATATAAATGTTTGCCATAAGATTTTTAGGCATGATGCAGTAAAATTTCCTTTGTCGTTTCGCACTTCCGTTGTACTTTAGGTGCCCGGATAATTTATCACAATAAACACTCGCTGTTCCGCGGTCAGCTGTACCATTTTCTTTCGAAGCAATAACAAGGCAAATTTAAATTTAATCATATTCACAATTTCAAATTTTTCGTATTTACCATTTTATAAGTTGCATTAAATCCCCACGGGCTAAAATTTGTGAACACGGCATTCAAATTTTAACAATGAGTGATTTCAATAGTTTTCGTTCTTTTTTGAGACACCCTGTACAGTTTTATAATATAACATTTATAGAACGCGCGTGCTGATTGGTCGAGAAGCGTGTTTCTATAACTGCATAGAAACACGGGAATTTTCCCACCGAACTTGACAAGCGAAGCGATGTAATGAGAATTTGTAATTCATCGAATTATAATATTTGTACAAAATATTTTTATTGAGTTATATTATAAAAGAAATAGAAAACATTTTCTCCTGTGTTTCTATACAGTTATAGAAACACTTGTGGGAGTTTGGAAGAACACGAAATAACGTGGAAAAACGAGCACACTAATTGTTTCTCGTTCTCCCAAACTCCCACGCATGTTTCTATAACTGCATATAAACACGGAAATTTTTTTCTATTTTTTAAATATAGAAACACGCATGGGAGTTCGGGAGAACGAGAAATAATCAGTGGCAAGCGTACAAATGTTAACAATATATATATGTTAACAATGATAACACAAAAAATAGCGAGTTATAAATGAATTTTTAATACATTAATACGCTTATATAGCGTACCTATTGCATGGGGGCGACAATACATGGGGGACTATCACAACTGTGGCAAAACTAATCACTTAAGGCTGCTTTCCATAATTCCATTTACGCGTTTTTTATACGCACGTACACGTACGTAAAATTTTAAATGCTTTTAAATTTTTACTATTTAACATCTAGGTCAACTAATGCATATTAAAATATGCAGAAAACTAAGTTCCTTCGATTTATTCACTTAGTTTTTTCAAAGGTAACATGTATAAGGATTTGTATTTTTACGTGCGTGTACGTGCGTATGAAAAACGCGTTAAGTGGAAAACAGCCTTTAGTGGGGGCAAAACTAATCACTTAAACTAATTAATGGGAATCCAGACTCCAGCAATGATTTAATTGCGAGTATAAAACTTATTTGTGTGAGAGATTCCAGTATTGTTTAGTCAGAACCGAAACTCAAGACTTGCACGACGGACTAGTTAAAGTTAAAGGACGATGATCATTATAGCACACCATGTATGATCCATGTTTGTGAAACGTTCGGCCTTCGAGAAGGCGTTTTACCTATCGTTGTTGATTTTGTTGTCGGTCTAAAACTTTAAATCCTTAATACATGGCGTTCGTAGAAGCAATATCATGTGGATTGGTAGTAGCTGTTGTGGCAGAAGTTGCAGTCTTTTCTTTGGGGATGTTGGTTGGTTCTTTTTACGACATTTGTGCGAAAAAAATAACTGAGGGAGGAGATCTATTTGATGAAACATTTCATGCAATATTTGCTCGAGATTCTCACCAAATTAAAAAAAAAATTGACTGTCTTGCGCTTAGCGATCTCAGAACAAGTTACGAACACTATTCTGATGGCATGAAGCTTCTAAGTCTTGCTCTCAGTGAGTCCAGAGAAGGTCAAGAAGTGAACGAGGCTACTGCCAGCACTGCAAGCGAAACACTAAGTGACATCGCTTCTAATATTGTTATGTTAGCGAGTACAGCACGTTCTCAAGCGACTCGAAATGTTGTCAACAATACGAATTACATTACCGTTCAAGAGTTATTCAAAACGTCTTGTGAGAAGGCCACTAATGTTTGCAACAACGAAAGTCTAAGCATCACAGATCGGATTGTAGCTTTTAGATTACGTATCGCTGCCACAATAGCTGAAAAAGGACATACAGATCCAGAAGCCACCATTATCATTTGCATGAATGCGCTTAAAGGACTGCATCATTTAGAAGCAGTAAAAGTAATGTTTGCAGTCTTTTTTAAACGAGGAGCAAAAAGTAAAATAAAATCAAAATTAAAAAAAAAACAAAGATTGGAAAACATTCAAACAGTCTTACTCATGAATTATGCTTTACTTTTTTTCGCTTACGAAAATCTCAAAAGTAGAAATTATTCCCAAATCGTGGAGTTAATTAAAAACTGGCCTGTTATAAACCACCCGAATTGTAAATTTCATCCAATTTATGACGCCGATCAGGTTCTCCATATGCATGAAAACCCCTTTGTTCCACGTACTTTAGAGTTGTTCAAAAACATTCTTTATGAAAAAGTTTCCCAGAATATAGAACGAGTGATCGAAGATCCGAGCATATCAACGGGGAAATATTTCGCTGTGAATAGCCACGATGACATTATTGTTTTAGCTGATGGCAAAATCACAATCATTTGTCACCAAGGCGAAACCAAGACTGTTACTATTTCTGAAAATAACTCTGACGGTACGCGTAACGAACTGGATAAAGGACTTGCTATCGACAACAACAACATATACGATCATTGCAAGGATAATATATTCGTAGTAAGGTGGCGTGGACAACAAGATGAAAACAACAGTTGTGAGCAGCGAGAGTATGTGTTGTACGTGATAGATAAGGAAGACAACATCGTGGAGTTTAAATTGTGTTTTCTCGACGCAAGAGCTTGTGAAGATCTCAAAATTGCCTGTGACCAGATTGGATATCTAGTCATCATCAAAGAACACGACGACCAGGTCTATATTTGTGACGACGTGGGACAGCTGAAATCTAAATTTCAACGAAGTGGAATGGAAATATTCGATTTGGGTATTTCTGTCCCGAACGACATAATGATAGTTTCAGATGACCGCAGAGCCGTTCACGTGTACACAACTGCCGGTGGCCTATCATCCACATTAGAATTACCAGAAAGTTATAAAGCCGGGCGACTGGCATTTCACCACAACATTAATAAAATAGCTGTCTTAACCCACATTGCACAGGGGAACAATTCCTACATGGTCTTGCTCTTTTATAGTACAAGCGGCGAGCTCGAGGATTTATATACTTTTTGTAAGAGTGAGGAAATCTGGAAGAAAGTAAATTTGACAAGCTCTCCGAACGGACGAATTGCCATTAGGCACGAGAACAGCGTCACATTCCCCAGAGGGGCTGTAAGACGAAGGAATGGGAAGTCTCAGGCCGCAATTCCTTACACGGTACAAACGGCCAGACCGGTCCTGTTGTATTTCACTACAGACAGACTCCAGGTATTTTAAAGGGTTTCAAAAACTCTGCATTTAAATATATCGTTATTTTCATTTGCCCAGCACGGAAAATGCAGTTTGGCCGCTTTATTTTTAGCAAAATACTCAATTTCGATTCAAAGTACAACCGGTTTGGCCATTTTTGCAGTTTAAAGGAAAGCACTCCTAATTGTACACATTATTAATTTAGTCATGTGCGAAATTTTAAAAAGGTAAAAACTGGTATAAAACCAATATAGATGTCACTTTTTGCATGATATTATATATGGTGAACGTCTAACAAACCTTTTCATCCCCTGTCCAAAGAATTGTTCCAGTAGAATCAAATGCTAGCGAATAAACTGCTCCTGTTGTACGACCAGTACCACCCTAGAAAGAAAAGGATAAGGATGGGAAACAACAGATGAGATATGTTATACGGAAAATAACAGGGGTGGATCCAGCACTAGTGCACTAATTTGCATTACAAAACAAAATTGCTATTCTCAGCAGTTTTCTTGTGTCATGCAAATTAGTGCACTAGTGCTGGATCCACCCCTGGAAAATAATTATATTATGCATTAAGGGAGGTTAGGGTTGCACGGGGTTAATTGTAGGTACGATGACACGATGCAGAATAATGCACTACCAGGGACGTAGCCAGGGGGGGGCTCGTTGGGACGGTGATTTATCGCTAATATATACTCACTTCGAAATGAATTAATTTAATTAAGAAGAATTAAATCTACTCAGTCTTTCAAGTATGCTTGTTTTATTCAGCCGGGGCTGAAACTCAGTGTTGTTGTCATGTAAAACAAGCTGAAACTCCGGTCTCCGCCCCCCCCCCCATCCTTAAGGTCTGGCGACGTCCCTCTGCACCAGAGTTGTAAAATATAAATATCATGATCAATATGATTTGATTCGATAATTTGATCTAGAGAATACAAATTGAAGAAACTAAAATTGTCGTTGTGTTGATTTTAACTCTTGAGCTGTTCCCCGGCCGGGGCCGATCCTGCTGGCGAGTTATTGGTTTGGAAGACCAACGCAAAAAGGGCTAGTTTAACAATAGGTAACGCTGTTACACGCATTACAGAAGATGGGCGGTTAATATACTCCAGCTTACCCGAGAATAAGGGGTCAAGATTACTTCTGAGGTATTGAAGTAAGTAAAAAACACGATCCTGTTGTCATTCCCACAATAACCTTTGTTTGTTTGGTTTCATCAATACAAATTTCAATACCTCAAAATCATATATAAACAGCTAGCCCTCTTAATTTAGTATGCCAATAAAAATGCCAGCCTAATAATTGTCAACCAAATGTCCTACCAAATCTAAAATTTGCAGAAGTGCATTTTAAAAAAAAAGCCTTTCCTTAGCATTTAAAATCTGAAAGGGGGAAGTAGATGCCCCAGTCCCTAGCTTGGTCGTTAAAAGAATGCCGACTCGTTTTCCTTAAGCCCCTGTTACACGGTGCAATTTTTCTTGCAACTTGCAATGCAATCCTACTTTTAAGAGATGTAATTTAGTACAGAGTATTCAAAAAGTAAGGGTAAGAACGTACATGGAGTGTAATAAACATAAAAGTTTCGTAATGGCCAAATTTACATCTCACAAAAGTAGAATTGCATTGCAAATTGCAAGAAAAATTGCACCGTGTAACAGGGGCTTTACTCAAGGACTTAATTGGATTCAATACCTTGATGCATTTTCCCGTGGACGTGTTGTAGACTTGAATATGACCTTTCTGATTTCCTGTCTAATTTTAAGTGTTAAGACTTTCACCATCGAAATAAATATGTCATTATTATTATAGTGAGGTTCACTTTTGAACACCAACGGAAACCTTACTGCGCTCCTGATTGGTTAACAACACATACGCATTGCATTTGATTGGTTAATGTGCCCTTAATACTGCGGTATAGTTTCTGAATTCTTTTCGAAGGTTATGTTATCACAAATCTTGAAGGGGGGGCTTAACTGTGTCTGCAAATCGGTTCTGCTCAGAACAGTGTCAGGTTACCTGATTTTGCACAAATTTCATATTGAAGTTATTGAGTTCACGGCAACCAGGTATACAATCCATCGTAATTATCGCTACTCTGGTTTTAATAAATGAAAATAATCACCACACAAAGATTAACTTTCACGACCCAACGTTTCGACACTCCGGTCGAGTGTTTTCATCAGGGGTGATCTGATGTTGAAACTCGGTTCCTTATATACTCTCAAAATGACGTCATCTGACAGACAAAGGCGTTGTTTGGAAGCCTGGCATATTAATGCGAGTCTTTGTGCCCCTAATAGGGATGACGGAAGCTATTTGCCAAAAGAATATTTACATCTGATTGATAGATGACGTCATTTGGAGAGAATATAAGGAACTGAGTTTCAACATCAGATCACCCCTGATGAAGACACTAGACCGAAGTGTTGAAACGTTGGGTCGTGAAAGTTAATCTTTGTGTGGTGATTATTTTCATTTATTAAAACCAGAGTAGCGATAATTACGACAAATTTCATATGTTTCATACTCATTTAGAAAAAAAAACCGATCCGAAATGGTGCAGTTATTATAGGTAGAAATAGAGCAACTTAAAATGTACAAAGCTATATCCATTTTAGTCAGAGTATTTGATATTATAGCTAGCCGTCAACCTTTTAGCCGTCAAGCAAACATAGATCTACATTCAAATAAATGAATTGAAGAATCGTAAGGCGTGCACATGCAATGAAAAATATCAATTATATTTTTGAGATTATTCAAAAGGATACAACAATCATGTTGTTATTCAAGGGTTGAAAACGACAGGACAGAACGGGACACAACCAGTGGTCATTAAACTCTCGAAGACATTGACCAGAGGTTGGGTTCCAGAGTCGTGATGTTCCATCCAAAGATGCAGAAATAATGAAATCATTTGCAACTGACCAGTCAAAATCTGGAAAAAAATATGAAATTTACATACCGCTGACTGTAAAACATTCATAACAGGTATGTACATGGAATACCATATAGTCTGAAGTCATGAAATGGATGGGGTGCTCATGTTGGGCCAGGTTTAGCAGTAATCATATATGTGCTTTTACGGTCATGTTCCTTAATTTCTCTATTCTGGCATAGACTATGCCAATCCACCTTTCCCACGGTCAAAACACGTGTCAAAAGACAAGTGTCACAGGACACTAGTCTGTTCTTGTTCTATAAACTTTATAACTTAAATGTGACGGTTATTCAAAAGGTGGATAAAGGTATCCACTTGATACCTATAAAATTTATAATTAAAAACTATTTCAACTTGAAAATTGTGAAGTTCAATCTTGGCAATAACAAATCCATTTTTCAAACAACTGGCTCCTGGATCAAGCTTGATGACGGAATCCCGTACCTTTGATAGCAGCTTTATGACCACGTAGAAAACATGTGACGGACGGAGGTGATGGTATTAAATGACATACAGATATGGTACCATCAGATGAACTGCATGCCAGTTGATGTTTCTCATCATGCGCAAACTTTATCGATGTAACTATAGAAAGAGTAAATTGAAAAAAAAACTTAAAAAACAGTATAAAACAGAAATTGCATGATAGACATGATCTGTATATTCCCTGAAGAGTTTCTACAATATCTGTCGGTCGAAATCATTTATTTGTCATCAAAAGTTCCTGGTTATAACTCACCAGCCTCGGCATGTTGATCAAACACATGATGCATACCACTAAATGCATAGTTCTCACCCAAACTTTTGTCGCCAGCCATTTTTCTGCAGTTACAAAAAATAAATAAAATTATCAATATTGCAAGTTAACTAAATCCCCTCAAAAAATCTGATTGTTTTGTACAAAGCATAACAAGTTCAGATAGTTACAAATCAAGTTGCTAATCAATCACCTACTAGCCTCCGCCTTCTTGGTGGGTACCACACCTTGCAGAGACGTGTGTTCATGTATTGTCATGGGTACATCAGGGGGAGGGACAAACTGAAATGATCCACCGCTATGGTAACGATGGTGTGTCTTGATGGTTGTGCCATGATCATCCAATTGCATGGAATCAAAACTTTGCTACATCAATCACAAACACTTCTCATGAAAAATGGTTACCCTAATGTTCAACCTCAATGTACGGTATTCAATTTCATGCAATATTCTAGCAGACTTTAGATTGGGATCATGACAATGACACCAAATCATCAAAATGGCCAGAACACACACCTCAACAGAACTGATCCTGCTAGGAATACTTGTACTTCTACTCCTAAAAATAAAGATTCAAATGTTGCTCTAGCTTGTCACATACAAATTTGAGCTATAACCTAATGATCTCACAAGGGAGTTAGCTCTGCATAAAGACTATCCACATATAAGAGAAACTTGTCTATTTCCCCACAAGAACTATTGGAACTTACAAGAAACGTGCTGTTAGCTCAAGCAAGTATACAGTATATATAGGTCTCTGGTGCATGTAGTTCTTAGGCAGCTAGGCCTTTTTTACCATGCAGCTCTATGCAATATTGTACTTGTACTGTATGTGAATGATTCTATAAACCAGAACTCTTTTTCAATGGTAGTAAAATAATTTGAATTTGTTGGCATACAACTCCAAAGCATGCATAGCTAAGCTTAAATGTAGGTTTGACAAAGCAAGACACTTGACAGATTTGTCAAACAGAGGCTGGTTGTATGAAAGCCGTATAGCGCTATTCACTGGATAGTGTTTTTTCAATCACATTAAAATCACATTAAATTGTTTGCTATAATTAACTTTGATTAAATCTTAGTATTCCTATAAATCAAGGATCCTCTTTTATGCATGTATCTTCAAGGATCTTCCTTGTTGGTCAAAAAGATTAAATTGTATCGCTTTTCAAGCATCTTTAGAACAGTTGAAAAAATCACTATCTGGTGGATAGCGTTATCCAGCCCTCATACAACCAGCCCCAGTACACTACATGAGGCTGTATATATACAACCTAATTGATGGATAAAATCATCAACACTAGATAGAGTTGGTAGGTCACATCTGGGGAAACTTATAGGTAATGTAGCAATTGAAAACTGAAAAATTGACCTATCATATCTAGCATTAGAGTAAATTACTAAGAATAGCCTCATCTAGTTAGTTGATATATTGCAAGGGATACCTTAGGGATAGAAGATCTGAGATGGTGCCATATTGCTTGCTCAAAATTAACTTTCTCAAGTGAAGGTAGTGACGCCGAACACTGTGATCAATCTAAATAGTGAATTTGTAAAGCCTGTAGGTTAGTCAAGTCCTCTTTATTGACATAAGCATACAGGGTTGGGCTCCTCCCCAGAAACATTTGAATATAGAGAAGTAGAGCATACTATTCTACCAAAATTTAGGCAATTGTTCTGAAATCAGCTATAAGACAGGCAACTTGTACTTAAGAGCCTGGCAATTTTTACCAAAATCATTGCCTGCCCCCCAAATTGTTTAGCTAGGTTGTACACCATCTTTGATAATATAAACAATCTTCCATTTGCATTTGCTCAAGTGCATGTAAAACAACAGTTTGAAAGCAATAGTTGGACAAATTTTACTGCAAGGGAGCACACTCAGGCCTCAGGGTAAGTCTATAAACTTGAAATCTTGAACTCATATTAAAACTGTTTATCTTTGTCAACTTGAAGACGCATTTATTTGCTCACATTTTTCTTCGCAATTTCTCTCAGCAGCTGAGTTCTCCTTCGTATATACAAAGTTCCTAGCAAAATATTTAATAAAATGTCAGAAGTTAAAAATGACTGTCAACTGGATTTTATAAGACATCTCTTTATATTGTGAAACTTGTACAGTTGTACTTACGATGTTGTGGGTTCGTCTGCACTCTGTACGCGTTAAATCTCGCATCTAAAGCTAAAATTTGTTGACAAACGTTCATAATTTCATATCTCTTTATTAATTTCCTAGAGCTTCAGCAAGAAGACATTAATTCACGAATAATTCATTTGAGTTCCGCATTTCGCCATGTTTTTAATACTACTTTGACGAGATCTTACATAAAGTTTTCCCATGAAGTTACATATATTCAAAACTTCATGTAAAAATATTTTCGTTAAACAGCCTAAACTGCAAGTCTATAACATGCATAATACACAATAAATACCTTGACTAGTTGACTTAGGGTGTTGCTTTTTAAGTAAGATATGTGCGGTGATTGATTACATTTAAACGAGGCTCCCAGGCCGAGTGGCATAATTATTGAGCCAGAATATATTGTTATTTAATTTTTGGAAGTCACTTCCAAATGTTTTGTATTCTGTCACTGGAAGAAACTATTTTAAAACATAAATACTGTTTTAAAGAATTATCTATAAATCTCTGTGAAAGCTTTCACGTCCCATTTTGAAATTCTTGTACCAAGTCTGTGAGGCGTTGTTTAGCAATTTTTGTTCCTTGACAAGTTAGAGCAAAATCCTAGAGAAAAAGAGATAATAACAAGTAACAACCCTGTTGGATTGCATCAAGCCAAGCAAAATTGGATTTTTTCATACTTTTTCAGCACCATATATCGACCCTTCATGAGGTTGTCCAGTAGCAACTTCTGTTAAGTATGTGATTTGGTCTAGCAAACCTTTCTCAACTCCCTAAAACAATCACATGTGATCACGTTTGAAACATCTCTATCAGAGGAAGATTCCATGCCACACAACGACAATTACTTTGACGCAAATTTATAATATTTAGCAACAGACTTCAAATTCAGTGCCACAGTGTTGACAAAACATATACAAAAGTATTTTTCTCCTATTAATGGGTTAATTGTTTTAATAGCTTGAACTATTAAGTTGATAAGCAAGACTACAGAAGAAATATAAAGCAGAAATGTAAAGCCTTTTCACATGAATAAAACAATATTGTTTACAATTACACATAGAGTATATCAGATTTAAGTTCAATGAAAGTAATATATTTTCGGCTTATCCAGGCCCAGTAACACCTATTGATTTAAATTCTGTATTGCACCTATACAAGCTGTGCTTGAAGCTGTCAAGATTTCATACCAACTGACTGAGCTACAAATACATCACTAACACCTGAAATAATCCACTCTAGCACAGACATGCATGATTGCATGTTATAGGTACCCAATAAGTCCCAATTGTTTACTATACCATTATACCTGCAATGAATTCAGAAACTCCCTAGTGTGCGTGTTCAAATTTTCATGATTTGGTTGTTCTTGTGAGATTTCTTGTAAGGCATGGCCAGCACTTGATACAACCTTGACTATTTCCTAGAAATCAATGCAAAAGCTAGAGGCAGTCTGAAAGGGAGGCGACTGAAATGCAACTATAAATATCTTTACTGCACGTTCTGCACCACATATATTTCCAGCGACAGTTTATCACAACAAATTTAAAATTTGCATACCTTTTCAATCTCTTGCAGTTGTTGCAAGCGATCTTGAGATTGCAAAGAAGACATATTCAAAAATAATTTGGACCATGAAATTAACAAAACGATACAAAACTATATATTTTTGAGTGATTTTATCACATTGATTTACTATGTCAGGTCAAATACTTCGTGTAAGAGCATATGAAATGGTTCTACGCGTGTGATGGCAATTTGGGTAGGGTCGCAGCTCCTCGCAAGAATGATTTTCATTGGCTAAACTTTGCAATACATTTCTGTTTCAACCAATGGCATAGTTTCATTCTTTGGAAAGCATAGAAAAGCATTATCCAATTGGACAAAAGCTTCCGAGCACTAAATATTCATTGTACATACATATGGGACAGCCTCGTACCCAGGCGCTTTAATACTAAAATATGTAACGTTGCATTCAGTTATTACTGTATAGAGGTCAGTTGAAGAAAGGCAAGCGCGTGGGGTGCGTGGGGTGGACGCAATATGGGGACATTTTGTCAACTTGCCAAAACGTCCTTCTGAACTACTGTGTGCTTCTGAACCACTGTTAGTTTTACACCTTTAGAAAATATCACTTCTATCGGTGCAGCAAATATTTATGAAAAAAGATGTTCAACTTTGTAAACAAGAGATTAAAAAAATGATGTAAAAATATTCTTTAACCCAGGGTTAAGCTAACCGGCTTTTGAACAACCGGCCCTAGGAATTTAAATATAGCTCGGGCTTATAAACGGGCTTTAGTCCAGTCGTGCAATCCAACACACGACACAGACAACTCGGCAACGTTTTTTTAATTGTTTTAAAATTTTTCATCAAAATTATCGTATTCCAACCAGAATCAACTCACGAAATCAAGCAAAAATACTTTAATTATTGGTTAAAAACATCAGTTCGGTAATAATTCGAGGAAATGGTCATGCATTATATTCTAAGTTAAGTAATTAATTTTGATTGTTATAATGATTATAATTAATTTTATTTGTTTAAAAACACCAGTTCATTGATAATTCCCTGAAACTGTTAGATTTTATTCCAGAGTTCAGGGCATCAAACTTTATATTACGAAAGTGACAGCCCTGACCAGTTAATTTGCTATTTAATTTGTTTTACATTACCAAAGCTTGAAAGGACATCCTAAATTTCTGATAGCGAAATATTGCAAAATTTTAGGATGCTCCGTCTAACCTTAGTAAAATAAGCTGGGTTTTTATTTTTTTAAGGTGAAGATAAACTTTTAAAGTGTTTTTTTAAAGACCTTTTAAAAAAATTTGTTTTATTCCACTTGGGATGTGCTTTATTCATAATTTTTAAGTCAGTCTATAGCCTGAGACAAAAAATTCAGTTGTTTTTTAAGTAACTCATTGTTTATCTCTGCCTATCAATGATTTCTATCGTGTTGTCTTCGTCAGCAAAGTGTTGAGAGTCCCAGTTTGGAAAACAGCACCCAACAGGGCAAACGGAACGACATTGCCCCGGGGAGCAGTAAGAGGGGCATCGTACGATTGGCGGGAAACCTGCGGGCACAATGCCGGTTTGTTGCGGGCTGTTACAACAGGCAGGTTGACAGGTGGATGCACAAGACGGCTGTCCACAAGTGGATTGACAATAAACTGGTGAGCCTGCAGAACATATTGATAAACATATTATCAAAACATCGACTTTTACAGGAAGAAAAGCGAAAATTGTCTGTTCTCAATGCATAATGCTTGTCATAGTATTTTAAGGTAGGGGAAACACTAGGGGAGATCTGTGTATCACCTTTTATGCTTATGGCAAAGAAGCCGTCAATGATTTAAAATTTTCTGAACATGAATTCTATTTTATATTCATTATGGCGAACGCAAAGAACTTCATCTTTTGATGTAAGAAAAAATTGTAAAATTGTTGAGACTGAAGCATGACCTACCATAATTATTGGGCATGGTTCCTCCGGGAACAGTTTGGGTATTAGGTGTTTGGGTGGAAGAGGTGCCTGGGGTCGCTGGTGGAGCTGGGGTTGATGGTGCACCAGGGCTTGATGGCGCACCTGGGGTCGCTGGTGGAGCTCTAGAAGGGGATTTTCCTGTCGGCGATTTACCAGTGCTCTCGGGTTTTATCACTTTGTTCGTTTTATCTACAAGAAATATTAATGTAGAATACTTCGCCAGTTATCCCCTGAGAAATTCACATTTTCTATCTGAACAAATCACAGGTGAAGTGCCTTTTAGCTAGGTTTTCCAGTTATCAGCGCTAGCAAAAATAGTTGACGCCCATTTGAAAATGAAGCTGATGTCTAATGACGGCTCTGATAGGCTTTGCCTCAGTAAATTTCTTTTGATAAATTCCCGTATTTCTCGCCGAATGGTAGTTATCTATTACTTTGAAATATTCATTTTTCGCTTGAACTTTTCGCACCAAATCACTTATTTCATTTTTATTTAATCCTCGTAGCACTCTGCGATGCACAAGGCCTGAAGGCCATGCGGGTGCAACAGGATCACCTAACTTTAAAGAATGTTTAAAGTAAAATGGAGGACCGTCTTCAATTGTTGTAACTGATAACAGCAAACATAAACATTTGGCTACCAAACTTTAACAGCCCTGCCCAGATAACCAAGAAATTGGAAATAACTTAGATGAATTGCCAACGACGAACTTCAGATTTTGACATTTTGCAACTTCGGGTAATCGGTACCCTAAAACAGGGGCGTACTGGTCTGCATGAAAATTCTTCATGTATTTTTTTTGGCGGGGGGAAGGCATTTATTTCTGTGAGGCTGTAGTCTCCCCCCGGTCTTGCCGTTACTGGCCCAATATATATATAGTGCTTTTAGTGATAGAAAAAATTCCTTTGGTAGATATCCTTGACATTGTCTTACCTATGAAATCAATTATCGTGTCAGCTGTATCGCAGGTCGAAGTGAAAGTCAAAGGCACATTTTCCTGTCCTTTTGTAATTGAAATACACTTTCCACTTTTCACTTCCATCAACGAGCCACCGCTGGTAAACTTAAACTGCAACGCATGAGGCGTATTATAGCCAGGACGATATAATGTACAAGGATTATTCAACGTAACGCGATCGCCTGCCGCAGTATTGAGTGGGTCACCATTCTTCATGCCTTGAATACACATGCCACTCGTGAGGTGCTGTATGACTCCATCCGGTTGAAGTTTGAAGAGGTTTTGTAGCCTACTACAAGGTTGTAATAGGACGACATTTGACCCGGGATTCGGGTGCAACTTCGATTCAGTTGGCTGAACACACGGAGAATATCCTTTGAACTTCATTGATGTCGCAGGATATGCTGGAACATAGACAATGATACGATTTAATTATCCATGACACGAAATTTTATCCCATCATGAATGTTCATATTCATTGTAAACATAGAATCTCAGTAATTTGCTTTTTTGGAATATATTAAATCTTAATGGCAGATTTTTTTTAGGTCGCGTATTTTGGCGGGAAAATGTTCAAAACAAAAAACTTTTCGGCGTGTCCAGGATAAGAAGTTTCCTATATTTCCATTTTTGTAAAGTTCCTATATTTTAGCTTTAATTGTTCTTTAGCTTATGCAGTGAACTAAGTTTTTAACAGCATTTAGTGGTTGCAAAACACCAAGCATAAATTGTTTTTTCAAAATATAATGAGGCTATCAACAATGTTATAAATCGGTAAACGCCGTTATATCTAAAATGAAAACAAAAATATTTTCGATTTTAGTGTCATTCTTTGAAATTATTTTTGGATTATATAATAAGGGGCTAAACACATGAACCCAGTTATCGGGATTTAACATAGCGTAAAATGACTTTGAGGTATTGAAATTAGTAAATGACATGATCCTGGTAGTCGTCTAAACATCCCAAGAATGAAAACTGAAAAAATCGCGTCCGATGTGTGTCGGCCTTTATGCTTCGTTAAACACCGGTAACTGGGCTCATGTGTAACTGCCCCTAGGCATACGTTTTTTGTGCTTTTAAGGTTTGAAAACGTTTTATTGTTAGAAATTTTAGCACTAGCATGATGATAAAAATGAGGTTTTCTGCACATAATAGACGTGAGATGAAAACTGGGGTATGTTGTTCGAAAGGCGTTTAGCTTAAACGCAGTGGATAAGTTCCAAAAGAAAATTATCTATTTGTTGAACAACTAAGCTGAAATATTTCGATGTATGTAAATAGTTTAATTTTCAATGGAAGTAGCTACATATTTAATGCATAAGATGTAGTTTCAGTCATTCACAAGATGCATGTGAGTATTTTTAAACTTGGCTTATTCATCGTTATAAGCTAAACGCCTTTGGAACAACTGGCCCCTGGCTGTAGTTAAAATAAAGATTCAAATGTTGCTCTAGCTTGTCACATACAAATTTGAGCTATAACCTAATGATCTCACAAGGGAGTTAGCTCTGCATAAAGACTATCCACATATAAGAGAAACTTGTCTATTTCCCCACAAGAACTATTGGAACTTACAAGAAACGTGCTGTTAGCTCAAGCAAGTATACAGTATATATAGGTCTCTGGTGCATGTAGTTCTTAGGCAGCTAGGCCTTTTTTACCATGCAGCTCTATGCAATATTGTACTTGTACTGTATGTGAATGATTCTATAAACCAGAACTCTTTTTCAATGGTAGTAAAATAATTTGAATTTGTTGGCATACAACTCCAAAGCATGCATAGCTAAGCTTAAATGTAGGTTTGACAAAGCAAGACACTTGACAGATTTGTCAAACAGAGGCTGGTTGTATGAAAGCCGTATAGCGCTATTCACTGGATAGTGTTTTTTCAATCACATTAAAATCACATTAAATTGTTTGCTATAATTAACTTTGATTAAATCTTAGTATTCCTATAAATCAAGGATCCTCTTTTATGCATGTATCTTCAAGGATCTTCCTTGTTGGTCAAAAAGATTAAATTGTATCGCTTTTCAAGCATCTTTAGAACATTATAATAACTTGTAGGTACACCACGTAAGTATTAAATACTGCAAAGCTTTCGGTCCGTTAACCCGGACCTTCATCAGTGCAATAAGAATTTAAATAGAATTCATCAGTGCAATAAGAAGAAGGTCCGGGTTAACGGACCGAAAGCTTTGCAGTATTTAATACTTACGTGGTGTACCTACAAGTTATTATAATTACTAAAGTCGCCATGCAATCATACAAGAAAATTATCTTTAGAACAGTTGAAAAAATCACTATCTGGTGGATAGCGTTATCCAGCCCTCATACAACCAGCCCCAGTACACTACATGAGGCTGTATATATACAACCTAATTGATGGATAAAATCATCAACACTAGATAGAGTTGGTAGGTCACATCTGGGGAAACTTATAGGTAATGTAGCAATTGAAAACTGAAAAATTGACCTATCATATCTAGCATTAGAGTAAATTACTAAGAATAGCCTCATCTAGTTAGTTGATATATTGCAAGGGATACCTTAGGGATAGAAGATCTGAGATGGTGCCATATTGCTTGCTCAAAATTAACTTTCTCAAGTGAAGGTAGTGACGCCGAACACTGTGATCAATCTAAATAGTGAATTTGTAAAGCCTGTAGGTTAGTCAAGTCCTCTTTATTGACATAAGCATACAGGGTTGGGCTCCTCCCCAGAAACATTTGAATATAGAGAAGTAGAGCATACTATTCTACCAAAATTTAGGCAATTGTTCTGAAATCAGCTATAAGACAGGCAACTTGTACTTAAGAGCCTGGCAATTTTTACCAAAACATTGCCTGCCCCCAAATTGTTTAGCTAGGTTGTACACCATCTTTGATAATATAAACAATCTTCCATTTGCATTTGCTCAAGTGCATGTAAAACAACAGTTTGAAAGCAATAGTTGGACAAATTTTACTGCAAGGGAGCACACTCAGGCCTCAGGGTAAGTCTATAAACTTGAAATCTTGAACTCATATTAAAACTGTTTATCTTTGTCAACTTGAAGACGCATTTATTTGCTCACATTTTTCTTCGCAATTTCTCTCAGCAGCTGAGTTCTCCTTCGTATATACAAAGTTCCTAGCAAAATATTTAATAAAATGTCAGAAGTTAAAAATGACTGTCAACTGGATTTTATAAGACATCTCTTTATATTGTGAAACTTGTACAGTTGTACTTACGATGTTGTGGGTTCGTCTGCACTCTGTACGCGTTAAATCTCGCATCTAAAGCTAAAATTTGTTGACAAACGTTCATAATTTCATATCTCTTTATTAATTTCCTAGAGCTTCAGCAAGAAGACATTAATTCACGAATAATTACTCCGGCGTCAGCGACGGAGTTGAAAATTCGCCTCGGTTTTGTTTTGTTTTTGTTTTTTTTTTTTTTATTTTTTTTTTATTATTTTTCGTCGTCGCAAGTCTGTAATGGCGCGAAACATTCTAGTATTTAAAATGTGTATGTGATTGGATTTATCTATGTCCCAGTCTTGTCTCCCAAGAGTTGTGGTGCACAGCTTTGGCTAATTTTCCGATGCGCGATTCGATTTCGCTCGCATGATACGGCAATTCCTCCAAGAGGAACAAATAAACCGTTCTTTTCATGCTTTTCGATTAAGTTTAGACTGAATTGGGGTAAGAATATATTTAATACATGTAGATTCTGGTCCTATTTTAGTAATATCGCTGCTATTTCGCCGTTTAACAAGATGATGTGGTCGTGTATGGGCGCTTTGACTCGTCGTAGTTTGCACAGGATTGAAGATATAATATATATAAGCGCGAATGCCAAAAGCAAAGTGTAAGACAAAGCGAATGTATCATGCGGTTTATTTACATTTTTGAACAATTGAACTTCTATACTTTTTAAAGTACGATGTGCTTCTGAATTTCGCGATGGAACATTTAGGTTCGCAAGGCGTCTAAATGCGAATATGATCTGCATTGTTTATGTTCAGAAGCTCTATATTGAAGACTGGCACGTGCGCCGGAGTTAACGCCAGAACAGGCGTCTTGTTCATTTGAGTTCCGCATTTCGCCATGTTTTTAATACTACTTTGACGAGATCTTACATAAAGTTTTCCCATGAAGTTACATATATTCAAAACTTCATGTAAAAATATTTTCGTTAAACAGCCTAAACTGCAAGTCTATAACATGCATAATACACAATAAATACCTTGACTAGTTGACTTAGGGTGTTGCTTTTTAAGTAAGATATGTGCGGTGATTGATTACATTTAAACGAGGCTCCCAGGCCGAGTGGCATAATTATTGAGCCAGAATATATTGTTATTTAATTTTTGGAAGTCACTTCCAAATGTTTTGTATTCTGTCACTGGAAGAAACTATTTTAAAACATAAATACTGTTTTAAAGAATTATCTATAAATCTCTGTGAAAGCTTTCACGTCCCATTTTGAAATTCTTGTACCAAGTCTGTGAGGCGTTGTTTAGCAATTTTTGTTCCTTGACAAGTTAGAGCAAAATCCTAGAGAAAAAGAGATAATAACAAGTAACAACCCTGTTGGATTGCATCAAGCCAAGCAAAATTGGATTTTTTCATACTTTTTCAGCACCATATATCGACCCTTCATGAGGTTGTCCAGTAGCAACTTCTGTTAAGTATGTGATTTGGTCTAGCAAACCTTTCTCAACTCCCTAAAACAATCACATGTGATCACGTTTGAAACATCTCTATCAGAGGAAGATTCCATGCCACACAACGACAATTACTTTGACGCAAATTTATAATATTTAGCAACAGACTTCAAATTCAGTGCCACAGTGTTGACAAAACATATACAAAAGTATTTTTCTCCTATTAATGGGTTAATTGTTTTAATAGCTTGAACTATTAAGTTGATAAGCAAGACTACAGAAGAAATATAAAGCAGAAATGTAAAGCCTTTTCACATGAATAAAACAATATTGTTTACAATTACACATAGAGTATATCAGATTTAAGTTCAATGAAAGTAATATATTTTCGGCTTATCCAGGCCCAGTAACACCTATTGATTTAAATTCTGTATTGCACCTATACAAGCTGTGCTTGAAGCTGTCAAGATTTCATACCAACTGACTGAGCTACAAATACATCACTAACACCTGAAATAATCCACTCTAGCACAGACATGCATGATTGCATGTTATAGGTACCCAATAAGTCCCAATTGTTTACTATACCATTATACCTGCAATGAATTCAGAAACTCCCTAGTGTGCGTGTTCAAATTTTCATGATTTGGTTGTTCTTGTGAGATTTCTTGTAAGGCATGGCCAGCACTTGATACAACCTTGACTATTTCCTAGAAATCAATGCAAAAGCTAGAGGCAGTCTGAAAGGGAGGCGACTGAATGAACTATAAATATCTTTACTGCACGTTCTGCACCACATATATTTCCAGCGACAGTTTATCACAACAAATTTAAAATTTGCATACCTTTTCAATCTCTTGCAGTTGTTGCAAGCGATCTTGAGATTGCAAAGAAGACATATTCAAAAATAATTTGGACCATGAAATTAACAAAACGATACAAAACTATATATTTTTGAGTGATTTTATCACATTGATTTACTATGTCAGGTCAAATACTTCGTGTAAGAGCATATGAAATGGTTCTACGCGTGTGATGGCAATTTGGGTAGGGTCGCAGCTCCTCGCAAGAATGATTTTCATTGGCTAAACTTTGCAATACATTTCTGTTTCAACCAATGGCATAGTTTCATTCTTTGGAAAGCATAGAAAAGCATTATCCAATTGGACAAAAGCTTCCGAGCACTAAATATTCATTGTACATACATATGGGACAGCCTCGTACCCAGGCGCTTTAATACTAAAATATGTAACGTTGCATTCAGTTATTACTGTATAGAGGTCAGTTGAAGAAAGGCAAGCGCGTGGGGTGCGTGGGGTGGACGCAATATGGGGACATTTTGTCAACTTGCCAAAACGTCCTTCTGAACTACTGTGTGCTTCTGAACCACTGTTAGTTTTACACCTTTAGAAAATATCACTTCTATCGGTGCAGCAAATATTTATGAAAAAAGATGTTCAACTTTGTAAACAAGAGATTAAAAAAATGATGTAAAAATATTCTTTAACCCAGGGTTAAGCTAACCGGCTTTTGAACAACCGGCCCTAGGAATTTAAATATAGCTCGGGCTTATAAACGGGCTTTAGTCCAGTCGTGCAATCCAACACACGACACAGACAACTCGGCAACGTTTTTTTAATTGTTTTAAAATTTTTCATCAAAATTATCGTATTCCAACCAGAATCAACTCACGAAATCAAGCAAAAATACTTTAATTATTGGTTAAAAACATCAGTTCGGTAATAATTCGAGGAAATGGTCATGCATTATATTCTAAGTTAAGTAATTAATTTTTGATTGTTATAATGATTATAATTAATTTTATTTGTTTAAAAACACCAGTTCATTGATAATTCCCTGAAACTGTTAGATTTTATTCCAGAGTTCAGGGCATCAAACTTTATATTACGAAAGTGACAGCCCTGACCAGTTAATTTGCTATTTAATTTGTTTTACATTACCAAAGCTTGAAAGGACATCCTAAATTTCTGATAGCGAAATATTGCAAAATTTTAGGATGCTCCGTCTAACCTTAGTAAAATAAGCTGGGTTTTTATTTTTTAAGGTGAAGATAAACTTTTAAAGTTTTTTTTAAAGACCTTTTAAAAAAATTTGTTTTATTCCACTTGGGATGTGCTTTATTCATAATTTTTAAGTCAGTCTATAGCCTGAGACAAAAAATTCAGTTGTTTTTTAAGTAACTCATTGTTTATCTCTGCCTATCAATGATTTCTATCGTGTTGTCTTCGTCAGCAAAGTGTTGAGAGTCCCAGTTTGGAAAACAGCACCCAACAGGGCAAACGGAACGACATTGCCCCGGGGAGCAGTAAGAGGGGCATCGTACGATTGGCGGGAAACCTGCGGGCACAATGCCGGTTTGTTGCGGGCTGTTACAACAGGCAGGTTGACAGGTGGATGCACAAGACGGCTGTCCACAAGTGGATTGACAATAAACTGGTGAGCCTGCAGAACATATTGATAAACATATTATCAAAACATCGACTTTTACAGGAAGAAAAGCGAAAATTGTCTGTTCTCAATGCATAATGCTTGTCATAGTATTTTAAGGTAGGGGAAACACTAGGGGAGATCTGTGTATCACCTTTTATGCTTATGGCAAAGAAGCCGTCAATGATTTAAAATTTTCTGAACATGAATTCTATTTTATATTCATTATGGCGAACGCAAAGAACTTCATCTTTTGATGTAAGAAAAATTGTAAAATTGTTGAGACTGAAGCATGACCTACCATAATTATTGGGCATGGTTCCTCCGGGAACAGTTTGGGTATTAGGTGTTTGGGTGGAAGAGGTGCCTGGGGTCGCTGGTGGAGCTGGGGTTGATGGTGCACCAGGGCTTGATGGCGCACCTGGGGTCGCTGGTGGAGCTCTAGAAGGGGATTTTCCTGTCGGCGATTTACCAGTGCTCTCGGGTTTTATCACTTTGTTCGTTTTATCTACAAGAAATATTAATGTAGAATACTTCGCCAGTTATCCCCTGAGAAATTCACATTTTCTATCTGAACAAATCACAGGTGAAGTGCCTTTTAGCTAGGTTTTCCAGTTATCAGCGCTAGCAAAAATAGTTGACGCCCATTTGAAAATGAAGCTGATGTCTAATGACGGCTCTGATAGGCTTTGCCTCAGTAAATTTCTTTTGATAAATTCCCGTATTTCTCGCCGAATGGTAGTTATCTATTACTTTGAAATATTCATTTTTCGCTTGAACTTTTCGCACCAAATCACTTATTTCATTTTTATTTAATCCTCGTAGCACTCTGCGATGCACAAGGCCTGAAGGCCATGCGGGTGCAACAGGATCACCTAACTTTAAAGAATGTTTAAAGTAAAATGGAGGACCGTCTTCAATTGTTGTAACTGATAACAGCAAACATAAACATTTGGCTACCAAACTTTAACAGCCCTGCCCAGATAACCAAGAAATTGGAAATAACTTAGATGAATTGCCAACGACGAACTTCAGATTTTGACATTTTGCAACTTCGGGTAATCGGTACCCTAAAACAGGGGCGTACTGGTCTGCATGAAAATTCTTCATGTATTTTTTTTGGCGGGGGGAAGGCATTTATTTCTGTGAGGCTGTAGTCTCCCCCGGTCTTGCCGTTACTGGCCCAATATATATATAGTGCTTTTAGTGATAGAAAAAATTCCTTTGGTAGATATCCTTGACATTGTCTTACCTATGAAATCAATTATCGTGTCAGCTGTATCGCAGGTCGAAGTGAAAGTCAAAGGCACATTTTCCTGTCCTTTTGTAATTGAAATACACTTTCCACTTTTCACTTCCATCAACGAGCCACCGCTGGTAAACTTAAACTGCAACGCATGGGGCGTATTATAGCCAGGACGATATAATGTACAAGGATTATTCAACGTAACGCGATCGCCTGTCGCAGTATTGAGTGGGTCACCATTCTTCATGCCTTGAATACACATGCCACTCGTGAGGTGCTGTATGACTCCATCCGGTTGAAGTTTGAAGAGGTTTTGTAGCCTACTACAAGGTTGTAATAGGACGACATTTGATCCGAGATTCGGGTGCAACTTTGATTCAGTTGGCTGAACGCACGGAGAATATCCTTTGAACTTCATTGATGTCGCAGGATATGCTGGAACATAGACAATGATACGATTAAATTATCCATGACACGAAATTTTATCTCATCATGAATGTTCATGTTCATTGTAAACATAGAATCTCAGTAATTTGCTTTTTTGGAATATATTAAATCTTAATTAAGGGAAGGTTTTTTAGGTCGCGAATTTTGGCGGGAAAACGTTCAAAACAAAAAACTTTTCGGCGTATCAACAGACCTATACTAGTATAGGTCAGTGGGCGTACCTATATTTCCATTCTGTAAAGTTCCTATATCTTAGCTTTAATTATTCTTTAGCTTATGCAGTGAACTAAGTTTTTAACAGCATTTGGTGGTTGCAAAACACCAAGCATCAATTGTTTTCTCAAAATATAATGAGGCTATCAACAATGTTATATATCCATTAAATCGGTGAACGCCATTATGTCAAATAAAAACAAAAATAGTTTCGATTTAAGTGTCATTTTTTGAAATTATTTTTGGATTACATAATAAAGGGGCTAAACATATAAGCCCAGTTACCGAGATTTACTGACATGAAGTAAAATGACTTTGAGGTATTGAAATTAGTAAATAACATGATCCTGGTAGTCGTGTAAACCTCCCAAGAATGAAAACTGAAAAAATCGCGTCCGGTGTGTGTCGGCCTTTATGCTTCGTTAAATCTTGGTAACCGGGCTCATGTGAACTGCCCCTAGGCATACGTTTTTTGTGCTTTTAAGGTTTAAAAACGTTTTATTGTTAGAAATTTTAGCACTAGCATGAAGATAAAAATGAGGTTTTCAGCACATAATATACTCGTGATGAAAACTGGGGCATCATGTTGTTCGAAAGGCGTTTAGCTTAAACGCGATGGATAAGTTCCAAAAGAAAATTATTTATTTGTTGAACAACTGAGCTGAAATATTTCGATGTATGTAAATAGTTTAATTTTCAATGGAAGGACATATTTAATGCATAAGAAATAGTTTCAGTCATTCACAAGATGTATGAGAGTATTTTTAAACTTTGGCTTATCCATCGTTATAAGCTAAACGCCTTTCGAACAACCGGCCCCTGGCTGTTGTTTTAAATATTCCTTCCAATGAGACCGAAATAAAAATTTATATGTTTTCCTAGTAAAGTTCCACTTACAGTCAGTGAGGCTTCTTTCAAGAGCGGTAACTGCTAACCATGAACCCAGGATGAACTCGTAAACTGTCAGATGTTCATGAATGACCAAAACCTTGAATGCAAACGTGAAACGTGACGATGAATGACAGGCAAAATTTTAAAATTCTTTTTGGCACAGTCAGTAAGGCCACGGAAGATCGTTAAGTGGGGAGGGATGCTAACAGAAACGCGTGTCAAGAAAGGGCGCAAATTACTTATGAGGTAAAAAAAAAGTGCACAAGAGCCGTTTTATAATGAATTTTTCGCCCCGCGTCAAGATGAACTACCCATGCACTCAAATTCGTTTAAATAGACGAACTTTTGCGGATCGATAATTCATGTTGATCGATCTGTTTGCTTGTGTTTATACACGAACGAGCTAGAAGACGAACTGTATCTTCGTCTAGACGGATGATCCGCCTCTAGTATAAATCGGGCCAATTATATGTTGACGTTCAAGATTATTAGCTTCTTCTGAAATTGATTGTTTTGACGGCCTGCTAACTTGAATATATAAATCATGAAATGAACAAAGAAATCCAATGAAAACCTTGTTAATGTTCCAGTTTGGAGAGGCAGAAGAAACATCCTGACGAACCCTGATTATTCTTATTGGTCCAACATCTGGTATCTTTACTTGGAAAATTTTGGAACTAAAAGGTGATGTATTTGCACATTGATTTCATAAAAAAATGATTCAGTCATTTCATGGACACAAGGTGATTCCTTACGAGAAAAATTGAATATTAACCCAGGATTGGGATATTTGACTTTTTAGCGACCCCAACATAGAAACAAGGGGGGATTTCGTTAAGCCCTGGGAACCTCGGTTGGGGGGAATTTCGTTTTAGACCAATAAGTGAGTTTGTTTATATTTTCAGTAAACCAATCAGAATGCATAAATTTTGAATTCTTCAAGGTACATTATTTACCGTTTTACATAAAGTACTAAAGATTTAGGCATTCTGATTGGCTTTGCCTAAAAAAATGTAAACAAATATGGCGATCAGTTTAAAACGAAATCCCCCCTTGTTCAACATAGATTCACTGAGATGCGAAAAAATCATCCAAAAATTGCTCACCCCCTCCTTTGAACACGAGTTTCCAAAGTTGAGCTTTTAAGATGAATCTCGGAACTTGTAGCTAGCGCTCCTACGAACGTCATGTAAACCTTGGCTCTTGTACCTGCCTTAGCCACAGAATCGGTGTACGCAATGATACTGTATTCAACACCTAAAAATTTAACAATTAAGCAGCTCTCTCATTCATTGATAAATTGTCTAACAGGAGCAGTGAACTCTCAATAAACACTGGAGCATAACTGGCAGTTTTTCTCTAACTTGGAACTCATTAATTAAGACCGGCTTACACTTGCATTTAGCTGCTTTATTCCCTTTGATTGATGCGAACGAGCAAATAGTTGTTAATGCTGTGATGTGCATGTCTCTTCATAAGAAAATCCATAACTTATCCCCTCGTTCACATCCATCAAAAGAAGAAAATCTCAACGAAAATTGCCAATTGAAGAGGATATATAGTTGAAAATCGAACAGGACTTTATAGTTGAAAAGTAAATTAAAAATCGGTTTTCACACGGGGTTTTCTAATTAAGAACATAAACCAAGATTTCTAACACCGTCCAAGATGCCGGAAGGTACACCACTGACCTGTCTTGGCGGGGGTAGGACTCGGGGGCTGAGGTGTTGGCGGTGCCGTGGGAGCAGGACTTGGTGCTAGAAAACAAAAATTAGAAACGTAAGAAATCACAAAGGTCTGCTATGGTATGGAATAAGTAATGCTAAACAATCCGTACGATAACGCTGATCAAAATTTCCCGCATGAAGGCTGAAACTCACAGGGTGGAAATAGGCCAATGTGGAAATTGTGCTAGTGAAACAGGGCCTTTACCAGTCGAGATTTTATTTAATAATTAGTACGAAATTAGCAGTATGGATCACGTATAAGTCTAAAAGTCCTCCCTGTTACTCAAAAAAGCAAAAGTTCCCCAGGAAGCTTGAAATCAGTACACTGGTTGTTCAATTTTAAAAAGTTGCTGAAAAGTTGCCGAGCACAATCTGCAGAGCCTTGTTGGAAATGCAGGGTGCAAAATGAGCAAAAATGGTAATTATTTACCGATTGTCACTTTAAAGACGAAATATTCATTCCTGTGGTTGATCCATTTCTTGGCAGGGAATACATATTTCTCTCCGTCATAAGTGACGACGGTGATCTGGAACAGATATAAGCCTTATAAAAAAAGCTTAGATTATAGGTTTAAGTCATATTTGGATAATATCATCCAATTACGTCGGCGAACCGCACGAAAAACCAACCATTTCTGTTAAAATTTAAATGCTAAAGCTAAGTGAAATTCGAAACTCACCTCTTCTAAATACCAATCATTCCCTTTTTCCCTTATAACTGCAATTCTACTCAGCGTAGTCAGGTCCTCTTCATCTTCGATGGTGAATTGGTTTATTCTAAATACAGCATTAGGAATATCAGTATAATTACCAGGGGATAATTCTGGCATCTGATTGGTTGAGCGACCTGGGACTATTACGCAATAATCACCTAAACGGATTTTTCTAAATGGCGGCGAGTTTTGTCAAAGTGACACAATAAGAAAAAAGTTAGTTTAAAGAAAATCAGAACTTGAAGCACAAAAGGGAAGAACAGATTGGCTTTAAATTATTCTGAAGAAAGAAAATTACGTCGTAGAACGCTCCCTGTATTAAAAATCTTGACTTAATCTCGGTTTCTTATTCAGCGAAATTCACTTTGCCGTCGGCGAATAATTGTTAAATATGGTAGTTCTATTTAACAATTAGACAACGAGTCGGAGTTGTCTATGAGCGAATAGTCAACGAAGGCGAAGCCTGAGTTGACTATTCGCTCATAAACAACGAAGGCGAGTTGTCTAATTGTTTTAGTATACACCCTGTACTTAGATATATTAATTTCGAGAAAATTATCGATACACCGCAATTACACCGAAAAATAATTCAATTTTATACGGTCGCGCGAGCGAAATTTTCCTAAGCGTGCACCATCACGAATAGACAATGGTTGAGTAGCCAATCAGAATGTAGGATTTGTAATAGACAATAATCGGGTGTATACTAATATGTAATGTTAGTTCTTTCTCAATGACAGGTCCACTGGACTGACCTATTTCCAAATCTTCTCTATAACACCTTTTTATTTGTCGTTATATTCTCAGTTTTTAAATTACTTTTTAAATATATGGTCTTTATATACGGTCCATATATACGGTATCTATAAATCAACATATCACGCAAACTGATTGGTCCATAGCCAAAATGTAAACAAGCGCTCTGATTGGCCTAAAATGAAATTCCTCCTTGTTTCAACAATAACAAATCGAGCAAACTCACGATGCGCGTGAAATGACGTCACCAGCCACTGCTCCAGTGAGTTGTGTTGGAGTAATAGCCTTAGGTTGTTTCGTTTTCCTCGACAAACCAAATATCTTGATATACACTTTGGAATTTGTCTCCGCATATTTCACATCACCAGTTTTAACTATAACAGTGTACTTCACTAGAAACAAATAGGCACAAGTCTTTAGTTCACAAGAAAACAACAATTCTTGAAAAAAAAAACGAGAACTGGCAGGAAGATGGTGGCGTAGCTAGCATGACAGTTTATTTTGTCCTGCTATGCTGATATGTTGGTGTTCATTGGCTGTGTAAACAATGAATTCCAAAAAAACGAATAATTATGTTAATAACTTTTGCAGCAGAAAAAAAGAGTCAGGCTGGCTACGTCACTGCAGGAAGAAAGCATTTTTTAATTATTCAGTACAATTATATAGCCTTTTATAACCCCCCCCCCCTAAAGGCGTACAGGCAGGGGCGCACATTAGGGGGGGGGGGTGTGGGAGGGTGTCATATGAAGGTATGCTCTTATGTCATATGAAGCTATGCTCTTACGTCATATGAAGCTATGTTCTTACGTCATATGAAGCTATGCTCTTACGTCATATAAAGCTATACCTACCTTTCGTTATAGTGACAGTTTCCACTGGACGAATGTATGTACTTGGTCCTGAAGAGGATAAAGATGCCATAGTATAGATTAGGTAGGATAAAATACGAGTTACTGATATTATATATAAATGTTTTAAATTGCCGCTATTTTGGTTGACTATACAATAGCCAAAAAATAAACAAAAAGAAAGTAAAACAACTCGGTTTGTTACTCTTGAAGCGCGGAAGAGAATTTCGTAAAGCCAAACCAGGATGGCGCCTAATGACAGATTATGAAGTCATATGCAAACAATTGATAGAGATCAGGACGGAAATGAGATTAATAATAGAGATGGTCTAGGGTCTTGTAAATAGTTTCTTGTATAAGTTCATATCGAGCGAGAGTTAGAGCAGGTGTTCAAAAAGATTCAAATCGCAATATCGCACTTACTTGAAGTAATAGAATAGCTTACGCCCGTTTTCTTCAACCAAAAATTACCAATAAATTCATATTTTTCTCCTCTTCCTGCCACAATTGTAATCTAAATACGCCCCGGAAGTTAATAAAATATCAGTATTTAGGCTTTTCATTCATATCGCACGTTGGTCATATTAGGCAAATTTTCTCCTAGCACAGAGGGCTCAGTTTCCCAGCGGTCGTCGCATCAAAAATTAAAACCTTTTCGTTTTACGCACTACTCTCAATTTTATGTAAGTTGTCCTCTGACAATATGAGCCTGCACGAGTGGGAGAAATTTAGCCAATTTCATTCAAGGTAAAGTGGAGAAATACATACTCTCTTTAACAGCCACGGTACTCCAAATGAGAATCCTGACATTGTAATTTCAATTTGGTCTATATTAATCAGGTCGTTTGTTGCTCGAAGATTCTTGAAAGTATCAGTTCTAAAATAATGTAATTTTAGAATATTCATCAATATAAAAGCAGTAACTCAAGTTGTCAATTCAAATTGAGTTTACATCTGCCAAGCAGAGCGTAACCAGTTGGTGGACGGTGGATGATGATAGTTGGTTAGTTTAATTCACTTCTGATGGATGTTTTAAAGTCTGTTGACTTGCAATGTATATGGCCAGCAAATCAATTAAAGCCAGTGCAGTACTGCTTTATCAATAACAGACTACATTTCACACGTCAGAAGTGAATTGGGTCAGACAAAAATTGGATGGTGTGAAGAGAATTATGATTATTTTTTGCTACTTACTTTCCCATTTCGAACTTGTTCACATGATTTTCACTTTTTTCCAATTTTAATCGGTTGGTAGCAGCACGCAATCCTGACTTTCTTAACATTCCATAGAGCGTGATATCAACGTTACAGTCTGTGCCCGCTCCAAGTGACGTACCAGTCTCGACAACAACTGTGTACTGAGTGTCTTATATGAGAACAAAACGTTATTAAAACTAACTTTAGTAAATCAGATTTTGAATAAGTTTCTACTATTTGCATTTAAGGATGTAGCTGTTTCACTGGTTTGATAATGAATAAGGATACGTTCACATGGGACCGGACGAATTTGGAACCGTCCTCGAATTTTTCACACAGTAAAAATGGATGAAAATTTGGCCGGTTCTTCGTGTGAACACACGAGGAAACGTCCTAAATTCGTCCCTAATTCGTCCTGTCCCTTGTGAATGTAGCCTATAATGTATAAATAAACTTAGGTAAAAGGTAAACATGCAGACATTTTGTTTTGCTAATCCAAATGTTTCAAGCTTGAAATTTGCACATTTAATGTTCTTTTTGATCGATTTGAGACGCATATCGTACGCACGCATTGCGTATTTCATTCATTTTAAAGTCATTACAGTTCCACCCGACGCTTCAGTTTGATACAGTTTTACATATTTTTGTCAGACCATTGATCAAGCCTTAAAATGAATAACTTCTTAGACTGCTTGATATTGGAAAAATAATCCAAAACTAGATTCGTAATATTTAAACGTAAACAAACTGAGTGGTGAACGCAAATGGTAATGTCGTGTTTCTTCCCAAGTTGGGTTTTGTCGTAATATTTGAGAACAAAACATTGTTATTCAGGGCCAGATTATTTTTTTCACAATTTTTGAAGGCCCTGTTACAAAGTTACAACTTTTCATGCATGCAACTTGTCTCACAATGTCCTTGCAAGAGTAAGACAAGTTACATCAAGTGTTAAACACATGAGAACTGACTCCTGCCTCGCGCAGCCTGTCTTGCAACAGCACTGCGAAACAAGTTGTATGAAAAATTGCACCGTGTAACAGGCTTTCATGAAATAAGTGTTTATTTCGGTATTTGTGTGATCAGGAATCATCAATGATTAATGACAGGCCTTGGGAAGTTTCAACTATGCGTCGGCGTTTTGCTCGACACATAAGATCTACTTCGACCTGATCAATTCCTGATGTCACAACTTGCCTCATCCAATATTAGTTCCCTGTCAATATATGTTCTCATTATGGTTGACCAGTGACCGCAATTTACAAAATAAAAGTTGAAACTCAAGGCACAAAATCTGAGGAAATAATAATCACTCACAAGTGATGACTTTGAACAAGAAGTATTGATTTACGACGTTGATCCATGACTTGGCGGAAAATACATATCTCTCTCCATTTTGAGTAATGACCGTTATCTGGAACGTATAGGAAAAAACAGTTATGCAATGAAAGAACACAAAATCATACCAATATCTCAAAGCAAACACTTTATTTGTCAAAATTTTGTTGGTTTTGTTGTCTTTGTTGGTTTCAAACTTTCCCGCGGCTCGGCCTTCGACGCTAAACTCAATATATAACTGGATGATCGACTCCCCCCGCCAGATGAAATAAAACAAGCTCAGCAACGATGGCATTTGAGAATTCTCAAACTAAAATCTATTTGTTTGCATAAAACTCTAAATGACGGTTCTCATAGCCACCATATTTGAGCATTCAACGGGTTGACCTTTTTCACGAGAAGTACATTTTAAAACTAGAAAATGGGCGAAGATTTAAATGTATCCACGACTGCATTGCTGGATGTATTCCATGGGTTTATGGTAAAATTTGACTTCAAGAAAATTTATCATGAGGAATCTAGCTATTTTCTCGCTTTCTTTCCACTTGTTGAGATCGCACAGCCCAAAGTCGAAACACGGCTCCTCCTATTCGTATTTCCAGTGCTTGTGAATGATCTGAAGTATGCTTATCTTTGAAACTCACTTCTTCTAAATACCAATCATTCCCTGTGTTATCTCTCAAAACTTCGATTTCACTGAGGGTTGTCAGGTCCTCTTCATCTTCAATGGTGAATGTGTTCACTCTAAAATGTACAAACGCCTCGTGATTAGCCTCGTGAAAAGAAATTAATCCTTATAACCCAAAAAATTTAAAAAGCAAATTCCGAATAAACAGGACATCCTGAAGGTCACAATTTGAATGAAACAGGTCACAGGTTGAGACTGTAAATTTTCGACTTTATTTCAAAGTTATCTTCAGGCAGAATGAAGATGACTTTGAAATAAAGTCGAAATTGATTAATTCTGTGTGAAGATGACTTTGAAATAAAATCGAAAATTTAACCGTTTCAACCTTTGTCTTGTTTGATTCATATTTTGACTCTCAAGATTTCCTGTTTAAACGGAATTTGTTTTTTTTCACTTCAATCCTTGTAGCATTAATACGAAAGACTCACGATCCTCGTAAGAAAGCATCACCAACAACTGCTCCAGTTAGTTGTGTTGGAGTGATAGACTTAGGTTGTTTCGTTTCCTTCGACAAACCATACATCTTGATATACACTTTAGAATTTGTTCCCGCACGCTGCATATTGCCAGTTCTCACTATCACAGTGTACTTCGCTAGAGACAAACAGATGCATCGGGTATATGAAGCATAGTTTAAACAACGTTTCATGTTTTTCATGTCATAAAACCTGAATCCTATTGTGATGTTCGCCTTTAAGTTCGTTTTCCACATGGCGAAATTATTCGCGCGACGCGAAGCGATATCTAAAATCCGGTGATATAATTGATTCGCCGCGAAAAAGTAGAAACTCTTTCTCATTTTTATCTGTTCGCGCGAATAAACTCGCCTAGTGGAAAACGGGCTTTAGGCCCTAGTTTCGCCGTCTTTTGGCGCTAGGACGCGAAAATTAGGCATGAGAGGACGGGCAGGAAAAAACTAATTTTGGTTTCTATAAATTTTCGCAAAAGCGGCAAAATTGGCAAGGTCAATTATTGAACTCAATTTATTATGTTATATTTATTTATTATATACGAACAGTCGAGTGGTATCATTTGCTTTCATTTAATGGCACCCATGCTTTAAGGAAAGTCTACTCAGAGATATGGGAGTAATATATCCGTGACAATTTCCAATACATGAAAAGTAATACACTTTTTGTACACTTTAACAACGGGGAATTTCGCTTTAAACTAATCGGCACTGTTGTTTAAATGTTTTAGGCAAAGCCAATCAGAATGCCTATATTTTTAATACTTCATGTAAAATGGTGAATAATTTTACTTTTTACCGGAAGTAGTCAAAATTTATGCATTCTGATTGGGTTACAGAAAATGTAAAAGAACTTGCTGATTGGTCTAAAACGAAATTCCCCCTTGTTATACACATTACAAAAAGCGTCGTATGATTTATGTCACGCACCAACCTACCTTTTGGTACAGTGACAGGCGCCAGTGGGAGAACGTTTGTACTCGGAACTAAAGATGAGAAACCACCGTCATATAGATTAGGATAGGTGAAAATACTAGTTATACATATGGATACCAGGGGCCGGCTGTTCAAAAGGTGGATAAAGTTATAACCACTGGATGTTGACTTTTTCAACCGTCGTAAAGAAGCTCAGAAAAATAAACGATAAAGTTACTTATAAAAAAATATTTTAACTTCAAAATTGTGAAGTTTAATCTTGGCCACATGGCGGGGAGTTTTTGGCCAGCATAAATTCCCCCTAACTAACCCTCAAAAAACGCACTCACCAGAAAAAATGAGATAGTTCATGTCCGTCTTCAACCAAAAATCACCAATAAATTCATATTTTTCTCCTTTTCCAGTCATAACTGTAACCTGAATGCGTACCAAATGTAATTTAATGAAAGAAAACAAAAATTGGGTGCATTTTTTTAACGCTAGACTAACTCAAATGGATAAATTTAAAATGGAGGAATAATCACCTTTTTTAACTGCCACTCTGGTCCAAGTGAGAACCCTGACGTTCTAACTTCAATTTTGTTAATATTAATTAAGTCTTTGGGATCTTGAAGATTTTTGAAAGTGTCAGTTCTAAAATATTGGAATTATATTTATCCACTTCATTTATAATAGGTGGGACTATTTTAAACGAATCAATCAGCAACTGGTCTATCAATTCAAACCGAGTTACCATTTGTCAAGCAGAATACAAGAGGACTAACCGAGGGGGGGGGGGGGGTTGTCACTTACTGAAAATTGACAAATTATCTGGGAAATGGTAATCAGTGTCATTTTAAGTAAAAATAAAGTAAGGTAAAGTATTTTGTCTCCTACAACAAAGCTGATTTCCTCAAAGAGGGGTTTCAGAGAGACTCGTGCAGACAAGTGAAGATGGTGGTTACGGTGGTGCATGTATCACTCTGTGAACGTGTGACTCGAGTCAGTCCCCAAAGATTTCCTTCAAAACTTACTTTCCCATTTCGAACTTGTTCGCATGATTTTCACTCTTTTCTAATTTCAATCGGTTGGTAGCAGCATTTAATCCTGTCTTTCTTAACATTCCATAGAGCGTGATCTCAACGTTACAGTCTGTGCCCGCTCCAGCTGACGTACCAGTCTCGACAATAACTGTATACTGGGTGTCTTATAAATAAACAGAATAAACTTAAAGGTAATGTACAGTTGGGTTTGCTCACTAACAACGCAGGTCCCGTAAATTTGAAAATTGTTCAAAATCTCGCTTGCATGTTTAATTTCCGCGATATTTCTAGAAACGAACTCACTGTATAAGCACTAAGCAATGCCAATTTAAGTCCCAGAAAAAAGTACTCCGGTTTGATTCATAATAGCTTCTAAACTAGCTAAGTAAGCTATTAAACTGAAATAACTTTCACTAGATAGAGGGAAGACTAACTTAGATTTTGATATATGACAGTTGTATTTTACTTAAAAATTTACGGAGATATCAATGTTCAAAATTGGTAGCATATTTCTGGATGTGTCTAAATTATGCAAAAAACGCCGTATCAAATATTAATCAAGCTTTTCTCAACTGAAACATGCACTATTAGCAGTAAATAAATGACACTTGACAAATTGTTTATTATGAAACGAAGTATTATTATTTAATGTGGAAAATAATACAGCCTTTTTGCAATTACACATATAACAGTATCAGCGCTATTGTTTTCGTTACGTTTTGTTCAAAAAATGTTGGATGTCCCTGGGGAGTTGCATGTTGTGCCTTATGGAATTATGGTTTGAATGTGTTTTATTTTGAGTTTATCTTTAATATGCCAAGATTAAGTAAAGATCAAAGAGTATGGGTGTGTTTATTTACTGCTAATAGTGCATGTTTCAGTTGAGAAAAGCTTGATTAATATTTGATACGGCGTTTTTTTGCATAATTTAGACACATCCAGAAATATGCTACCAATTTTGAACATTGATATCTCCGTAAATTTTTAAGTAAAATACAACAGTCATATATCAAAATCTAAGTTAGTCTTCCCTCTATCTAGTGAAAGTTATTTCAGTTTAATAAATTAGCTAGTTTAGAAGCTATTATGAATCAAACCGGAGTACTTTTTTCTGGGACACCCGGTATTTTAAGCAAACCGTGATTGGGCAGAATATTCTCTAGTGCTTAATGTTGACCAACGATCTCAGAAGCAGAAATAATAATCACTTACAGGTTGTCACGTCAAACATGAAATATTGATTTACGTTTGTGATCCATCTATTGGCTGGAAATACAAATTCTTCCCCATTTTGGGTAGTGACAGAAATCTGAAAGGCATGAGAGAGAGGTTCATATGATTTTATATATCACCTAATTAATATAATGTCTTTTAATTGGTTGTTTTTGATCACGTGGCATTAAATAAAAATTTACATTTTACCGACCGTAGTTCTAGCCGTGCAAATAGTTCTTTCCATTGCACTGTTACTTTCACTAAATTATTAATATTAATTATTATTATTATTTCTTATTTTTTCACTTTTATTATTAAGTAGATCTTTTTTGGTGTCATATAAAACATTCCATCTTTCACCTCATGAAAATATTCTTACCGCATTGCACTCATATCCATTCATTATTAGTATATGACTGTACGTGATTAGTTGAAGAAAGATCGTGTTTGGATAACATTATCCAAAAACAAGCAGTTTCGGTCAACATTTTGAAAAGAACTTTTAAAAGCTTTATTTGATATAAGAAACACCAATCATATTTTCGAATTGAACTCATTGTACGCGAGATTAGTTGTGATGTTTGGATAGCGTTTGGATACCCAAAATACACACTTTGTAGTCAAAATTTTCAATGTTTCAATCTTTTACTTTATACAATAAATATGTTCATCAGAAGGTGACTAGCTAATTTTAATCCAACCACGTTGTGCAAACACGTATTTCTTAAATACTTGTGAGTGATGCGAAGTATGCTTATTTTTTAAACTCACGTCTTCTAAATACCAATCATCTCCTCTGCTATCTCTCACAACTCCGATCTTACTCAGGGTTGTCAGGTCCTCTTCATCTTCAATAGTGAATGTGTTTACCCTGAAATTTACCATAAAAAACAATGTTAGTTCTAAGACTCTCAATCCCTAATTCTTACTCTAATCCTAATCCAAAGTCTAATCCTAACCGACATTAACCCTAACTCGAATCCCGACAAATCTACACCATGAAATAACAGAGAAAGTTCGATTTAAGCCCTCAGTCTTGCTTTGAAATTAACAGGTTTCCAAACGGGTAGTGTCGCAGCTCCTCGCAAGAATGCTTTTATTGGCTGAACTTTACAATACATTTCTGTTTCAACCAATAGCATAGCTTCGTTCTTTAGAAAGCATAGAAAAGCATTATCCAATTGGACGAAAGCTTCCGAGAGCTGCGACATGTCCCTTCCAAACATCATTCAGTTATGCAATCTGATTGGACTTTGACCAAAATGTAAACAAGCAATCTGATTAGCCTGAACCGGAATTCCTCCTTGTTGCAGCTATAAGAAAGTTAACCAAACTCACGATGCGCGTGAAATAACATCACCAGCAACTGCTCCTGTGAGTTGTGTTGGAGTGATAGCCTTAGGCTGTTTCGTTTTCCTCGACAGACCATATATCTTGATATACACTTTAGAATTTGTGTCGGCGTACTTCATAACACCAGTTTTCACTTTAACAGTGTATGTCACTAGAAAGCAAGGAGATAAAAGCCTTACACATCGTGCATATGAGGCATAATTTTAACAACGTATCGTGGCATAGATCCGAAACTTATCCACAGGTCAGACCCTCAATTTTTCCTATCCGGCTAATGCCCACAAGTCCCCGTTTTTAGTGTTTTATTGAGCAAATCACGCGATAGCTCCAGGGGCGGGGAATGCATTCCAAATTATCTAAAATGATGGGAAAGGACTGGAACTGTTGTCAACCCATTTCTCGGTTGAAACAACTTAATATCCTCGGTCTGTTAACCTGGGCCTTCAGTCAGTGCAATAGACCTTTCTCCAGTTTTAACTTTCAAGCGCGCAATGCGTGACGGTAGTTGATTATCAAGGTCAATTTAAGTTGTGATTTATGGCTAAAATATAAGCGAAGGATCACCTAGATGACGAGATAAGATTAACAAGCGGGATCTCGAGCACAATCGCTGTCCATACTTTACTGGGTGCGATTACTTTGAGCATTTTGATTTTATATTCCTTTCCTAGGTGATATCCCTATATTGTTTTAGATTAAAGTATTGAACTCTCGGAATCTGTTATTACTTTGGTTAGTTTTTGGCTGGTTGAGGGCGAAAAATGCTTTTGAAATGGCCTTAACAACAGGTTTATGGCTAAAAACACATAAAAACAAAAATAAAATAAATAAAAACAAGTTTTTGCGGTTCCTACTTTTGATGTATGTTATTTATTAACCATTGCAAAAGCTGCGATTTGATTGGTCCATTTCCCAAGCTCCCAGCACATGTTGCTACAGCGAAATTCGCCTGCGAATATTATGTGATTTCTTTGTATTTCTTGAAGACTTATTGCCCTTTTTTTGAAACTTCGTTTGTTGAATTATCTTTTTTAAATAATTTGGGACGAAATAATGGGAAATCTGCAGAACAGGAAAAGAAAAAAGAAGAGAATTCCACCGTCAAGGAGAGCTAAGAAATTGAAATTCAAAGATGGCGGTGAACAAGTAGAACAACCATGTGAAAACCCCGGGCCTTCTCCATTCAGTCCTTTGCCTCCTCTGGCTCCTCAGATGAAACTTAGGGATTCACAAAGCGAATTTAGTGAAACCTCTTGCCACAGTGACTCTGTTAAAGAAGGTACTATTTTTATGGATTTGGAAATACTTTTTGGTGCATTTGGTGAACTATTGAAATGCCCTGACTGTGGCAGTCAAACAAGATCCCATGTTGACATGAAAAAGAAGAATGGTTTCTCGCATTATATCGTTCTACAATGCGATAATCCCGAATGTGACTGGAAGCATTGCTTTCATACATCACAAAAGAATGGGCGATCATATAATGTCAACACAAAAGCAGTCTTGGCCTTTAAGGAAATTGGTCATGGACACAGTGCCATGAAGACATTTGCTAAAGTCATGAACATGCCACCACCACCAACCATACATAACTTCATGAAAATCCAAAATAAGGTACAAATATAGAATACCCTGTGCATTATGTTAAAGACCTGTTGGAGGATCGATTTTAGAGAATAGAATTGCCCTGTTCTTTCAAAATTGCCCTATTCTTGTTCTTTGGAGGTCCAATTCACACATTAAGAAATATAAAACAAGGTACATTTATCTAGACTATATGGCATTCACTGTTAAGAGTTGGGTTGGCAGGGTATTCTATAATTGCTCTGGTTGAGTGGTTGTTTCACCAAAATTTGTCAAAGGAAACATGAAAATTGTGTTTTAAGAACAACTAGCAAATATCTCTGGTATTTACGTACATTCACTTATTTTTTTAATAAATTGTAGTCAAGGAAGGAATATCTGTGAATGTGCTGATGATTATGCCTAAGATTAACTTTACCCAATCGTTGCAATAGAATAAAGTCAATAAACAGTTATTGTTCCAGTTTCTATTGAGTTCACTGGTAAGAAAAAAGTTGAAGAAAAGAAGAAAAGCAGCTATTTTTTAAAAAAGGTGTATTGAGAGGCATGGGTGAAATATCCCCCATGATAATTTCCTATAAACCAAAAGTTGCTTACTACACAAAGTGTCATATATGATGTGATTCTCACACCTACCTTTCCATATGGTGACAGGTGCCACTGGTTGAATGTTTTTACTAGGGGCTAATGAGGGAGAGAAAAACACCATGGTAAGGATTAGGATTGAGTGAGATTCGAGTCATAGGTGGTTTACAATTGCAACCATCTCGGATGAACAGGCACCGACCAAGAAGCTTAATTGGGTGGGTGCATATTCATATATTCAAGTTTAAAAGAGGCTATCAAAAGAAATCAATCGGGTATAAGAAGAAAATAAATATGCACCCCCCAATTAAGCTTCTACATGAAGTTTCAAAACATGTGAACAATTTTTTTGTGGCTGTATTTTAATAGCCAATAAAACAAAGAAACAAAGACATAAAAAACTTTTTTTTTGCTTACTTTGTAATCAACTTAAAAAGCACAAAAAAGTTTGTAAAATTAACCTAGAGATTTTGATGTCCAATGCATGAAGGGATAGCTTCAGGCAAAAATATTGATTAAATATGGAAGATGGAATATATTTAAGATGGAATAGAAAATTGAGGCAAATATGCTATGTTGTAAAAAGATTATCTGAGTCATCTCCAAATTAAACTCATTATTTACTCAGTGAGTGTTTGATATAAGTTTACTTTGTGGGAAAGCTGGAATAATAGTACAAAATGATTCATCATAAAGTCTCTTTCCACAATTTCAGAATATCGCACTCACCTGAAAAAAAGAGATAGCTTGCATCCGTTTTCTTCAACCAATTATTAATAGCAAACTCGTATTTTTCTCCTTTTCCAGTCATAATTGTAACCTAAAGATGTCCCAATATATTTATATTTCGTATATTTAGAGAAAAATTTCACAATCATCACAAACATTTCACTACCATCACAAACATTTCACAAACATTTCACTACCATCACAAACACTTCACTACCATCACAAACATTTCACAAACATTTCACTACCATCACAAACACTTCACTACCATCACAAACACTTCACTACCATCACAAACACTTTATTTTCTTTAAAACACTTCTCATCATTATTACAACATTCATTCCAAAATTATGGAGAATTAACTACCTTTTTCAACTGCCACTCTGGTCCAAGTGAGAACCCTGACGTTCTAACTTCAATTTTGTTAATATTAATCAAGTCTTTGGGATCTTGAAGACCGATGAAAGTATCAGTTCTATTAAAAATAAAATTATTTTTATCAATTCATTGCCCGGTGTAATTTTCAGAAAATCTTTGCTCACATCTGTTAAGTAGAATAACAATAGCATAACCACGGGGTGGTTGGTGGTTGGTATTTGGACTTTGTAGGTGCTGAAATTTAAGGGCTCGCGGAGAGTGTTGAGCCGCGTTTACACTACGTGGTTTGACAAGGCCTAGACCTAGGTGTGAACGTTGTTTATCTGGCCTAGACCAAGCCTGGACCTGGTCTAGGCCACAAAATCCAGGCCAACAGAAGAAGGTGGGCCCAGTGGGCCAGGACCTGATCAGGTTGATCTGGAGCACGATTTTAGGGATGTGAATGGATTTTACCTAGTCCTGGTCTATTTTTTTTGTCTTGTAGTTCCATTTTGGCGTGTTTGGTGTCTTGTTCAAGACTTAAGAGAGTGAGGGCTAAATCAAAGATAGACTTTCCCCGCGTGGAATTTTTTTTTATTTTCTGTGTTTAAGGAACAGGGGTATCTTGATAAAGTCGGCCGGGAAATATCTGCCAGTTGCCTACGATGTTTAAAGCTCTTTTACTATTGAAGTGGATGACGAAAATATGACCCCCCCCCGCTCTCACCCGCGCCCCACTCCTCCCTTCTCCGCTGCCCATGAAGATGGAAAATTTTCTTAGAAAATGCGATCAAAAACATTGTTTTTGTAACCTACTTTCCCTTTTCGAATTTGTTTCTATGATTTTGACTCTTTTCCAATTTCAATTGGCTGGTAGCTGCATGGTTTCCCGTCATTCTTAATAATCCATAGAGTGTGATTTCAACTGTACAGTCTGTGCCCGCTCCAGGTGACGTGCCAGTTTCGACAATAATTGTGTACTGGACTGCCTCTGAAAACACATAAGACTTATCACGTTAACGCAAATAGTAACAACTCTTATTTAGAGGATGCTAGAAAGTGTAACAATAAACATAGAATAAAAATTATTCCGAATTATGAGTGCAGATTCGAAATAATAATTATACAGTTTCAATTAACAGTTGTAACTTTAAAGTCGGTTTTCCACAAGGCGGAATTTTTCGATCGAAAGAAATTTTTCGCTCGATTTTCTTTTCCAATTGTGACCGGTGAAGGGAACCGTTAGCACAAATTTATTTTGGGATCACTTTCGCTGGGAGCTTAAATTCTGCGTTCGGAGTTTACATATAGTGCTTAAATTCTGAAACAAAAACAATTAAACCTGCCACAAACATAAACCCTCAAACTAACCAAAAAAAGAAGTGACGGAAAAACTGCCTAGACGTGTCTTAATATGCACTCATTATTCGGAATAACTTTCATTCCATATTTGCTAAAATTATCGGCTGAAAAGTATTTTGTAAAAATAAACGATAACTGAATTTTGACCGACGTACGAAGAAAATTTTGCACCACAGCTATCATTTCATTCATTTGTCCCTCCAAACAGTCCATAGATGCTTTGCGGTTCGCGACTAGACCCAGTACCCTGCTCGATTAGGAAATGGCTAATTGTTGGGCTGTCCACGATGTTATTCATGGGAATAGGGATTTTATTGTCACTCGAGATATTGTCACTCCCTTCATATATTTAAATTAAACAAAGGCAAACAAACATTTCCACGTTTGACCACAAGAAGATCATAATCTGACTTTGCCATCTGGGACTCTTCCCCAACGAAGTTTACTAACTTTTGCTTTTCGAGAGAACTTACTCAGTGCCGTGGAAATTTTGTTTTCTTGCTTATTTTAAAACTGTCTATACCATGTTTACATAAGGTTTTTTTGGTGGCTATTAAAATAAAACGATGAAAATATTATCTGCCTACATGTTTTAAAAAGTTGACGAAGATGGCACTTGCCAATCTGTATATATATAGATCAGAAACCTGCCCATGTAATTCCAACGAATGGTCAACTTGTCATCTTAGTGAATACGGTAATATACAATGGCAATGCTAAATTAATTTAGCGCGTAAACAAAGAAAAGGAAACAGAGCAATTACAAACAAATGTCAGACATTCAAAATATTTCATTAACTGTAAACAAAGCTAGGGGCTTGAGTCAAACCCTAATTGAAACTTACCTGAAAATGCCACCAACAAAATTAGCCAAATTAAAGAGAATATTTGAGTCATGCTTGTTCGTTGTTTTTGAATATGTCAATTTAGAACATTGTTGAGTTATATTTTCTAAAAAAGATATTAACACAAGCCTTGCAGTCGCAGTCACAAGACAGGTGGGTTACTGGTAAAAAATAAACAAAGTCAAAGTTGTTTGTCAAAGTTCATGGTTTTAACCGTAGCATATTATATCAGAAAACTCGACGGAATAACAGCAAAGAAAACTCGAGGAATTAATCATTTAGATCCCGTATTTGTCCGACAGACACTAACAGTACTGTTAGTATTGTTAACAATGTTGTTAAACCTTCAATGTTGTTGCAACGGTATTGATGGTTTAATAACTATTGCTAACAATGCTGTTAACAGGATGCAAATGCTGTTTTAAATAAACTTATATCAATGATTTGACACTTGTGGTCGAGGTAAAGTGGTATATCAGAGATTTAAAATTGTGGCCAGTTTTGTTCGATCCAGTGGTGTTAACGCACGTTAAAAAAAAGGCCCCCGGCATCAGAGACTAGTGTCCTATTCGTAGAGTTTACGCAAAGATTGAAAAAGGAGGATTATGATGTATTGAGAAAAACATGATTACTGACAAACAGGGGCCGTTTGTATTAAGCCCGTTTAGCTTAAACGGTGGTTAAGTTCAAAATAGAAAGCATGTTTATCGTTTTATTCAAGAAGAAAACTAAATGTTTTTAACCTTAATACAAAGATACTGTTTACATCTACCCAGTGAATAATATTCAAGTTGACTCATTGAAGAGAGATGTAAGAGTGTTATTTAAGTTTGACTTATCCACCGCTAAGGTAAACGGGCCTGATACAACCGGTCTCAGGGCGCCACAATACCTAATATACCCAAGGACCCCACCTCCGTTCGTTACGCCACTGATTCGAGCCACGTCTAAACCACACATAATTTTCTAAACGCCCACGAGTATTCACCACAATTTTCCACGCCTAATTTTTTAAACGCCCAGTATCCTTCAGCGGATAGTGATATTTGTTCAAGTATTGTAACAATGCCGGAAAAACAGTAAAATTACAGCTCAAATATAAAGTGGTCCGAAGTCGGAAATAGTTGTATTGCATGGGTTTTTGTTTCCCGGACCACCTCTTTACAACGACATTGTTGCTAAGCAACTCTTTGGTTATCTCTGGCTATCGTTATCTTCGTTGTCTTCGTTGGTGCTGCCCTGGTCACCATAGGGTTGGGTATCCCAGGGGACAGAGTTAGAAAAACAACACCCAGGTGGGCACTCGGAACGGCATTGCCCCGGGGAGCAGAAAGGGGGGCATCGTACAACTGGCGGTAAGCCTGCAGGCATAAAACCAGGCTGTTGCGGGCTATTACAACAGGCAGGTTGACAGGTCGATGCACAAGACGACTGTCCACACGTGGATGGACAATAAACTGGTGAGCCTGAAAAAAACATTCACAAACATATTATCAACTATCGACAGCTCTGACTTTAAGGTATTGAATAATTGAGTATATAACATGACTCTGGCAGTAAAGTAATCATCCAAACAATAGCATGCGCTTGTTTGGTTTCACGAATACTAATTTCAATACCTCAAAGTCATCTCACGCTTCGTTGAATCTTATGACACTTTTAAAAGCAATTTGTCAGCCATTAATCTTTGTATTCAGAATTCGCTTCCGCAATAGCGCCTCACTGGGAGACTATTATTTTAAACAATTGTCAAAATTCCCCTTGTTTTGAATTCTTCTGAACACTAAAGCCCGTTTCAGACGTCGAACTTTTCATGTGCCGAATCGAATGCAAATGAACTTTAACAAAGACTTTAGCTCATTAACATTAGGTTCGGCACATGAAAAGTTCGACGTCTTAAACGGGCCTTACTCTATTTTATATTCATTTAGCGCTATAGCGAACGATCAGAACGTCATCCCCTGATATAAGAAAAAACTGGTTAAAAATATTCAAATCAAACATGACCTACCATAATTATTAGGTATGGTTACTTCGGGAGCAGTTTGAGTATTCGGTGTTTGGGTGGAGGGGGCACCGGGGACACCGAGGGTCGATGGTGCAGCTGGGGTTGATGGTTTACCTGGTGACGTGGTTGGCGATTTACCTGCACTCTTGGGTGCTATTACTTTATTTCTTTTATCTGCAAGAAATAAATATATAAAAATCCACGAAAAATCCTTCCGCCAATTAATGAGAAATTCAGACAATCCATTTGACCACTGTAAAGAGCAAATCAAACATAGTAAAATTGAAACGTTTGGTGGTGAAATAATTATTGTAAAGTGTGAAAGATCATCGTTTGAGTATATTACAAATTTCGTATATAAATTTGTATTACGTGTAAAAAAGCATTGCGGTCACAGACTCTTTTCGAAAGTTCCCAAAGCCTTTGTTTAAAGACCTTTTTGCCACTCCGAAAAATAACTTTTATTCTATATCTGCTGAAATTATCGGCTGAAAAGTATTTTGTAAAAATAAACGACAACTAAATTTTGACCGACGTACAAAGGAAATTTAGCACCACAGCTATCATTTGTCCCTCCCAACAGTCCAAAGATTGAAAAGTTTGGTGGTGAAATAATTATTGTAAAGTGTGAAAGATATTCATCGTTTGAGTATATTAAAAATTTCGTATATAAATTTGTATTACGCGTTAAAAAGCATTGTGGTCACAGACACTTTTCGGAAAGTTCCCAAAGCCTTTGTTTAAAGACCTTTTTGCCACTCCGAAAAATGTGCATCTTATATCCATTTAGCGCTATAGCGAACGGTTAGGGGACGTTTGTATAAAACGTCGTAAACTTAGTTAGCGCACTTTGAAAAATCCAAAGCTTTGCCTTTGGTAGATATCCTTGAAATAGTCTTACCTATGAATCCAACTATCGTGTCAGCTGAATTGCACGTCGAAGTGAAAGTCAAAGGCACATTTTTCTGTCCGTTATTAACTGAAATACACTTTCCACTTTTTACTTCCATCAACGAGCCACCGCTGGTGAACTTAAACTGCAACGCATGAGGCGTATTATAGCCAGGACGATATAATGTACAAGGATTATTCAACGTAACGCGATCGCCTGTCGCAGTATTGAGTGGGTCACCATTCTTCATGCCTTGAATACACATGCCACTTGTGAGGTGCTGTATGACTCCATCTGGTTGAAGTTTGAAGAGGTTTTGTAGCCTACCACAAGGTTGTAATAGGACGACATTTGACCCGGGAATCGGGTGCAACTTCGATTCAGATGGCTGGACGCACGGAGAATATCCTACGAACTTCATTGATGTCGCAGGATATGCTGGAACATAGACAATGATACGATTAAATTATCCATGACCCAAAATTTTACCCAATGAATGTTCACGTTCATTGTATACATAAGTCATAACCTAAAATGACCTAAAACGTCTTTCTTAGATCTTCAGTAACTTGCTCGATCCCTTCGAAATAAATTAAATTTTGTTTCTAATGTAGATTTTCACCGGTGCACGTGTTTCCTCACATTATGATATTTAGAGAATGCAATATTTCACGATGTGTGACAGGGTATTTTTAGGTTAGGATTAGCGTAAGGATTATATAGGTCTTCAGCCCTGGTCAAACAAGAATAATAGTTGATGAGAGTTGATGAGAGTTGCAACTCTCGCTTGCGTTTGACCGCGAACTCTGATACACTCTCGTGCACTCTCGTCAACTCTCATCGACTTTGAACTGGTTCAAATTTTGATGAGAGTTGATGAGAGTTTTGGCGCGTTTGATCGGTCATGAGAGTTGATGAGAGTTGCAAAACCACCAGCGGCTTGCATTTTTTTTTTGCAAAAAAAAAAGAAATCTTCTGAAAACAACTGGCAGAAACAAAAAAATAGCAAAACGAAGTGGAGTAATGACGAAATTAATGCGCGCGGTAATCAACTCTCGTTCTCAACTCTCATCAACTCTCATTCTCGTTTGACCGTCGCATCGAGAGTTTGGAAAACTCTTGTGTGAACTCTCGCTTCCCAACTCTCATCAACTATCATTCTCGTTTGACCAGGGCTTTAGAATAGGTCGATGTTTGATCCTAAATCTAACCTTAATCCTGGTCTAATCCTAAGAGATCATTTTAACCTGGATTTTTTTCCGAACTCGGAAGATCAGGAAAAAAACGGGTCAAGTAAAGTTTTACGTACAATCAGTGAGTGGTTTTTCCAAAGGTGTAGAACTGCCCAACCATGATCCCACGATGAACTCGTAAACTGTGTCGTGTTCATGAATGACTAAAACCTTGAATAAAAACGTGATACCTGTGTTAAAGAAATATACCTCAACTTATATTCAAATTTGGAGGCCGATGTGACTGTAAAATATTGATACCACAATCGATTCAAATAAAAATATTATTGGTATCGAGGGTCCTTTGGGGTTATTATCTCAACAATGTCATAGAGTTGGTTCTGCATCAAAATAATGCAATTGAAGACCTTGACAATGTTCCAGTTCGGAGAGCCAGCTGAAACATCCTGACGAATCCTGATTTTCCTCAAAAATCCAACATCAGGTATCTTTATTTGGAAAATTTTGGAACTAAAAAGGAAATATTTATGGAGAGTGAAGGGAATTAGAGAAGAGGGGTGAAGCATTTTGTCCAATGATTGAACCGAAAGCATTTTATCCAATGATTGAACAGAAAAAAAACGTCTTAGTTATTTTGTCGAGACGACATATATGATGCCTTTGCACCTTTTGTGAAAAAGGACACGCAACACGCAATTTCTTGGAAGTGAGAGTTGGATGAAAGGTTGACATCATCCTAAAAGACCGCTTGTAAACATTCATTTAAAGGTAGGTTTACAGTCGGTAATGTAGACAAACGCTTCGTTTACAATTTGAATCACTATATCTCTTAAAATATCCTGTCCTGTAGGAATAGTTATTACTATTTAATTTCACTATGTTCACTAAATGAATAAGAGATTGAGTTTATGTTCAAAGAAATTCAAAACATGCGAAATTTGGACAACTTCTAAATCATGGTGTCCCCCAATTATGAGCAGAACCGATGCGCAGAAGCCGATGTAACCCTTCTTTAATATTACGCTGGATAAAGCAGCATCAGTTATACCTTGAAAGTGTACCTTGCTCACATGCATAAGTTCTCGCGTCGTTTTGAAATGGTTAAGTTTCTGGGTGTAGATGTATTATCAGATCAGTGGTTGTAGAAGATTTAATGGTTGAAATTTTGAGTATAAACACAAATAAAACTTAAAACCTTTGATATACAGTATAGATTTCTTTCAGAGAACTTTAGAACCATTTTTCGCGGCTGTCCCGTTTATGTCTTAAAAATTGTAAACTTAAGATATCCACAATTTCCACCGCTTAAAGTGCCTATATCACTTGTAGGATCTTTACGGATTTGAATAGAGCTTGAAAAATTAGTTTATAAGTTCTACAACCCTTTTTCATATAGTTAAATAGTTTCGGAAATATTTACATCTAAATATGACGATTTGCCTAAATTTCCGTCGTGCTCGGAGGCCTGGGATTCAGGAACCGAGTTCTTGTCAAACATGATATAATCAATTGTAATTTTACTTCGATCTTCCAATAACGTAAAATATTTTGAGAAAACTCGCCCAGTTGCTACAGCCATACACAACGCACCGTTCCCGCATTTTTTTCTTGAAAAGCGCAAACTATATCGCCAGTGAAACTCTTCATGTTCACATTATAAAAGACGGCGTGTTTGCAAATTATTCCTGAGTCCCAGTCCCCCCAACCAACGTATTTTCGAAACTATTCTAAAATTATATCAAAAAAGGTTGTAGAACTTATAAACAAATTTTTAAGCCCTATTCAAATCCGTAAAGATCCCACAAGTGATATAGGCACTTTAAACACCCTCCCCCCGTCAACATCCATCCAGTGAGATGCGAAAAAAATATGATCAAAAAATTGCTCAAGCCCTCTCACCCCTCCGTTTGAATGGTAGATTCCAAATTTGGGCTTTTAAGATGAATCTCGGAACTTGTAGCCAGTGCTCCTTTGAGCGTCACAAAAACCTGGGCTCTTGTGCCTGCCTTAGCCACAGAACCGGTGTACACAATGATACTGTATTCCACACCTAAATATTATACAAACAAGCAGCTCTCTCATTGATTACATTATCTATCAGGAGCAGTGAGCTCTTATTACACACTGGAGTGTTACTAGCAGCAGTAGCGTAGGCAGCCCGAAGATTTGTCCCACTATGCTAATATTTAGGTGCTCATTGTCTGTGAAAACAATAAACCTCTAAAGACATGAATAATTATAATAACTTATGTAAATTTACATAGAAATTTACATAGCGGGACAAAATCGTCAGGCTGACTACGCCAATAACTGGCAACTTTACTGAATGACTTATTTAAGGGGCTTTAAATCTTCTTTGCTCTATAGATGCGAATAATTCATGCTGTAATGTGTAAGTCCAACAATTATGTGAATCAGTCACTGGTGAAAAAAGGAATAGTAACAAGTATTTTAAAATACTACACGAATAAGGTGCATCACTAACCAGGCTTGGCTGGAACAGGACTCCGGGATTTGGGTGCTGAAAAAAAACAAAAATAGGATCGCGAAGAATCATTTAAGATAAACGTAATGCCAAACAAATTCCAATCCAGTTACATATACGCCAACCTTAGTCTTGACCTTAAGGTGTACCCTACAGTTTGGAAGTTTTGAAGTTTTGAAGACAAGCTCGTCACTTTGATCGAAAATTTAATTAAAAAATAACATTAGGCCAAATTCTTGGAAAGTAAAACATTTTTCACAACAGACAAAAATTTTTCACTACAGAAATTTTTTGAACTTCTTAAAATTTTTCATCTTTTTATAATAAAATATTTCGGGAAATAAAAACTAAGGGTAGCAAGGCTTCGTTCGAGTCATGCGTAGAATGTAAGATATCGGCCACATTTAAACAATATAATTATTGTTACCATAGCAACAACAATGACGCCAATTTTCTGAATACATAATATATATTCAAGTTTCAAACCGTTAGAATATTGTTCAATATATGTGCTACAATTTTTGTCCTTCAACAACAAGAGATCTCCGTTTAAGGAATTTTTTACCTTTACCCAAACAGACAAACCATGTAACCACTTGTCTTTCACCCAACAAACCCTTAAGCTCTTGTCTAATTTGCATGTTGGACTAATTTCGTTTTTTTTCTGCGAATTCCTTTCATGCAATTCCTTTCAATATCTGATCGCAGTACGAAATCCTAAATGTTATGCTTGAAAGAAGTTTGTTTGTTTTGTTTTTCTTAAGAAATTTTCAAACAAAAATTTTAATTTTCACATTGGAAAATATGGACTGGGAAAATAATCATCAAAATAAAAGTGAAATTCAGTAATTAATATAAAAAGTATTTTCATCATCTGTTTTAGTTACCGTAAGAGTCTGACCATACAATCAAATCAGACGATTGCTTTAGGTAAAAAAAATACATTATTTGGCGGTTATTAACCGTTTTAGTCGTTCCACGGGTCCGGATAGCACGATATTTTCCCTCTGCGGCTTTGGGCCGTTTTTTAAAACCTCTGGAAAGTATTATTCTATCCGACCGCTCAGTCTCAAAATGTAACATATATTTTTATTTACTATAAACAATGGAACAGAGTGAAACATTAAACATACCTGAAAATGCCACCAAACAAACAAGCCAAATTAAACAAAACTTTTGAATCATGGTTATTCGATGTTTGTGATTATATCAATTTAAATCATTATGAGTTTTATTTTTTTAAAAAAGACATTAAATAATACGAGCCTCGTAGTCCCTAGATAGACACATCAACCAGTCACAAGACAGGTGGGTTACTGGTTAAAAATAAACAAATTCAAGTTTATTAAATAAAGTTTATGGTTATAACCCGGCGTAAGATATTAGTTCAGCAAACTTAATTTTATATGCGGGATTTCGTAAACGATTAACGGCATTTGATACAATGAAATCCTGATAGCAAAGAAAAAGAATTAATAATTAAAACGCATCACGCCTTTAAGGTAATAATTCCATGTTTAATAAAACCTGAATACACGACTTTATTCCTTATAGATTAGGTTTGGATTAGGGTAAGATTTAGGATTAGATTTAGGATTAGGTTTAGGATTACTTTAATCCAAACCTAATCTTCAGGATTAAATTCGTATATTTAATACTTTACAGGAACTGGAATTACAGGTTTGAAGACGTAGTTGTTGGACTGTTTACGCCCGTGGTCGTGATCAGTTTAGTCGACTCTTTTTGGCCTAGATTAATAGATTGTTTTTCACAATAAATTAGAAATTACACAAAAATTTATCATAGCCATGGTATATAATTATGATTTAAAACAACTTTTATTCTTCAACTATAGTTCTACATTAATTTTATACGATTTAACTCTTGTGTCGTACAACAATAATGTTATTAACGTTTTTACCTTATCAGTACTTAGTAGGTCGTACACTAATATTTTATAGAGAAAGTATAGATTTATACAGAGAATTAAAATGCTCTTTAACGAGTGAATGGGTTATTCATTAAAATGAAGAGTAAAACATGTACATTTACCCGAGACTGAGTAAAACATTAACAACAGATGAAAGGACAAGATGGGTGACAATGCCTCTTGCAACCACTTGGACAAATTTGACCCTGGGTCAGACTCTGGGACATGTAAGATCCTCCTTGGCTTTGACCTATATATTATTGACAAAATGATCAAGAATTAAACATGATATGAAGTTTTCATTCTCATCAAGTTTGGAGTTGGAAAAAAATTATTAACAGTTTGGCTTGTTTTACTTCTTTGAACGCTAGTAAATACGGATTGGCAGATGGAGGTGATGTTAAAAATTTAGACTGAATTTCATGATTTTCAGAAGTGAATATCCTGTCTAGAATATCAACTGTGTGACGCGTATCTTATCTTTGCGATGTATTCTACCAAAGTTCACTGCTGGAGTTATTTCAACAACACCGAGGTAGCCAAAGACCTTCTCTACGGATTTTTTGGTAATTTTTAATACTGATTTTCCTTTGAAATTTCCGCGCCAGAAGCCTGGATCAAACCTACAAGAAAGGCTTCATGATCCGCCATCTTGGCTTCACTCATTAATGAGGGAAAGTCAGAGAGTGACCGTTCCAGTCTTATTTCAGTTCACTGCAGATCAGTGACACATCTAGCCAATCAGAGCAATCCAGCTGAATATGGAGTACTAAATGGTTTATTCATATCGATGGCTTTGACGCTCACCACAGAACGACAATGGGATGGAGTGATCCCAATCCTAATACTAAACAAAGTATCTCACCCGAACAACAGGACTGCGGACAATGACTGGATGGACATTGTGAGGCGCTGCTACAGCTGCCAGGACACAAATTCTGCGATATTCCTTGACTGTCCCCAGAATTACAACAGGACGAAGTACATGACGGATAGCAACTGGATGGACATCCACTCCCACAGGAACCTGACGCTAAAATATATGCGGGAAAATTGTTAAAGGTGATATCCAGTCGTAATGGAAGTATACGCTCTGTTTTTATTTTTAAACTATTGTACTTTTTGAAATAAAATCATCTATTCAAACCGGATTTGATCTAAAAACTCTTTAAAGGTGATGTACAGTCCGCAATGTAAGCAACGCATGCTTTTTTTCATTATAACTGCTATGTTTCTAGAAATATGACGTACCGTTTGCAGATCTAACACAATATTGCTTTACTATGGGTTTGTGATTTCTTTCAAATCTGAACGCACGTTTAGCTTATCGACCGCTCAAAAAGCAATCGCAATGTTTTATTTTTGGGAGGACGGTTCTCTTAGGAGTCATTCAGAATGCTACACCTCTTGCGAAAAGTGCAGCTAAAATCCCGAAGAAAGGAGTGACACTGCATGCAATTAAAATATTGAGGCCGTGTTGTCACTCCAGTTCTCTTAGAGCCCAGTGCATAAAGCAATCATACTATACCTAATGAACCTAATGATGACAGTCCAGAAGAGCAGCAGGACTGAGTGCACGAGGGATAACATGAAATAGAACATGAACCTCCACACGTACTAACAACTAAAGAAGAGAGTTTATGAAAGGTTAAAATTAAGGTCCAAGTTAATGCGAGTGGTATTTCTCAACAGCCTCCCCCCTGAGCATACTAACCTGTTGAGGCTGTTGTTGTGAAAGGTATAAGGGTTGTTGAATAAGGTATAAGAGTTGTTGAATAAGGTATAAGGGTTGTTGAATAGGGTTCTTGGGTGACGGTATAAGGCATTGGGGTTGTTGATTCTGTGCCTACAGCTACCATTTCTGGGTTTTCTGGTTGTCCTAGTGTCTGGGTAGTGGTTCCTCCAACTGGTTTACCTGAAAAGTTATTTGGAATTCTTAGAAATTCTCGATTAAATTCCTAGAAATTTCCTATCTTGATTTTCGACGTTCATGATAGTTTGATAGAGAAAATAATAATTGCGATCGTAGTACCATAGTTACCCCAAAACACTCGTTTCTAATCGCATCAAAACAACTTACCACAAAACTTAACAGAAGATGGTACGGATTCGCAAGGCATAAGAATCATTTGTTTGTCCACATAACCCATACACAGTCCAGTTTCATTCTCTTGAAGGTAATACTTAAGATTGGTTGTCAGAGCACGTTTTTTCCCTTCTCTAACCATTTCAGCACGAGGCAATTCTTTCTGTGACTGTCGACCAATTCTTCTGCCAAGTTTTGTTAACCTGAATTTCAAAGATCGATGTAACAGGCCCCTGTTCTTAAAACGTTCATCATTCTGCGATGAGCCAATAATTGGTTCGCTGGTCACGCTTGAATCTGTCTGGACATTTACGGGATTTGATGTGTACTGGAATTGTAGATTTGACGTAGAGCTTAGGTACAAATCTAAGCCCTGGTTGCTGGGTGTAATAGCATTCTTCTTGGCGTTGTTTTTCATTGCAGCTTGAGCAACAACCCTTGACTTGTATTTGGAGTGAAGGTTGTATTTGGGAGTGAAGTGTGAAAAACGTCTCAGATGCCTAATTCCTAGTCCTTGAGGTGTTCCATCTTTGTGGAGACTGGATGGATGTGACAATTTTGTACCATGCGATCCAAAAGCAGGATGGGGGTTATGCCTTCTTCCTATCTCTTCACCAGTAATCTCTTCGCCCATGTTATTAACAATCGGTGTATCATCATCTTTAACATCTACGGGTTCACTCTCAAAATCATTATTTAAACCAGTATTGGTCGTCTTGACATGAACAACTTCAATTTTACGACCAACGTCATTGTTTACTGCATGGCTACTCTCTGTGTTCATATTATCAACCATCGGTGTACCATCAGCACTCATATCTGCCGGTTCACTCTCAAAATCATGACTTAAACCAGCATTGGTCGTCTTGACATGTACAACTTCAATTTTACGACCAACGTCATTGTTTACTGCATGGCTACTCTCTGTGCTCATATTATCAACCATCGGTGTACCATGAGCACTCACATCAGCCGGTTCACTCTCAAAATCATGACTTAAACCAGCATTGGTCGTCTTGACACGTACAACTTCAATTTTACGACCAACGTCATTGTTTACTGTATTGCTACTCTCTGCGTTCATATTATCAACCATCGGTGTACCATCAGCACTCACATCTGCCGGTTCACTCTCAAAATCATGACTTAAACCAGCATTGGTCGTCTTGACACGTACAACTTCAATTTTACGACCAACGTCATTGTTTACTGCATGGCTACTTACTGTGTTCATATTATCAACCATCGGTGTACCATCAGCATTCATATCTGCCGGTTCACTTCCAAAATCACTATCAATGGTCTTTCCATCCATGGTGGATGGTCTCTTTTTAATAGCAGCAACTTGAACATATTCATGACTTTCCGCACCACCATCACTATGGCTACTGAGATTTGCAGTAGCAGATTTGTCATTGATGACGTCACCAGTAGCATCCACATAATGACCATCGGTGTTGCTATGTTCACCACCATGAACTGGCGAGTCATCATTTTCGAGGCTGCTATTCATAGGCAACTGTACCTTGCTACCACCCGCACTCGACAAAAGGGGTTCATTGTTACCAACACTGCCACCACCAGTGCCACCAACACTGCTATCAACATTGCCACCTTCAGTACCACCAAGATTACCACCGACATCGCTATCAACACTGCTACCACCAGCGCCACCAATACTAGTATCAACATTACCACCTTCAGCACCACCAAGATTACCACCGACATCACTATCAACACTGCTACCACCAGCGCCACCAATACTGCTATCAACATTACCACCTTCAGCACCACCAAGATTACCACTGACTTCACTATCAACATTGCTACCACCATTCGCCGGAATGGTACCACCAACGGTATCTATGTCACCATCAACATATAAGCCACTGGCAATATGCTGTAATCTTTTATCAGGGGTGGTTGTAAAGAAGGTGTCCAGTGTACCACAGTTGTAACGTAGGACTAATTTCGTTCCGATGGTAGGAGGTAGGGAGGAGTCCAGGGGGTTAACACACATACCATTTACCATGAAACGAATGGATTGTGCTTGATATTCTAGAACACAATTTTACAATAATAACTGTATGGTTGTTGCTATTAATAGCTATATGCATGTAATCTGGGAGGTAATTTAAAAACTGTCCAGAAAATGAAAAATTTATTCAAAATATGTAGTCTCATAAGGTGTAGGTAGTATTCTTAAATTAGCTATCATATTTTGTCTGAACAACCTAAGAAAATATCTCTAACGTTATTATCCAGTGTAGTCAATAATCTAGAGTAATCCGACGTAGTTTGTCTGAACAATCTAAAAAAATATCTCAAACGTGTTGGTCCAGTGTCGGTGATATTCTACAGAAAGCTGTCGTGGTTTGTGTCTGAACTAACTGAGAAAGATATCTCAAACGCGGTGATCCAGTGTGTCGTGGTTTGTTCAAACATTCTGGCAAAGACATCTCAAACGTGGCGGACCAGTGTATAGGTAGTGCTCTGCAATAGGGTGTTGTGATTTGTGCCTGAACTATAGCCAGAAATAAATGTACAGCATACCATTGACAAGTGTAGCATTTCTAGTGTCTTCATTCAGGGAGAGTGCTTTGACAATCAAACGTCTTGCAGTTAAAGGATGAAATTCATACACAATCTCGTTATTTCTCACGATCAAAATCTGAAAACCGCAAGAAATATCTCATAAATCGCGTGTTTTCTTATCCTTGCCAACCCTCGTTTTCCAACTAACCTTATCAAAGTATGGTACTGTGCCATTACCGCTGGAAACAACGAGATTATCTAATCCTGGAACTGGCTGGATCATCACTCGGTAAACTAATGGTCTAGGTATATATCAGAAAAAACTTTGGTTTTAAATGTAAAATAGCAGAAAATTATTGTTTTCACAAAATGCTTTACGATCTTTTCGCCATCTAACATCTTCCTAGGCCCAAGCATGGTGCGAATTTTTTTATATTTACTTCAAATATTTTGAGGTGTGAACAATAAAACGTATACCCAAATGAATAAAAATATATGTATATGTATTTAAAACTAACTACGCAGGTTATTGATTTTTTTGATGGTGCATGGTGCATGTCCTCTCCAAATTGTTAACACAAAATGGTGTCCTGGTATTTATTAGGACTATTTAACTATCGATCTGTTAAACGTACCCTTATCCTCCTTAGTTAACCTGTCCACTCAACGGCACCCCCAGTTTCCCCCACCCTAAAATTATGTGACCAGTGGCGTACGGGAGACGATAATTGGGGGGGGGGGCACATATTTATATATTCATGTTAACGGACCTGTAAGGACAATGTATTTGATAAGAAATTAATCTTGCACAACATAAATATATGAATATGTGCCCCCCTAAAACTATCGTCTCTCGTACGCCACTCTACGTGACACTGGACCCCATACCCCCCACATGTTATATTGTGTGGGCGAGCTGTGAACGACTGTGCTTAATTTAAAGCAAAAATTAACAGTTAAAAGTAAAGTAAAAGTCAACATACGTAGCTGTCTGGAGGCTAGAAGTTGGCGTGGCTGAATTTTGTTGTAAGTGAACTACTTGTTCGGTTTGAGATATTGTTCCTTGTAGAGTGATATATATGTCGGGATTACCCAGCAACTTTTGAGTCCAGTACATAATGATATCGTGTTGAACTTGATAGAAAAAGTGAAAACAATTATTCGTCAATAGGTTACTGTATATAAATTATAGAAAAGTCACTGAAAAGCCAAAACAAAAATTCAAATCGCTTCCACAATATTTAATACACTTTCTAGAATTTATCTCACCGTTTTCTTTGTATTAATTTGAGCTATTCTTAAACCAGCTTTTCCCTTTTTTCGGATAATCGAAAGCATCTTGGTTTTTTGACTTGACGATATTTAAAACTTTATAAATCCGAACGAATTTCAAAACAAAAGACAATTTACAAAGTTTGTCTATAAATTATAAAATTTTACAAGCAAAAGTTTCCCGCGGTAACTGAAGAACCAATCAAAATGCTTCATTGTCGCCACTGACCTCTAATACAACTGAAATAATTACTGGAGAGAAACAAACCATACCAGTGAACTAAAGTGGCCCATACTTGCTTGAAGCCAAAATAGTTTTTCTCGGGGTTTAGTTGAAATGCTTCACCCCAAAACATTACGCTATTTATTTTGAAGTTATATCATAGACTGACTAATTGATTTTTATCATTAAATTTTTGCCATTACCTACAAAATTATTTTTGTATTCCCTAATACTTTCTTCTTAGCTGAAGTCTTAAAATTTCGGCACCAAATGGTGTTTTTAGTATTTAGTTTTATGTATACCTTCATTTCCGACAGTTGCCGCGACGTTCCTTTGATTAGCCCGTTGCTCGATTTTGTTTTCCATTTTATGTGACATAAACCTCAAACGGCGGAAAACTGAAAAGAAAAGATACATTTGACACTTCATGCTAAACCACCAGGGCTCTGCTGTTTTCAGCTAAAATTTAGCCCCGTAAACGCAATGTTTTTTTTCTCATTCTAACAAAGCCAAGTGGATAATCGTTTTCTTTACCAACCATTGAACCTGGCGCGGGAATGCTTCCACAAGACCCCAAAAACAAGACATAAAAGCAGCCTTTGAAGGAAAACAAACCGCATGTCCGATTGCTAGAAATCCCAACTGCGCCTAGCAATTTTATATGACTGACTTTAGAAAAAGAAAGGTCGTTTGCTCAACGCATCCGTTTGCAGTCTTAAAAGCAACCTCCCAAACAATACAGCCACAGAAAAATATCTTCAAAATCAAAGAATACTAAGAAATAAGGTCATATAAGAGCTCTGGTGATAGTTAGACTTGGATGCACTTAGAATAAGATAGCTTTGTTTAGTTTTCAAAGAACCTGTCGGCTAATGAATGAAGTACTTTCAGTGCAGATAAACCGATAAAGAATAGCCCAAAGGGCTGAAACACTGACGGGGATTATGCAAATTATCCGAACACGAAAAGATCTCGCGTGACGTGCTCGCGCGGGAGCAAAACATAAACAAGATGGCGACTTCAATGGACAAGTTTGATGATCTATTCTTTGGTGTTCTTCAACATTGCGAGCAAATTGAGCCCTTCCTCGAGGTTGTGTTTAGTTTCCTTGCTCGAAGGACGGATTTCCTACGTGTGATGCACAGCAAGAATGATAAAATGGGGTTTCCACCGGGGGTGGCTGAAAAAATGCTACTCAAGGTAGAGATATTTGTACAACGATAGTACATTTGATGCATAAATTTTACAAGCACAAAAGAGCTATATTATGTCGTATGTTCTTTACCTTTCTAAAATATGACCAGATTTTCAAGAAGTACCAAAGTATGGTTCTTCAATCAGGGCAAGCAGCGAAATCTAAAGAAAAGACTGGTAATCAACCACCATCTCAACCAGATAAACCACCTCCTGTGATATCAACTGTCGATGTCCAAACTAGCAGTGACAGTGAGCCACAAATACCAGCAAAAGAAAGGTACATTGGTCATGTCATTGGTCATGTACATTTCAAACAAATACAATGCAAGAAACCTAATGCAAGATACATGAAAACAAGGCTAGTCAGATTCCCCCCCACCATTGCAACTGGTCTGCACCCCCCCCCCTTATGAAACGACTCTAGATCCAGATCGGAGAAAATTTCATGAGCTTGTTTCCAAATAACTTGTTTTCTGCTATTGAAGGACAGAATTAGGGGGTATTAAGCTAATAGCTATTTTTATCTCTAGCAGAAAGAAAACTGAAAGCACCCTGGCCAACTCTTGTGTCTCTGAGCCATCTAAAGCATCAGAATGTTTTAATGGTGCAGTGTTAGAGAAGTACATGTGGTCTCAAACTGGAAGTGATATAGATGTACGAGTCCCAGTGGCTAGCGACATCAAAGGAAAAGATTTACTTGTAGAAATAAAGGACAAATATCTTAAGGTGGCTTTAAAAAATACTCCAGGTAAAAATGAGGCCTTTGGTTTGTGAAATGTATCAGATTGTCAATGTGTTAACTTCTCACAGTTGACACACAGTCCATCTCATTTCAAGAAAATATCTTTTGATACCTCTAACATTGTCATTAATCATTATATGACAATTCTCCAGTATTGCAATCTACCAGTATTACAAAGTTATCATCGTTTTTCCAACTAGAATCAAAATTGTTACTTGAAGGTGAACTTCAATGGAAGATCCATGCAGATGAATCAATGTGGACGTTAATCCGTGGGGAGCATGTGCATATATCATTGGATAAAGTTGAGGACAGATGGTGGACATGCGTTTTTATAGGGGATGATGAAATAGACAAAAGTAAAATAGACACAACCCGAGATATCAGTGAGTTTGATGAACAAACACAGACAGATTACCAACGAGTTATGTTTGATCACCAGCAAAAATTGATGGGAAAACCAACCAGTCAGGAAATGGTATGACATAATGATTTCGGGAATTATGAATATTCTATATTAACTGTATGTGAATATTTACCTTTTTTTCCTTCATCCTTTAGCAAACTCATGACATGTTAAAGAAGGCATGGGATGCACCAAATTCACCGTTTGCAGGAACCCCATTTGATCCTTCTAAAGTAAACATGTCTGGAAATTTCTCATGACTCAACATTTCTGATGCCATCAGCCCTATTCAGATGTTCAAATAAGCATTAGACACAAAGCAAGGAGAGAAGTTTCAAACATTGTTGGCAAATTATATATTTTTAAATTAAGTATGATAGACATAAATATGTTGCTCTACTACATTGCCTGCCTATGCATTGTGTTAATGTGTTCAAATATGTTACGAAAATGTACAAAAATGAAAGATTAATAACTCTACTTAACCAATGACTTAAACAAATAGGCCTTCAGGAAATAATTTAAACCTGCAATTCTCTAGGTCCAGCATATTATACATGCTATTAGCCTTTTAACCATTTGGCCATTTATATGAGAAAATATGTTGTGTCCCACCTATTTCAAAACTTTAAAAAGATGCAAAAGTTCAATAAAAATACAAATAGTGTCATATGAACTTATTCAAGTCACAATTGACGTTAGTTTTTTGTATCTGGTAAGTCTTGTCTTTTATAGTTCTCAAAATATTTTCTACCATATAAATGGACCTTATCTTTTATTTTTCTGCCATCCACAAATAAACAATAAATTTTACTCGTTGATGGCCTAAAAATGATCCCTAAAACTTGTGAACTTCCTCCTGGATTCTCTTCCTTGCGAAACTTATCAATTCCTCTCTCCTGAAATGTCTTGTATTCCCAATATATATATGGTAGAAATCTCGAAAGCCAATGAACCCAAAAATAGCCTTCAAATATGGCACTTGAAAATCCAAAGATTTCATTGGCTCATTAGAAAAATCCGAAGATGATGAAGTAATTAGTAGTAATGGTCTGCCAGTAACAAGCCCTTCAGGTCCATTTGCTGTGTCATAGAAAGTTAGGTCAGACTGTACAACACAGTCAATGTATTGCTTCAGTACATACGGTATGCTATAATTCCACATTGGGCAGCTGATTATGACTTTATTAGCAGCTAGGAGTTGTGAGGTCATCTCTTTAACAACTAAAAGTTTTAATTTGTCTTCAGGCAAGTTCTGACCAGACGCAATTCTCATTTTACTTTCAACATGAGACAAACCAAAACTAAGTAAATTCTCATCCCAGAGATTGATTTCTTCTATTAAATGTTCCGGATATATTTGAGTATATTTCGCAAGAAATTCTCTTGCTGTCTGACCGGTATATGATCTATTGTCTGACCCAGAACTATTTAAATAAAGCACCTTGCAAACTGAAGAATCATCTTTAACAACACTTGAATACCTCCTCCAAACTTGTGCTGGGATATTTCGTATGTTTGAGCGAGAAAACAACAATAAAATCGCACGTTTAAACGATGAATTTTGAAATTTTGAGCAAAGTCCAAAAGCCATGCTTTTTCGAGGATCCCGCGACAGCGCGAGGTTTTTCCACGCGAGGGAAGAACACTGACCTCAGAGATCCACTGGATGATCAAGATTTAGGGCGGATATTTCCCTTCTTCACTAGGTTTGTATCTTTCATTTGCAATGTTGTATACTTACAATAAATACATGAGCTTGAGTATGAAAAGTATGAAAAAACTATCTGATGACAGCAGCAGAACGTGGTCTCATAGGTGTGTGGGGTCTAGAGGACGTTTGGCGATTGGACAAAGAGGAAGGTGACTTGGGGGGAGTTGGCGGTGATGTTTGGGGTTGCTAAAGACGAGAAAAAAAACAAGAAAATTCTTTACATAATCTGACCTCAGATGCTATCATTTTTTTTCTCCTATCAAATTTCGAAAATTCAAGTCTTTGGACCACACTCTCCTTTGAAATTTACAGAAATTCAACGAGTTATTTTAGGGCCTGTTTTCCACTTCAATCGTAGTTTTCCACTTCAAACGTAGCATATTTCTTTGTTTCCGAAGTAAGAAGTTTTTCATGGCGGCCGTCTTTGTGGTCAACTTCAAAGTTCCGACAAAGAACATGCATACATTAATAAAGCGGAACTTTGAAGTTGACCACAAAGATGGCCGCCATGAAAAAACACTATTCTGATGACTTTAAAACAATGAGATACGCCACGTTTTGCTACTATACGGAAAAAGTGGAAAACGGCCGTAACTCTCGCTTGAAATTTACAGAAATTCAACTAGTTCTTTTATCGGCAGAATACCAAGAACAAATACAAATTACAACACTCCACTATCGCTGGATGTTAATTTTTTACACTGTTTGGGTTCGGCATCCCAGATAGTTGTTTTCAATACTGCAGCGGAAATACAGTTTCCTTTTTCGTTGTTCTACTTGTCAACACTTGGGCAAGTTTTTTTTCACATGAACGTAATCTTAAAAGATACCAAGAGAAATCGCTTAAAAATACCTGAAGGTTTGGGAACTGTTCATTGTACTCTTGACCTCTATAAAACTGTCCATCATGACCTTGTACTGGGTTGTCATCCCTGGAGAGATAAAGAATCATACGAGTCAATAACAAGAAATAACCACGCAAAAATATACAAGTTCTATTCTGAAACATTCAACAGTCTCCAGAGTAGCAAAAAACGTAAACCTTCCTCCAGGAGGCGCAAGCCATATGAGGTCTTAAAATTAGGTAATTCTGCTGCTCATAAGGTTTTTGATAATTCATTTGATCAAGTATCAAAAAGGAGCAAGAACGCTCTCACTCTTTTCAATAACTCATTTATATCGAATTTACTGATCATCTGGCTAATAATAAGACTGTTATGATTTGGCACCCCGAATTTAAATTACACTTTCCTCAGAAGCCACATTTCCGTAGCTTTTTTGCAACCCTGTCATTCTTTTTATATAAGTAAAATTCCAATGAATAGAAAAAGCATACTTCAGTGATATTATGACTCCTTCGTCTTCTTTGTAATAGTAACTAAAAGAAACGTTTTTCAATTCGTGTCAGTTTTCATGAAAACCAAAGGAAAAGACAATATTAAAAATTCATTAACTCCATGTTGGCCGTTCTTACTTAACGTTCTTGCTTAATTTTCTAGTGTTGTAAGTCATTGTGTGTTGTCCTCCGCACGGCCTTGTTGACACGTGATCTGTACCATCATAATTCCTAGAAATTAAAACGGTTTTTTTTCATGGTAAAAAGGTCAAATGACCGCGTTACTATCTAGTCAACAGAAAGTTCCATTGTCTTCACGTTATTTCAACCACCCAGGCAGTGAAAGTTCGCCGTCCGTTGGGAAACGTGGTAACTGAGGAGTGGCTAACTCCTCAACTTCTGTGAAATTGACATATTCGGAAAAACCATTAATCAACTTACCCTCTTGCGTGTTGTCTCATCTGTTCCAACTCAAATGGTGCGTAAGGGCGTGACGACTTCGAAGGGGGAAAAGCAGGATATTGAGGCAAAGGTATCGCAGTCCTTCAAAATGAATAGCAAGAGAATTGCAATAGACGTTTGATGCAATAGAGGTTTTTCAAATGCAAAACTGATGAATAGTTTAACTTACACCCCTGGCTGTGTTTCAACAGGTCTTGCGCATGAGATACAGTGGAACTTTATTGCCGGCCTATACAATATATTATAAACGTTAAATCAAAAAGCACATATCATAAATCATTTTCTCACAGTCACATAATTTACGATTTAACTAAGATTCTCTTCGCCTATACTGAAGAAAATGATAACGTTCTTAATGCGTACAGTAATGGTAACATGCAACCTCGTCCCCAGGGTATTCGCTCTGCTCACACTTGAGCGAAGTAGTGGGCAGCGCGAAGAGCTGGGAACGAGCTTGGGTAACACGAAAATTGAGTAACAAAATCATGTGGAGTTGTACTAGGAAAGATATTGAACAATTACTTTGTCATTCCAGCCGCAGAGTCGTCAGATATTGGCAAGTCTGCGTGTTTACATTTGTTTGCTTTGATACGTTTGTCTGCAAAAAAATACAAGTCGTATTACTACAAGTATTAGTTCCCCGTCAAAACGAAACAGATGTTTTAATAAACGTATCATTATAATGAATCTAAACTAAAACTATAGCTTAAATTTTGATTTAGGCAAGGCCATAAAAGTCAGAAATCCCAGACAGGAACCGTGAGAAAGTCTTATGGCAATTTCATTCGTTCTTCTTGCCCAGACTAAAATTTTTTTCATAACTTTTTTCAAACCAGAATTCCCCAAAAATGATTTTCGAAAATATCCGAAGAGGGTCTTACTGATATAGTCTTTGAGAGGATCCATTTCCAGCCTGTCCATTTTCCCATCCACGTCGTCATTCAGTTTCAATATCGCGTCTTGCAACGCGGCTTCCTGGGAAGAAAAATATCGCATATATTTTCAATGGTTATATAAAACCAAGATATTGGTAATGATCCCACGTTCCGTAAAGCCTAAATACACGAATTCAATCCGTGAGATTAGATCAGGATTAGAGTTGGATTTAGGATTAGGGTTAACCTTTATTAAACGTAAACCTAATTCAAAACCTAATCCTAAGCCAATTTCACAATCTAAAGGATTAAATTCGTGTATTTCGAATTTACTAAACATGGAATTGTCGCAAAAATATTGAGGTTATCGTACAGTCATGGCAGCGAACTGAACATTCTTCCCTAAAGAAGGCGAGGTTTTTTCCAAAAACGAAACAAATCGATCACTATATTAGAATACTGAAGTTCTGGTTAGGATTCCTTACTTGTCCTGCGAGTCGATTCAAAATATTTTGCACAGATTGTTCTAGAGTTCCAAAACTCGAATCAAATTTCAACCTGCTTATCATGTTGTCCAACGCTAACTTGTCTGCTTTCTACATATTAGAATATGGAAATTATTGAACATAATATATTAATAGTGTTGTGATACGAGTTATGATATTTGTATTTAGTGGAAACACTCGCAAATCGCTCTGTACGAGTGTAGCCTGCATGGTCAACATGGCGGTGGGCTACATGGCGGTCCCTAAATTCGGGCTATATACGGGTGAGGTTGTTGGAACAATTTCCAACAACAATAGCAATGTGAATATGGCGCAATAGCAACTTACAGTGTCCATTTCCATTGCCACAGAATCTTTATCAGCCTTTGTATTTTGTAAATCCCCACACATCGAATACAGTTTCTGAAAGAAGTACAAAGTCATTCTAACAACGAAAGTACACTTTGAGAATAATCCATATACTCAAGCAGATTATACAAGGCCAGTTAGTGCGTATGTAATAATTTACTGTTCAGTTAATCTTAAATACACGAATTATATCCCTGAGATAAGGTTAGAATTGGGGTTAGAATTTGGTTTGAGTTTAGGAATATGGTTGGTTAGGGTTAACACTAATCCTAAATCTACCTCTAATTTAGGATTCAGTGAACATGGAATTATTATCAAAAGATTGAGAACCAAACATCGAACCTAGGAAAAATTAGTGAACACGACCCCCTCCCCCCCTTCTATCCTTCGCAATCAAAAAAAGGCATACGGTCCCGGGGTCCTCCCCCCGTCTCGTATGGTATCGAGTTTATATAAAGCTGTACAAAAAACAAACGATGAACTAACGTCAATATCCTTCCGTTTTCTGTCTGCATCTTCGACCAAATTTCTTGTTGAAATATTCAGTCTTTCCAGATTGTCCCGAAACTCCTTCATACGTTGTTCGTCGTCTTCAATCTGAAATAAATTGGAAATATGCACGATTATCTTCTGCCGGATGTTATCTAAATTGCCTATGGCATTATACCATCCTCTGCTGGATATTTTCCAAATCGCCTATGGTGTATCATCTGCTATTGCATGTTATCCAAATGGTCAATGGCACTACATCGTATTCTGTTAAATGTTATCCAAATCATCAATGCCATTATATGTATATCACCCTCGGTTAGATGTTGTGCAAATCGCTTTTGATAACCAGAATTTTAGACAAGTTTTAATCAAAGTTTAGATGCTTGATGATTTTTAATTATTAATTACGTGTGACGCGCAATGTTTGAGGTAATTCAAACTCTTAATTATGATATCCCAGGGAAACAGGACAAATGTTGAACATCAAGCAAATTAAAGTTTACATTAGTGGTTTAAATTAATATTTATTTTCGCATAACTAAAATGTTCAGTGCTTTAATAGTTAGAATTATACCTGTAGGTGTCTGTCGATAGGCGGAAGAACCTCAATCTTCGTTTTAAGCTTTAAGTTTAGCGTCTGTTTTTGAAATGTTAATAGGTAATACTTAAAGTTTTATTAAAAAATTAATTTAGTTTAGGAATAATTAGTTTAGTTTAGATTTGTTTAGATTAGATTAGATTAGGTAGAATTATTATTGGTTTTCCTTAAAGTTTTATCAAAAACGTAATTTAGTTTAGGTTAAGTAATCAGGTTAAATTAGAAGATTTCATTTCATTTATTCTTTAAATTACGTTTAATTAGTTTCAAGCGCAAAATGTCAAAATTCATGAAATTCTATGCACATATGTTTTTCATGATTCAATAACGTAAACTTAAAAAGCCAGTATTCCTATAGCTTCAAAATGCACTTTAAGGCCCTTAAAAGGCATTGTAGCTATAGCATCGATAATTGAGGGGCATGTTCATATATTCATGTTAACAGACTGTAAAAGACAATTGATTTGAAAATAAATTAATCCTGCGTATCGCGAATATATGAATACGCCCCCCTCCAATCATCGTGCTGGCTACGTACGCCACTGTTGAAAGGATAATTTTTCATCATTCAAATAAGTTTTTTTATAAAATACTAATTTTTACAGACCAATTAATTTTAGGTCTTTCTATGAACCAGATAGCTTTTCTTGAAATTCAAGGGGCTTTAGGACCGCAAATTTTTAAAACGAAAATAAAGTGGGTTTCGCTAAGGATCCGGTATTGGCCTTGGATATTTCAAGATAATACATTCATCATCACCAATACAACCAATATATACCTTATTCATCATTTCATCTTTCCAATTGATCATGTTCTCCATTTTTGTGTTTAAATCATTCAGTTGATTGATCAGATTATCTGGAAGTTCTGGGTAAAATAAAGTTCTTCATTTAGTAAGCAATGAATATGAAGAGATGATTCACCTGTGGATTCACAAAGGCTAGCTCTAAAAAAAGTCCAAACTGTAGCTCAGGTCCTCCGGCAGTAACTGAGCGTACTTCGTAGTTTTCATCGCTCCTAAATCTGAGCTCCTGCACCTGAGCTAGGAGGCGCTAAGGTTAGATTCTCAACAGTAGACCTGAGAGCAGAGGCGTAGCCAGGATTTTTAGAAAGGGGGGGGGTCTGCAGCAAAGAACCTAGGTGGGGCCAGGGCGGGAGTGTGACTCGAGACAATTAAGGTTCGTGCTAAACATTCTGTGCAGGATTTTCTGGCATTAATGATGGACAATTTTGATACGCAAGATCACAGAGATCTTTCCATCATTGACGGCATAACAATGATTCACTTCATTTTCTCAGGAGGGCCCAAAATTCTACCAGGGGAAGGGGGGGGGGGGGGAGCTAGCCACCCTATGCAGAGAGCTGCAATTTTCGGCCCTGTTTACGGTTTTGGTCTAAACTCTTAAGACTGGTTATTATCGATATCCGACCTTTGCAAGCCTGATGTCATCCACAAGCAATCCATTGAGAAGACAAGGAAGTGCAAAATAAAAATAATTCTTGAGTGACGCTTACCCTGGGCTTTTCTTCGCAATTCTTCAATATCTTCTTTGTCAGCTTTTGTGGGCATTGTTTCCTGTGAAAACATATTATTATACATGTACTTAAAGACAGTAAGAGGTCAGTGAGTTTTTCAGGTTATTTGGTGCCCATACAGTGGGCCATTTATGGAATATTTAAAGTCAAGCTTGTGTAATAAGATTTGTTCAAGTTGACGTTATATAAAGCAATTGTGTAAAGTTGATTGTGCAGCATTTTGCACTGAACGGGAACAGGGTGGGGGTGCACTTCTCCTAATACTGCCAGTCATCATCATTCTGGTATGGGTGGTGTCAGGCTGATCTAGGCCTGGTCATAATAATCTTACCTGCAGCTCTTGAATGTTACTCAAGACAGTGTCATGACCATCTACCATGTTACCGATCTGTTTTACAGTATCCAAAACACCCAAACTTGGAACACTTTCTGTTGACATCGAACTAGCAATGGCACTGCCTGATTTCAACGCCGATTCAAATTGAGGCCATTTCATACATGTGTCAAGATCTTTCTTTGTTGCCAATGAATCAAGTTTACTCTGTAACTCTTCCTAAAATTGGTTAAAAATGAGATGCCAAATTGTCTATGATCACTTTGTTTGTGATCAATAATTCTCTAAAAATGACACAACACAGCTTAATTGACCCTAAAAAGAATGCTGCTAAATTTATAAAATATATATGCCAGTAAAATGATTTCATATGTCACTATTAACTTACTATATTCTCCTGCAGAGTTCCCAACTTTTTAAAATCTTCACTCTTATCTATACCCAAATATAAATGAGGAAATTTAAGGGTAATATATTACAACAACAGATATCAACATAGATCATGACATACCAGAATCCTCAAGTGCACCAAGCCGTTCTTTCAGTTTTCTGTTGCTTTCCTCAATCTAGTAATCAATAAACTGATTTTGTCTTTTGATCTAAGGCTTGATGCAGCCAGCAATGACTACCATAAAAAAAATATATAGTATATTGTAATTATAAACTCAAAATTGTATAAACTTACGTCCATCAGAGATTTCTTCAAATGCGATAAATCTTTTTCTATGTCTTTAATACCACCAAGTTCAGAAAGAGCATGTTCCAACAACCCAGTAAGCTTGAAACATATTGAAAGAAGTGCGTGTTATAAATGGTGATTGCCACATTCCAAATGGGAACACGTACATTAATAGCTTAGTGACATCAAATTGGGGGAGGGTTGTATATGGGGTACTATGGCCATGTACCCAGAGTTGGTAGATATGCAAATATTTGAGGCCAAATTGTCATTAGTGGTATCAAGAAAACAAAGAAAACTAAAGGCAAAGACAAAAGAAACAAAGAACTAGTGTGATGTTGTTTGGCCTCAAATATACAGCTATCTACCAACCCTGCATGTACCCCATCAATTTCTTCCAATTGTTTGTACGCTATATAAGCATTGAATGTATGAATATACACAATAATAACCATGTATGGTTATGCCACTGCATGTTTGTGGTGTCAATTACTCACCTTAATTGCCCCCCTTTTGAAATGATATAAAATGTTTTGTTGCCAAAACAGTCTGGCTCTCACCCCATCCTCCCACAGGAATTCTTGACTGTGCACCCTGACTTTATTAAGTCTCCTCCCACGGGGGTTCAGCAGTTTAATTAATAATAGCTCCTGATGAGTGATGATGTCAAAGTCACAGCAACGTGACTGTAAATGTCAACATATCAATTTTTGGATAAAAAATTAAAGTTAGAAAAACATGTAGTGATCTCTTATTCCTACCTTTTCAATGGCATCCTCTGTTGCCGACAATCTTCTATTGATATTAATAAACTGCCAGATATCAGTGACGGAAGATTTTGAATCTCGCTCACGAATTCGCTTCACAATATCAGAATTATTCGGCAGTTCGTCGAGGACTTTCAATTTATCTTCTAAATTTGTGACTTTGGCTTCCAAATCTAAGCCGTTTAGACTTCGCGGGACCTTTTCGTTGTACGTTTGCCTTTTGGTATTATCGAAGCTTTTCCCTGAGGCCGGCAAACCAGATCTCCCCGAACCAAAATCCTCAGTGTTCTGTACTTCGACTAACTTACCACCGACTCCTAAAGTCTTAATAATTTCCGACAATACTCCATGTAAGGCGTTGAAGTTTACCGCCCCAATTTCAGGAGTTCCTAACGCTAAATTCAACAATTTATCGAGCTGTATTTCCGACGACATGTTGCTGGGTTGTATGAAATATTATTGCCGTGACTGTATCTTATGTACATGTGCGTTGTCAGGGCAACACAGCTATTACAACATGCTAACGAAGTCGCTAACATGAAATATTTATTCTATAATTTCATAACTGGCAGTTACATATTTAGACTAACGGCGTTAATGTGTCGCCAAATGCATTGTTACGAAATTTTTTGACGTATTGATAGCTACTAGTAATAATGACGGTTGATGTGAAATGTTTCAATTTGTTTCAAGTAATAAATAAACTCGGTTAATAATTTGCTACTTTCCAAGTTCTCAAAGAGTTACCGGTCACCGCCAGTGGCTGCTAGCCAATAAGAAAAGTTAAATGAATTGTTTTGCCATCTTGCGATCTTTTCAATTTCAAAACAAAACAGTATAAACATTCGTTTATTTTACTCCGTATTACAAATATTGAAAACGCGATGTGAAGACTTGACACTAAGTTGTGGCAATTTTTTGATTTTGAATGTTATATCTATAAATCTTTGCAACAATAATCACCTGCATCTAGTTCCTACCGTACTAATGAAATATTTAATAATATTTTTAAAAACAAAAATCTCAATGAGGTACATGCAAAACACACAACACGCAAGTTTCCCCCATCCGTAAATCGCCTTCAAAAACCCTTTTAATTTTCTAGAAATTACACTTTCTATGGAGCATATGAAGCCAGAAAAATGACTGAACTTTGCATTCGCATTTCACACAATTCTCATGTAAACAAAAATAAAATGATGAATCCATCCTTGGAAAACGATGGATCGATCCATTGATGCGGAAATATCCTGTTTTTTTCTGCTACATTCTCCCAACAGAATTTTACCTTTTCCCTCTTGGTTTTTTGGCTTGTTTTACATTACCGCCTTTACCTTTCCCCGCGCTCTTTGTTTTCTGTCTTTTTCCACCTTTTTTCTTCTCGTCTGAAGCTCTGATAAAGAAGGAAAAATGTTCAAAAGACAAGGACAAGCTCGAAGGTTGTTGAGATGCTTTCAAGCCTGCTCTTTGCGAGAACGTTCTCGAGAGGTTTTAAGGTTAAAACGGTTTCTGTAGCACAAATTGATTATGAGTACTCACTTTGTCTGCTCTTGATTGATATGTTGGTTAGTCGCCTTCTTAACATCTAAGGTTTGTTTGTTGCCAATTTTACCCAACAGATCCAAATTTCGCTGTTTCTCTGCTTTCAAATCTCCGACGATAGGTTCATACTTAAAAATTATCATAAAGAAGAGAGGTTGAAATCGTAGAACAAATCCTTCTGGGGTCGGTTGTATGAAAGCCGGATAGCGCTATCCACCGGATAGCGGTTTTTTCAATCGCTTTAATATCGCCCGTTGTTTGTTTAAAATGAAATTTCATCGCTTTTCGAGCATTTTTAGAACGGTTGAAAAAATCACTATCCGTGGATAGCGCTATCCGGCTTTCATACAACCGGCCCCTGGTGAATAACGACAAGTTATACAATATACAAGTGATGTTTACCTTTCTTTTAGTTCCGGACTTCTTTGGGAGAGTTTCATTGCGCTAAATAAAACAAAGGCAAAAAAAGGTTTAAAAATTCAATTGAATCTTGATTCTGGCGTAGGTTCGATTTCTGACGAACGTTTCCAAATTCCAACGTTTACTGTTTGGCCTTCATAATCGTTCGTTTTCAAAACCACCATAAACAATCAATTTATGTTGAAATAAAACGAAGGAATTGGAAAACCCAATCCATATAATTTTGTTCTCTCGGTAAGGAGAAGTGAGTAAATTGCCACAGCTAGTACGAGCATACTCAGGTAAGTAAGATCATGCATAGGTAGCCCAGAAATGTCTTCGTTCTCGTGGAGCTCCGCGAGTCTACTCAGACTCGGTCTATTAAGGTTGGCAAGCTTTTTTACTAACATTTAGTACAAGGTTTACTAGGCCTGAATATCTTGCAAAGTCACAAATAAAAACAATAAAAAATTACATCGTCATAATAATAGAGTAGATTCGCATACACGCGCGAGTGCCAATCTATTGTCTCTCCAATCACGTAACAGGAATATATGAATATTGTCCCCCCTACACCCCCCCCCCCTCCCAATTATCGATGCTAGCTACACGGCAAAATCCCTAACAATCTAGTTACAGCGATAGTAGTTTGCAAGATCAACAGGTAAAAAAAGCCAGGGGCCGGTTGTATCAAACCCGTTTAGCTTAAACGGTGGTTAAGTTCAAAATAGAAAGCAAGTCTATCGTTTTATTCAAGAAGCAAACTAAAGCAAGTTTACAACTACATATTCAGTGAACAATATTCAAGTTGACTCATTCAAGAGGGATGTAAGAGTGTCATTTAATTTTGACTTATCCGCCGTTTAAGCTAAACGGGCTTGATACAACCAGCCACAAAGGTTAATTCTTCGTGTCAATTGACGCAAGCTGAGTAGCTCGTGACAGTCAGATGACATCGCAGCATGTTGTCGTGAATAAATTCCATGCGTATGTATATTGACAATCGTGTTTACAAAGAATAGACAATCGTGGAAGAAAAAGCACAACTACCCAATAGGCAATACAGCATTGCTTGTCTCAGCAAAGCTAACAAGGGTTTCAGAAGTGAACTTTCAAAGCAACATAACTCGTTTAATAACTCGTTTAATAACTCGTTTAATAACTAGAAGTGTGGACGAAAACCATCAGATCAACAATCGAAATTGTTTGAAGCTAACCGGAAGCAGAACAAGCGAAGACTGCACTAGAAGGGGAAATCCACACTTATATTTTATCAGACAGGACGGGTAAGAGTGCATTTGCTTGTTTTTATTCAGATTCCTAGGGATGTTTTGTGTTCTATCGTTGAACGTGGAAATTTTTACAGATTGTGTGAATCGAATCACATGAGCTATTTAGATTAGATCAGTTGCTGCAATGCCTATAGGTTGCAAAGCCCAAACGTCAGGAGTGAGATTGAGTGTGAAATTTGAGTTCTAAGCGTAAAAGAAAACGTAGAGAAATTTGCAATGTTTACAAAAGTGAGCAGCGCAATGTTTCTAATTTAACTATTTTATAACGTTCCTTCGCTTAATTGTGCAGGACCAAAGATTACTAGAACACAATTATTCCAGGAATTGACATTAGACGAAAATTTGGGGCTTTCAGGGAATCGAAGCATGAGCCAGAGAATAAGCAAATATCAGTTGATATTCAAACGCCATATTCCGGCTACTTATCCCTAAACCTAATCCCAACCTTAATCCTAACACTAACAAAACCAGAATCCTAAATTAAACCCTAATCCTGACCCATAATCCTGACAGTAATATTAATCCTTTGACGTAATTTCGGATAGTTATTTCATGTTCAAATTCGAGTGATTTTAGGATTGACGTTTAAATCTTCGCGGTTATAGTCATACTCGAATAGGCTGTTTCCAAAGATCTAGAGGCTTCCAAGCTGACCACCTTGCCAAAACTGGGGGGGGGGGGAGTGTATTTATTTCACTTTAAAAGTAGTTTTAAAAATAACTTCAATTTCATTGGATTTCAACATTTCCACATCAGGTACAGTTCATTGAACACAAAATCTTTCATTTGAGAAAATATGGCTACTGCTATTGTAGAGGAGTCGAAAGACGAAGATGAAAACTTTTATGAGGTATCGAGAACTTTGATTTTTGATTGAGGATTATGATTTTATAGGGCCTGCTAGTACCACATTTTCTTGCTTTCAACAGCCATGCTGCTGTGAAAGTCCTTGTCCTTGCGGGAAGTCAGGGACGCCGGAACAGGGGGACAGCTGCCTATGCGGCTGTGCTTTACCAGCAGGGACAAGGAGCGCAAATATGCCCTTTCATTTTAAAGGATTACATTATACAGTAGGAGGCAAAAGTTTGAGTCCAGTCGTTGTAGAATTCCAGTATTAAATCCTGGCAGCGTATTCGAGTTAAGACATGCGTGCTAGTGTTTCAGTACTGTAAACTATATTAATTGCACACTGTTTTGGTCCTAATGATCTAAATTATAACAAAATAAAGTTCTCATTCCTTTACACTGCCCAAGATGGGTGGGAAAAAGGGCAAAGTGATGGTGCACAAGGACAAATAGTTGCATTAAGTATTGAAGGATTCTTTCCTCGTAAGGTCGCAGAAAAAGTGAGAATTTAAAAAGGTTGTATGCAACTAACCTTGGACGGTTCGAAGAAACTAAATCCTACTCAAGCAAACTTTTAGCTGCTTTGGTCATGCTCGGTTTGGCAATATTGAAAGATATAATAGGATCCTAATTAAAGAAAAGTATCATCCAATTCTTCAAGGACATGGAATTTCATCTGGTACAAAGATGATCGCACGTCTAACTACATGATAATCACCCTAAGCACATGCACATCTTCTATGTGCCAGAAATCTTTTAGAAGCAAACTCATTCTGGTGATCTCGTTGTCATGGCTTTCCACCTCATATTCCAGATCTAAAACCTATGGAGCACTTGTAGAACCGTTTTAACCGGAAGAGGGCGAGGCACAGACCCGCCAGCCAGGCTGACTTGAGGCAAGTGGTCAACGAATGCTGGCAAGGTATTGAACGTGTGACATTAAAAAACCTATGGAATCTATGCGAGCAAGAATAAAGGTCATTTCAAGAGCAAAAAGAGGGAACTAAGCAATGACATGTAAATGCATGTTTGCACATTAAAATACGTAAAAATGAATATCATAACATCTCATAGTTGTTGTACAGCATGTATTTTTCTGTTTACTTATTTACTTTTTTCTAGTTCACTTATCGGTAAGGTTTTCTGTAGGATATTAATATATGCTGCTAAAACAATGAAATACAGTCACTGGACTCAAACTTTTGCCTCCTACTGTACATCTTAAGTAGAAGTGCCATCAACGAGCGTCTTGCACAATTGTCGGAATTGCACAATTGTCTGGTCAAAAACTCCAAGACACCGAGATTATCATGGAACTAGTTTAGCTAGAAAAGTTTTGCAAACATTCTTTATTATGCTCTGCTACAGAAGTGACCTTTCACCAAAATCTGTCCCCCTTTGCCCTCGCATCATTCCGGCGTCCCTAGAATTAATTGGTCTTTTTAATCAGTGCTTTCCACGATACAGTTTCTAGGCGGAGAGCAAAATGTATCAAATGAGGCCATCGAGCTCCGTCCTTTGTCGAAAGAGGGGTACTCTTACAGGAACATGGTTGACTATGAAAAAGCGACACGTGACTATCAAAATGTGACGTACGTAAACATCAACCTACTTCCTCCTGAAAAACGGCGCAAGCATGAAGAAGATTTGATTGGCAGTGGGACTAGGAACGAGAAGGCACTACCGCTGCCTTGTAGTATCTGCTCGAAACACAGTGGAAGATATGCAGCCAGGTGTCTGAAGGGATTTGGGCACAAAAGTCCTCTTATCGAAGAATTTCTCGCAGCCCAAAGCGAATACGAAGCTCAAATGCATTCACAGCAAAACGAGGAGCCCGAATTTGCCGAATGCCTTGAAAAGGTTCTTCAAAATTTTGTGAAAAATGAATTCCCGAAGTTGTATCCACTAGCAAACGCTCCGAATCGCAGACAGCGGTCTGCTGCTGCTGCTGCTGCTGCTGATTTGAAGCAAGATTCGCCTCTTCCCAGTTTTGTAAACGACGTCTTGAAGCAATGTTATCTTTCAATGACAGAGGAGACAAGTGATGAAACGGAAGTGTCTTCCTTGCCAACGGCTTCAGAAGTTGCGGATGTTTTAAGAGAAAGCCAAACGCGACCCTCGCGGCGTCGCGATCCAACAAACCTGTCTTTGACAAACAAGTTTCCGATGTATGACATGTCAACCTTATCGGACAAGGAGTTGGGACTAATTCTGGATTACTTAAGATTGCCATACGAGACCTCTGCTAATCGTGAAGTGTTAGAGAACATGGCTAACCGATACTGTCCCATGGTGGTTCTGTTACCAAATTTCGACGATCAATCGCTGAATCAAAGTAAGGAATGCGGTCGGTGTTCGAGTCAGTTATCTTTGATAGAAACCTACTTCAGGACACTAACCTCGACGGTCTGTTTTGCCTGCAATCATGTCTGTTGCGGTAATTGTCTGATAAAAACGAAATGGAAAGTTCCCTCTTCAGGTTCGTTCGATTTGAGGACAATTTGTTCAGAATGTTTAAGAGTATTAAAGATCTACGAATCTCAGAGTTGGTTGGAACGTGGAATTGCTTTAATCGAATCCGACCAGAATAGGAAGGAAACCGTACTTGCTATGTACAGAATTTCAAACGCAGTGCGACCATCGGACGTTGCCATAATCCAACAAGCCAAGCTGCTATATGAGCGGAAAGAATACACAACGTTGACTGAATTTGGAAAAGCAATTCTGCTAAACGAAAGTCTGTTGACAAAAGACAATCGCACGGTCCTTTTATACCTTGTCGTAGACAGTCAATTGCAAGTTGTCGGTGCAATGCCAGATACGGATTTTATAAATAAAGTTGAATTGTACGAAGACGCCATTAACTGGATCGAACGCTTTGATACTCTGGTCGATGAGAGGATTAATAATTTAAAACTGAAAGCAATCCAGACGAAGTCGGTTCTTCTTAACCAGCGCGATGAAATTTTAAAGAAAAAAGCGGCTATGGTTTGGTCACATTTGACCGAAGCCATCAAAGAAGGCCTGTTTCTCGAGGCGCTTCACGTGATAGACGATGAAAAAAGTGATAAAGAAGTTATGCAATTGTGCTGGCAGCAGTTGTTGAAGGAATCGAATGAAAACTACAACGAATACAGTAGACTACTTTTGCGACTCTTAAAGGCTACTGCCCTGCACGAACAAGGCAATTCGACGGCTGCCATGAATGAAGTTGCTGATGTGTTTTGGAATGGCTTTGAACTCTTCCTCTCTTCTTCGCCCCAAGACCGCGTCATACCTATCATAGAGTACGTAGTGCATTTCACATTCAAGTTGATTATAAATGAGGCAAGTTTGCCTCTAGAAAACCTCGCCGGAATAAATGTTTCCAATTTTCTATCAACCCTTCAAATAACTGAAGAGGACCTCATTAATCCACCTGATATAGATGACCGCAAATGGGAGAACCTCAACGTAGAGGATTGTGATGTGAAAATGTTCCTGAAATACGAAAAGGCGGTAAAGACACTTGTTGAAAGAAAGAAGTGGAGGCCACTAGACGCTGCCCTTGCCTATTACGACTTGATAACTGCTTGCAAACACCCAGCTCAGTTGTTGTTAACCATCATAACGTCTGCCCAGTGGTTTACGCGTCAAATCTCATGTTCGGATTCCAGCGAGTCGTGCCGGTTCGCGTGCAAGAAGATGATCACGACACAGACAGATGTGGCAGCAGCGGTGGCCTTCGAATTCTCAACGCAACCATACATGCAGTATTACGTTGCGAAGATGGTGATCGCGTTGCAGTTCTACTCGTCTTTGAAAACTGGACACCAGGGCCAGATGACAGCAAAACTCATTGGGATGCACATGAAGTGGCTTGTGGCTGCCGGTCGCAATTGCCCTTTGCACAAAATGCCAATTGTAACACCCACAGAGGCAGTGCTTATGAATATCATTTCCAGTGAACTCCATCACGAGTATCTCTTGATGCTTCAAGACGCCGTTCCACCCGAGTTGCGTCCAATGTCTGAAGCTATATTGCGCTACCAGATTTATGAAAACTGTTGGCTTAAACGAGGTAATGTTGGTTAACACTATCCCATCACTTGAATTTTGATCACGAATTTTTGACTTCATGAAAATAAGATACTTTTCTACAAACGTTAACGCCAGGACATGACCTATCATTAAAGCCCCGTTAACACTACACTCTATTTATCGGCACGGCACGGCTACAATGGTTACCCGTGCCCGGCCTTTGTATTGATAGCCTGAACACTAATAAAATTGGGTACGCGTATCTATTTTAGCCGTGCCGGGCCAATAAATTTACTGTAGTGCAAAAGGGCCTATATTACTATTTTTTTCAGGTGTTATCGTGGATCTAACTGATGGGGGGCTTCGTTTCACCGCCATGGCCGCACTGCTGGCCGAGAAGAAATGGTCATGGGACGATGTTCAACGACACCTCGTATCAAATATGATTGCGCTGGACAGAAATGGCTGGAGAATCGTAAACGGAAAACTCATGGATACCGTCGAGTCCAACATCCCAGGAAACATCCACCGGCTTGTGGGTTTGGAAATCAACAAGAAAGATTTTGACATCAGAGTTCTTGTGGAGCGACCTTCTCCCTTAAACGTCTTCAATCGACAGCCGGCGCTGCTAACCTGGGGGGATATTGCTGTTGGATTGTCCCTCAGCCAGCCAGGAGTTGTCTTCAATTTCACAGAGGCCGATCCACGAGAGACGCCGTACCACCCCTTCTACGAATTGATATACTCCCCAGAGCAGCTGGAAGGAACAGAAATGCTGTTCACGATGTTACACACGGATTATCTGCTAAAGCAGTTCAGCATGGGTCATGAAATTCAATCTTATCCACCCTTTCAAGTCCGACCCACCTCCGAGGGTCTTCTCAAAAATCTGCCCGAAGATTTGAAAGTAACGCTGCGCTCGATTCCTAGTCGTGGTGCCTCGCGCAATCGCGTCCACCGTTTGTGGATACAAGCTGACACAATGGAGATCGACGTTCAAGAGACAGGCGACACAATACGCTGGCTGTTTGGAGAAGTCAAGATTGCTGTCCGCTGCATGCCCATGCTTCATGGCGAAGACGGGGAACTGAAAGATATCAACACCGATCGCCCTGATCCTGATAGCCCAGAAGGTCGTTTCGTTGAGGATTTTACGAAGAATTACGATAAAATCGGAAAGTATTTCCCCGAATTTCTTCGATTGAAAGAACTTTGCAAAGTTCAGTGGTTGGGGAAATTTCTTGACAGCTTAAAAGAAAGCATGGAAGAACACAAGGAACACATTAAAAGTGGAAGACGGGATTCGCTAGTTCAAAACATTCAGGACTCGTTGATCAAAAAAAGGGAAGCTAGCATTGCGAGTAATCTCGATAAAAAGAGAAATGATATAAAACGACGAGTTTCTAAGATTACTGACAACGTAGTAAATCAAGTTCAACAGCAAGGTAGTATTTCGGCATCGCGTAGCGAGATCTCGAACTGGCTGCACACTGGAAATTCGCACGATATTGCGAAGAAAATTGCCCGAGAAAATGCACCAAGTCTAAATGATATTCGAAGAGATATTGTCCAGATGAAAGAGGTAAAACTGGGAAAATGCACGAGCGTGATAGAGAATCTGAGAAAAAGTTCGAAGAAATTTTTTTCGCCCAGCAACAAATGCAAGTGGATACCCGCGGTCTATTGTAGCCAAGTTAAAGACCAATTTATTCGACTCCACTATGGTGGCGTGTCGCTGAGGCCAAAAGTTGTGAAGACGGATCTTTCCACATCCAGATTCTTCTCCGGAATCAGCAAGATAGCGCTCACTCCCGCCCTGCTGTCAAATTGCGCACCGAAAAAGCAACTGACTCCGCCAGCATTCAATCCTCCCAAAGTCAATGCAATATTTACTATGATGCGACAGAGGTCGGCGAACACCCGCAATACACAAGCGTCGAGAAAAGGTAATTGTTAATTAGGTCATAGACAATCCAGGTGTCTTCTGGATTGTCTATGATTAGGTAATGTAATGAGTTGGGAAATTTGTGTTTACTCACAAACAGACGATAATCGGTTTTATTATATTCATTTTGAAATCAATGGTGTTTTTTGCAATCTGATTGGTTAAAAATAGTGTGATTAATTCCCAAATCGCACTATTTTTGAGCATTAATCACATTATTTATAAGCCAATAAGATTGAAGCTCTGCACCACAATAACCAATCAGATTTAGTATTTCAGTGTAACTATCCAATCAAATTACAGGGAAAAATGGAACAAAATTTTATTATTTTGAATTTTTAAATGCCCCGCAAAATTTCTTGACAAAAATAAATGAAAATTACTCACATTTTACACCGTTTACGGTTCTTTCAGCCAATAAATCGTTTTGAATTTGTTTAATCTTTTGTATGATTTCAAAATGAATATAATAAAGTGGAAATTGCACTTTGTGTCGTGCAATTTTGGTGTGAAATCAAACTTTTGATTACAAATCACACTCCTGCTTCGCGGTCGTGCGATTTTGTAATCACGCGTTTGATTTCACACCAAATTGCACTCCACTCAGTGCAATTACCATTATTTATCAAACTGCCCTTTCGTGGTTTACAAAAAATTTTCCGTATCCAGAGTAAGGTTACGGTTGAAATTAGCAATGGATAAAAATCTTCTCCCATATCCTGATTCGTTTGAAAAGCTATATTTTAGCAGCCCCTAATGTCCTTCCTCCAAACAAGCTAAGTTCGGTCAAGGAGGCAAAAAAAGCGGTATTGCCTCGTGTGTAAACACCGGTGGCCCTGATCCTGATAGCCCGGAAGGTCGTTTCGTTGAAGATTTTGACGAAGAGTTACGATAAAATCGGTTGGTTGGTATTCTATATTGTGGTTGAGAAATCGTACGAAGAACCCCATCTTTTGTTTGATATACTACATACATAATATTTAAGAGGTAGAAAATATTTTCCGTGTTTCTATACATTTATAGAAACACGCGTGGGAGTTTGGGAGAACGAGAAATAATCAGTGGGAAAACGAGCCCGTAGGGCGAGTTTTTCTACGTTATTTCGAGTCTTTCCCAAACACCCACAAGTGTTTCTATAACTATATAGCAACACAGGAAAAAATGTTTTCCACTTCTTTTATAATATAACTCAATAAAAAGATTTTGTACAAACATTATAATTCGATTCAATTACAAATTCTCATTACATCGCTTCGCTTGTCAAGTTCGGCGGGAAAATCCCCGTGTTTCTATACAGTTATAGAAACACGCTTCTCGACCAATCAGCAAGCGCGTACTATAAATGTTATATTATAAAGATAAATATTATACCATGTGCTCCATTTCTTCCGGAATAGCCCTAACACTAGGGTTAGCTAAACTTAACCTTTTACTTTCTTTCAATGATAATCTTCAATTCCAGACGAGGATTGCGGCGGCCCTAGTGGAAGTGGTACTAATTGTGCGAAAAGCGGCAGCAGTGGTCGGGAAAGCGAAGGAGGTGGACGTGAAGGTGAGGGAAGTGGGAAAAGTAAGATAGAAAGCGGTGGGGGTTTGGAAAGTGGTGGTGAAAAAGAAGGGGATCGCAGTGGCGGTGACAGTTCGGGGAACAAAACGAAAAAGCCAGAGACTAAAAAAAGGTTCCCGAAAACTACGCAGTATGTGAAGCCTTTGTCCCCTGGAAAGTCAGACTGGGAAACTGCGTTGTCGGAATTCAATACCGCATTCAAAACAGATGTCGAAGTTAGCGACGGGAAAACAACAGGTAATGATTATTTGTTTCTTGTTATGTACCGCATCATCGAAAATGCTTTTCTGAATGAAGCATTAATAAAAATGTCAAGATACTGTCTAAAATATCAATGACATATATTTTTGTCACTTATAGCCGCAGGCAGTGGTTGGGATACTTTGAAATCGTCTTTAGAGAAGGTCCAACGAGGAGAGAAACCGCCAAGAGGTTTTAGTTTAGTTCATTCAATGACAGGCGAGGGACAGAAATGGTTGGTGCGTGTGCGCAGCAGCAAAGATAAAAGACCTATGATGGAGTTTTATCGGAAAGGTATCCAAGGTAAAATGGCAGAGAAACGGATCAGGATTCGATTTGGTGGCAAGCAGTCGTGAGGAAAGCAAACGTTATCAGGTTACACACAGATTGAGGCTGTAAATCAAAAGGCTCACTCACACTCATTGAGTGGGACAGAAATTATGTTATTAGTGATTAGTGATAGTCCTTTTTTAATCAATTGAAATAATTATTTTATTAGGTAAAACATTGAAAATCAAGCCGTTACGCCGGTTTTCAACTAGCAATATTTTTCGCCAAAAGGGAATTTATTCTTTTGTAATGAAGCAACTTCTTGCAGATTGTTGCAGTTGGCAGCTCTTAAATGAAAGTAAAATGTCGCGCAAAAATTATCAGATCAGTCTGAACCTCGACGTTTAAGATGAAAACACTAATCTATTGTTCAAATTCGGTTAAAACACTAATTTTTACGGTATAATGATGATCAATTGATCAAATCATTATGTAACCAATTTCCTGTAGGAAGATTTAAAGATCAGTTCCTATTGATGAACTAAGTCAACTAACTGATTCCTTGTGCGAATAACTTGAATTTTAAATTCATGTCAACGTTAACATGAATTTTTTTTAAATTGTCAAATGATATTATAAATACTGATATGAAAATATTTCAAATCGACTTGTTATAGGTGTTGTTGTTGTTGTTGTAACGCATGTTGATTACAGCATTTTTCAATTTATTTGATATTATTGTCATACACTAGTGCCGTGAAATTATACTAAAACATTTATTTACCATGGGCTCGTTGATTATATGCTTGGTGCATGCGAGTATTTACCTCTTCAGACGTTGTCTCAGTGTTGTAAATAATCACTAACAGGCTATAACAACATGGCCTTCAGTTAGCAAACTACCGACATGCAGATATTGCTGTATTATAAAGAATTCTTTGCTACACCTAAATTCGCTAACTTTCCTCTTTCCTTCAAACAGTTTTTAATTAATTTAACTACGGTCCACATATTCGCCTCAACACCGCAGTAAGTATCTACCTAAAATGAACGAGTTTTGTGATTGGCTTTTTGTAACAATAGAGAACAGTGTTTATGATTCGTACTTTTAAAAATCACTTTCTATAGTTCATTGTGTTTTATTGTTATCATCAGCCAATAGCAAAGCTTGTTCATATAGGTACGCACCGACCCCAACACCGAACAAATTGTCTGTGGCTGTGATCACCCACTGTAAAAATGATGCCAATCATGTTTCAGTTTTAGCGACTATCCCTTTGTGTACAACGTTTAAGGCCATAAACGTATCAACATTTTTTGTCCTCGAGGATTAATGCTATAATGTGGTGCGGCCGGTCAATAATTGAACATACCCACACACCAATACTTGCTACATACCATAAATATGAGATAAATTTGGCAGAACAGGAATATATTAATATTCCAACTCCCAATTTTCGATATGTAGCTGCGCAGCTGTCGTAGTATAATATAAGAAAACGTTGCCGGTTTATTTACTGAACTCTCTAGTGATGCAGTTACAACGCGCGGTAGTACTTCGTAAACGTAACCTAAAAAAGCCAAAAAGAGGCTAATTCTTTTGTTTAACATCACCCTGGCAGGGTGTCTTGTGACAGTCATATGATATTGCAACATGTTCTTGAAATTCATATTCCAGGAAAATGTAAAATATACAATATTGTTTACGAGCAATAACTGGCAATAACTGGCAATCACCAATTAGTTATGTTAAGACTATTATGTTCCGTTGTTCCAACGAGACGAATTAATAACCGCTTTTGAAGTAACAGAACTCGCTTATATAAGAGTGCGCCTGGGCTCAACCATACAATTCAGCAAAGTTCCAAGCTAGTTGTCTGTAACTCAACTATAAACAGGAAGCAGAACTACAGCGGGTTGTAGAAGACGAAAAACCACATATAATTTATTATAACAAGCAGCGCGGTAAGATGATGCTTAAATTGGTCGTTTTTATTCAGATTTGTGATTATTCTAGGCAAGCTAGATAGAGTCTCGGCAGATATAGATAGTCTAGGTAGCCTGTGAAAGATAACAAGGGCCCCTCGCCACAAATTGGTAGGAATTCGAAGAGACTTCAACAGGAAACGTCGACAAATCTGTTAAAATTAATGTTCAAGCTCACACTCGGTTTGTTATCGTATATGAACTGTACCATGGCCAAGGCTGAGAGCCTGAGATGTAGCCTATGTTTGCTCATTTTAAAATATGTATACACAAACGTTTGTGTGTAGTCCTGCCATTTTATAATTTCCTATACAATATTTTTACCAAAGCGTCGCTCAAACTCCTAGCAATTTAATGCGACAATTCCCTTGTTAGACTGAAGTTCAGATAAATATATCAATATTGTCAACATTTTATGGTATTCAATTTTACAAAATGTGATGTGATACTTGAATACCAATATCATTCGCGGAATTAACATTTCACGTAAATTTAAGGAAAAATATGCTTGATTGAACGAATTGTATTAGACGATATTTCCTAAATAACAGTTTATATTCCCGGAATTAATATTCCACGTAAATTTAAGGCTTTCGGGGAAAATATGCCCGATTATTACTTAAACCTCATAAGTGAGTGGTTTCATTTTGTAACCTCAACAGACTGGTGTCACACGAAATTTATGACCATTGCGAAATACATGACCACGCGTGACAAGTCACGAATTTCGCAGCATACTCGCGCGAAAAACATGACGATTGCGAAATCTATGATTTCGGCAGCCGAGCGCGACTGTTTTGGTTTTGGCTAATTTTGATCAAAATCTTAATTAGTAATTAATCGAGAATAAGTGTAAAACAAAGATTTACTAGGACAAATAAAACATGCATTGAAGGCTATTTATCGACCCAAAATGATCGTATCACTTTTGATATTGCGACGAGAATCGGTACACGACGATTCAAAATTGATTGTCGAACTCCTTATTAACTCGCAACCCTCCTCCCAGGGCCTTTTGGGACTTTACGACAAAGAAGAGGAAAGGCCCTGGGATCGGCCGTTCAAAATACCCACATTTCCAAATGCCGGCGTCACGTAGAACGGATAATATTGTCCCATTAAAGCGTAGTTGGAATTGTGCTATTTTGGAATAATTACTAAATATTCCGCCAATTACACATAAATTAGGAAAAATCATTTAACCAATCAGAAGTCAGAAGCGGCTTGCCGATCCCAGGGCCTTTTACCCCAACCCAAAATCAAGGTAAAAGGCCCTGGGAACGAGGTTGATTTTATTGGTACAAATTTCATCCGTACGAAAGCTAAAATTATACGTAGTGTAAACGGGGCTTTACTCAATTTATTTACACGGCACGGCTAAAATTGGTACTCTAACTCATTTTCGTCCGTAACAGGCGCACAAAGGCAAAGCAGGGATAAAATGGTACGGATACACATTTTGTCGTACCGTGCTAAATCGAGTGGCAGTGTAAACGAGGCATATTTGTATCATTAATATTCAACCTCCCCCTCCCTCCCTGACCCTAACCCTAACCATAAACATATTATGGTTTATGTCTTATGATCGATCACATTGATGCATTGCAATTTGCAAATAGATAACTGTAAAATAACTATCGCATTACAGGCATGATGAACGAGAACCGGAAACTAAAATTTATATGCATTAATTTATCGCCCTTTCACAATTAACTTGGTCATTTTGCTATTCTAGTGAACACAGGAATTTATTTGGGACAGAATGGCTTCTGCTAATGTAGGAGAGTCAGATGCTGGCCTAAACTATTATCAGGTATTGTACCTTCATTTTTCAACGTATGTCTGACATTATTGGAAGAGCACGTGGAAGATATCCCTAAAAACGCTTGTCTTCGTGTATAAAGAAAAATTTAACTCTCGACTTATTTGTGCACAAGGATTTCATAAATAATGTACAATTACTCCTGATTGAGTTGAATTGGCCATACATTATCACATCCATTACCCACCCTTGTCCTTATTCTTTATTTATATATACTCATCTATACTTATTCTTTATCTATGCTCACCCATCATTATCCATCATTAATTCTTATCCACTCATTATTCGACCTCATGCATTCATCCGCATCCACTATATCTATATCCATCATCTATTATCCATCCCAGTGAGCTCCACATATATCTGGAGTAAGAACTTTGGGTGCAAAAAGTGAAGCCAAAGATGGCGGAAATTGAAGCGCTATAGTACGTCAGTTTCAGTCTCCTAACTCGCGCGGCCAAATATTTCTCATTGTTTTTGACCGGGAGTGACGGTTCCCGAAACCCTCATATTTTCGTGTTTTTCATAATTTTGAGAGCACAAGAATGGAAAAAATTGATTCATTTTAATGAGAATATGTTTCTCTGCATCTACCCGATGTGGGTGCCGCATTTTCCGACTGTACGTGTGAGTAAATATGCATTTTTCGCCATAAATTCAACTACGCATTTCAGATTTGTTTAATTTTGAGTTATTTTCATATATTTCATATATTTCATATATTTTCATATATTTTCTCAATATCCGCCATCTTTGGCTTCACTTTTTGGCCTCACGGAAGTCTTAAGTTCTTACTCCAGATATATGTGGAGCTCACTCTATCCATCCCTATTCCTCATCTATCTTCACCCTCATCCATCATCCATTCTAATCCAATATCGAAACTCATCTATCCTTATCCATCATCCATCATCATCGTCCTTATGACGCTTCATATTATTCTTTACAACACAGCTTCTAGGCGTAGAGCAAGATGCATCAAATGAGGCTATCATACAAGCCTTTCGTCGTTTATCCAAAGAAAAACACCCGGACAAGAACCTAGGCGACCGTGAAAGAGCGACACGTGACTACCAAAAGTTGACGCATGCAAAAATTATCCTGCTTGATTGTGAAAAACGGCGCAAGCATGACGAAGATTTGATTGACAATGGCGTTAGGAACGAGAAAGCGCTACCACTGTACTGCAGTATTTGTTCGAAAGAGCGCGGAAGATATGCACGCAGATGTTTGAAGGGCTTCGGACACACAAGCCCGTTGATAGAAGAATTTCACGCAGCCCAACGTGAGTACAAGACTCGAAGATATTCACAGCAAGACAAACACCGGGAAAAGGCTGAATTTATCAAATGCCTGGAACGAGTTCTACGAGAGTTTGTAAAAAATGATTTCCCAAAATTGTATCCACTCGCAAAAGCTTCGAAACGTAAACATCAGACTGCTGCGGGTAGCCACGGGCAAGATATGCCTCTTCCTAGTTTTGTACACAACGCCCTAAAGCAGTGTTATGTTTCCATGAGAGACGAGACGAGTGATAGTGAAGCGTCTTCCTTTCCAACGGCTTTAGAAGTAGCAAATATTCTAGTGGCATGTCACACTAGACCAACACGGTGTCACCATTCGATAAACCGGTCCTCGACACACAAATTTTCGATGTACGACTTATCAACTTTATCGGACAAGGAATTAAGATTAATTCTAGACTACTTAAGATTGCCATACGAGACCTGCGCTAGTCGTGAAGTGTTAGAGAACATGGCTAACCGACACTGTCCAATGGTGGTTCTGTTACCAAATTTGAACGATAGATCTTCTATTCGGGGTACGAAATGTGGACGGTGTTCGAGTCAGCTTTCGTCGAGACGACTACTCCACTTCTCGACACGAATACCGTCGGTCTGTTTCTCCTGCAATAAAACCTGTTGCGAAAACTGTCTAATGGGAACAAACTGGAAAATTCCGACTTCTGGTTCGTTCGACTTGAGAAAAATTTGTTCAGTATGCTTTAAAGTATTAAAGATCAACGAATCTCAGGGTTGGTTGGAACGTGGAATTGCTTTACTCGAATCCGACCAGAACAAGACGGAAACTGTACTTGCTATGTACAGGATTTCAAACGCCGTGCGACCATCAGACGTTGCCATAATCCAACAAGCCAAGCTGCTATATGCGCAAAAGAAATATACAACATTGGTTGAATTTGGAAAAGAAACTCTTCTTAAGAAAAGTATGCTTACGAAAGACAATCGCACAGTCCTTTTATTCTTCGTCGCAAACAGTCTGTTGCAAGTTGTCAGCGCCATACCAGATACAGATTTGATGAGGAAAGTCGAATTGTGCGAAGACGCCATTGAGTGGATTGAACGCTTCGATAGTCTTGTCGATGAGAAAACTCGCAATTTAAAACTTAATGCAATCCAAATGAGGTTGGTTCTTCTTCGCAAGCGCGATGAAATCATTAAGAAAAGAGTGGCCACGGTATTGTCGCAGCTGATCCAAGCCATTAGAGAGGGTTCGTTTTTAAAGGCGCTTCTTGCGATAAAAGACAAAGATGAAAACAGCGACGAAGTTATGCAAATGTGTTGGCAGCAGTTGTTGAAGGAATCGAATGAAAACTACAACGAATACAGTCAACTACTTTTGCGATTCTTAAAGGCCACTGCCCTGCACGAACAAGGTAATTCGACGGCTGCCATGAATGAAGTTGCTGATGTGTTTTGGAGTGGCTATGAGCTCTTCCAGTCCAATGACGGCAGTATACCTATTGTAGAATACGTAGTACATTTTACTTTAAAGTTGATCATAGATGAAGCAAGTTTGCCTCTCGGAGACGTCGCCAGAATAAGCGTTTCAAATTTTCTATCGACCATTCAATTAACAGAACATGACCTCATTAATCCACCTGATATAGATGACCGTAAATGGGAAAACCTCACTGTAGAGGGTTGTGATATGAAAATGTTCCTGAAATACGAGAAGACGGTGAAGAAACTTGTTGAAAAAAAGAAGTGGAAGCCACTAGACGCTGCTTTTGCCTATTACGACTTGCTAACTGCTTGCAAACACCCAGCTCAGCTGTTGTTAACCATTATAACGTCTGCCCAATGGTTTACGCGTCAAATCTCATGTTCGAATTCCAACGAGTCGTGCCTGTTCGCGTGCAAGAAGATGATAACGAAACTGACAAATCTCGCAGCAGCGCTGGCCTTCGAACTCTCAACGCAACCATACATGCGGTATTACGTTGCGAAGATGGTGATCGCATTGCAGTTCTACTCGTCTTTGAAGACTGGACACCAGGGCCAGGAGACAGCAAATTTCATTGGGGTGCACATAAAGTGGCTTGTAGCTGTCGGTCGTCATTGTCCCTTGCACAAAATGCCAATGGTGACACCCACAGATGCTGTGCTTATGAATATCATTTCCACCAAACTTCATTGCGAGTATCTCCTTAAGCTTCAAGATGACATTCCGGTTGAGTTACGTCCAATGTCTGAAGCTATATTGCGCTATCAAAATTACGAAAACTGGTGGTTTAAACGAGGTAATAAAGATTTAATCGCGTTTTGTTCAAATTTGAGACTTTTTAAATCACTCTTACAGGATTTTCACATTTTATTTACACGATTTTTCACATTAATTTTTACAATACTTTTTACACCACTCTTACGCTACATTTTACATAACTATTCACATTGCTTTTTACTTTACTACACACATTACTTTGCACGTTACTCTTTACATCCCTTTTTTACATTACTTTTCACAGTAATTTTTTACACTCCTTTAAAATGACCTAGATTACTTTTATAGCACTTCATATTATTTCTTAGATTACTTTCACATTCTTTACATCATTTTACAGCACTATTTATATTAACTCTTACATTACTTTCAGCAAAACTTTACTTTTCTTCAATTCCCTCCATACTTCTCACTGGCCAACAATTTGCGCTTACGAGCACATATAGATTCAAATTTTACTATTTTTAGGTGAAATCGTGGATCCAACGGATGGGGGACTGCGTTTGACTTCGATGTCCGCACTGCTGGCCGAGAAGAAATGGACATGGGATGAGGTTCAACGTCGCCTCATATCAAATATGATTGCTCTTGACAGGAATGGCTGGCAAATTGTTAATGGAAAGCTAATGGATGCTACTGCGACAAGCAACATTCATCAGATTGTTGGTTTGGAAATCGATAAGAAAGATTTTGGCATCAAAGTTCTTGTGGAGCAATCTTCTTCAAGGAACGTCTTCAATCGACAGCCGGCGCTTCTCAGCTGGGGAGACATCGCAAGTGGATTATCCCTCAGCCAGGCAGGGGCTTTCTTTAGTTTGGAAGCCATCGATCCACAGGAAACACCGTATCACCCCTTCAACAAGTTAATTTACTTCCCAGAACAGCTGGAAGGAATGGAAATGCTGTTCACGATGTTACACACGGATTATCTGCTAAAGCAGTTCAGCATGGGTCATGAAATTCAATCCTATCCACCCTTTCAACTTCGACCCGCCTCAGAGGGTCTTCTCAAAAATCTTCCCTATAATTTAAAAGAAGTCTTGCGCTCGATCCCTAGCCGAGGCGCCTCGCGCCATCGCGTTCATCGATTGTGGATACAAGCTGACACAATGGAGTACGACGTTCAAGAGACAGGCGACACAATACGCTGGCTGTTTGGAGAAGTCAAGATTGCTGTCCGCTGCATGCCCATGTTTCATGGCGAGGACGGGGAACTGAAAGATCTCGACACCGATGGCCCTGATCCTGATAGCCCGGAAGGTCGTTTCGTTGAGGATTTTACGAAGAATTATGAGGAAATCGGGAAGCATTTTCCCGAATTTCTTCGTCTAAAAGAACTTTGTAAAGTTCAGTGGTTGGGGCAATTTCTCGACAGCTTTAAAAACAGCATGGAAGAACATAACAAACGGATTGAAAGTGGAGAACTGGATCCGGAAATTCAGCGCATCCAAGCTTCGGCAGTCCAGGAGGCAGAAGCTAGCATTGCGAGTAATCTTGATAAAGCAAGAAATGATATAAAACGGCAGGTTTCGTATATCGATGACAACGTAGTAAGTCAAGTTCATCGGCAAGGTGGTATTTCAGCATCGTACAGCCAAATTTCCAATTGGCTATACACTGGCAATTCGCGTGACATCGCGAGGAAAATTGCCCGAGAAAACGCTCCAAGTCTGAACGAAATCCGAAGAAAAATCGCCGAGCAGCAAAAGGAAAGCCTGCGAAAATGCACGAGCACGATAGCGGATCTGAGAAGGAGCTCAAAGAAAATCCTCTCCCCCAGCAACAAATGCAAGTGGATACCCGCAGTCAACTACAGACAAGATGAAGATGAGTTTACTCGATTTCATTATGGCGGCGTGTCCCTAACACCAAAAGTTGTGAAGACAAATCTTTCCACATCTAGATTCTTCTCCGGAATCAGCAAGGTAGCACTGACTTCTGCCCTGCTGTCAAATTACGTACCAAAAAAGCAACCGCCTCTACCAGCTTTCAACCCTCGCATAGTCAATGCAACAAAACCGTCGACTGGAATGCAACAGACTTCGGCAAACATTTCCAGTGCTCAGGCCTCGGGAAAAGGTAATTATTACTGAAATGCGTTAGGAGGACTTTCGTCAAACAGCTAAATTAATAGTGGTTCCCGTGAATTTTTACTAATCGCTGCAGGATTACCAATTAATGTTACTACGAAATATGTTTTTCCTGGTAAGTTTAGCGGCATATACATCGAGGGTGTTCTTTTGATGCTAAAATATTGTGTTTTCTCATTCTAGGTGGGGGAGTTGGAGGCCATGGTGGTGGTTATGCTGGTGGTGATGGGAACGGTAGAAGTGGTGGAAGCGGAGGAGGTGGGAATAGTAGCAGTGGGGGGAGCAAAGGGGGTGGGAGAGGTGGAGGAAGTGACGGTGGAAAAGGCGGGGGTCGAAGTGGTGGTGACAATTGGGAGAGGGTGACGAGAGCACTAGAGAAGGCATGTGGTACCACGATGGGAACCCGAATAAGAATGGATAAGAAGGCTCCAAAAGCCAGGCAGTACGTGAAGCCTTTGTCCCCTGGAAAGTCAGACTGGGAAACTGCGTTGTCGGAATTTAATACCGTAATTGGAAGAGACGCTGAAATTAGAGCTGGAAAAACTAGTAATGGTTTTTACTGTGTAAATGTTTTTCCATAAATTGAACCAAATGAATGTCAACATCGTCTAAATATTACGTACATTTTTTCTGTTTTGCAGTTCAGGGAAGTGTTTGGGATACTTTGAAATCTTCGCTACAAAAGATTCAACGAGGAGAAAAACCGCCCAAAGGTTTTAGTTTGATTCATTCAATGACAGTTGAAGGACAGGAATGGTCGGTGAGTGTGCGAAGCAGCAGCGATAAAAGGCCCACGATGGAGTTTTATCGAAAAGGTATCAAAGGCAAAATGCACGATAAATGCATCAAGATTCGTTTTGGCGGCAAACAGTCGTAAGGAGAGCAAACATTAATCATAACTCATATTAAATGCATGCAGATCTGCAATTAGGCCAGAAATGTGTCACCAAATTCGAGCCGCCTTAATCGACGTTGATCAGTCTGAATAATACAATAGACGTTGATCAGTCCGAATAATACAATAGACGTTGATCAGTCTGAATAATACAATAGACGTTGATCAGTCCGAATAATACAATAGACGTTGATCAGTCTGAATAATACAATAGACGTTGATCAGTCTGAATAATACAATAGACGTTGATCAGTCTGAATAATGCAATAGACGTTGATCAGTCTGAATAATACAATAGACGTTGATCAGTCCGAATAATACAATAGACGTTGATCAGTCTGAATAATACAATAGACGTTGATCAGTCTGAATAATACAATAGACGTTGATCAGTCTGAATAATACAATAGACGTTGATCAGTCTGAATAATACAATAGACGTTGATCAGTCCGAATAATACAATAGACGTTGATCAGTCTGAATAATACAATAGACGTTGATCAGTCTGAATTGCGAAGCCTAGCAAGTAAACACTGATGCGTTTTGTGTACTCTATATTTAAACCGAATTCGACGTAAAAACACTAATTTTTACCGTATTATACTGCATAGTTATGATCAAATCATTTAGTGTCGAATGACAATCACCAACAAGCTATGAGAAAATTTAAACACCATTTGCTTTCGACTTAAAAGGCGATTATACTTTGAGTTAGACATGTGCACTTAACTTTTTATATTTTTATATCAATGATACTTTAAAAATCGCAAATTTTAGACTTGTTGTATGTTGTCGATTTGCTGATTCGATTAAATTATATTCATAGAAAAATTGCATGTTGATTATAGTTTTTTTTTAATTAATTATATGTCTTCTGTAATCAATGGCAAATACTGCAATTTCATTGGCTAAGAGGATTTCAATTTGAGCATTTACCGCACCCTTACCCTTCGGAAGTTGTAAATACACTTTAGCCCGTACAAAATAAAAATCGCTCTACTAGTACTTACAGCTAGCTAACCACCATTCAGCGATATAAAACATGAATTGCGTAAGCAAATAATAATGAATATTAATAATTCGAAATTGGAATTAAGTAATAATTGGAATTAGGTAATAGAAGAAATAAAGTCGCTCAATTAAAACAAAATCATACTCGTGCATGGTTAACAAAGTGCAGCTTACACTACACTCAATTTATTAGCACGGCCCGGCTGAAATTGGTAGCCGTGCCCTGTTTTTATTGCTGTTCAGGCTACCAATGCCAAAGCCCGGCCAGGGATGAAATTGGTACGGGTAACCATTTTAACCACGACGTGCTGATTACCGATAACTTATGATGAATTTTGATGTGTTATAATTAGCAATACATGACGTCCTGGCTAAAAGTAGCTTTACGCCGCCGCTGTCCTTTGAAAGCACGCGCGTAAAAATTGATCAGATTACTCCCAGTTGACGCAAACAGGTCTTAACAAGGTTGTGCTGCACCCTAAAAACTTGTTTGTTATCAATTTGCAGCAATTTGTTAAAGCCTAACAAGTTGCTACAACTTGATAGCAGGTTCTTAGCGAGAAGCACAACTGTTAAGCCTGTTTTCATCAACCGGGAACAGCTTGAGCGTTTTTTGCCATGTAGCTTTGTTTTGGAGACGTTAGATGTAGCACGAGCAATCGTATTGTATAAAATATATAAGGTTGGCAAGTGTCCAACTGTATGCAAACAATATATCAAGAAAAAATGCATTAAAAACACTTAAATTCCTTTTGAAAAACAACTGAGTGTTAGCACGAGTAAGTTTTTCTATCGTGTAGTTTGGGGTTTTTTAATCACACTACAATGAGGGAATCAATTCGAAAATTCGTTAAAATTTGCCAAATTTTGTCAACTTCATGGGGATGCATGTTGCGAATATTCACGAATATCCGCTTTCTATTCGATCACAAAAGATCGAATATTCACGAATGTTAGGTGTTGCGTTCTTTTACACACTCTGCATGTTTTTTTTTTTCAAATTGATTGTTTTTGCAGTCAGTGAACATGAATGCATAAGAATGCCCCCCTCCGATTCTCGCCACTAGTTCTTACAATTCATATTCAACGAAAATATAAGTGATAAACCATTGGTTTAGGTTCTAACCACAGGGAATGGTTTGTAAGCAAACTAAATAGAGTCTCAGTATAGTGTCTGGGCTTACATAAATCGATTCAACGACATTGCAAGTTGTCTGAAGCTAAATATTCACTTAACCACATGCATATCATTTATTAACAGGAAGCGGTAAGATGTTTCTTAATTTCACTTCTTATATTTAGATTCTAACTACAGATGATGGTTTGTAGGCAAACTAAATAGACTCTTGTGCGGTAGTTACATAGAGCCCAGATATAGCTGGATATCTTCGAAGCAAAGGAACTCGCCAACTAGGCGTGTGTCTGAGCTTCCATCATTTGATTCAACAACATTCCAAGTTCTCTGAAACTAAGGCTATGTGCACACGAGCGTCGTTTTCGAGCGTTTTCAAAATCGTTTTTGTCCATTTTATTGTTTTGACGCCCTGTTCACACGTTCCAATGAAAAATATGCTTTATCTTATAAGTTAGCTTCAACTTCTATTGTAAATTGACGGTGTTTCAAACCGTTTTGGCATGAAAACGAAAATGAAAACGCTCGAAAACGTTACCGTGTGCACATAGTCTAAATATCCACATAACCACATACACACATTTATTAACAGGAAGCGGTAAGATGTTGCTTAATTTCACTTCTTATATTTAGATTCTAACTACAGGGGATGGTTTGTAGGGAAACTAAATAGACGCTCGTGCAGTAGTTACATAGTCCAGAGTCCAGATATAGCTATATATTTTTGAGACAACAAAACTTGCCAACTAGGCGTGTGCCTGGGCTTCCATCATTCGACTCAATTCCGGTTAATTAACTTAACTACGGTCCACAAATTCGCCTCAACACCGCAGTAAGTATATCTACCTAATATGAACGAGTTTTGTGATTGGCTTTTTGTAACAATACAGGGTGAGTAAAAAAAACCCTGCACCTTTGAAAGTCGAATTAGCCGCGAACTTATGGCTGGAATTTGACAATTCCGATGTGTACAATCAACAGGACGTGGTTAATTAATGCGAAAGTGTTTAAGCGAATTGAACCAATTCAACGTGGCGCGTGTGCTAGAAAAACGATTTGATAAAACTGTTCTTTTTTATTTACAGAGCCTAGAATGTATTTTAACTCCCAAAGGGAACAAACTTTATGTTCTAGGTTAATTAATGATTCACCTATTTGATATACTTCGCATACCCATGAGATATTTTAGGCAACTTCTGTCACATTAATTTGAATTTCGAAGGTGTCAGTTTTTTTTACTCACCCTGTAGTGAACAGTTTTTATAATTCGTTCTTATAGAAATCACTTTCTATAGTTCATTGTTTTTTATTGTTATCATCAACCAATAGCAAAGCTTATTCATATAGGTATGTACCGACTCCAACACCGAACAAATTGTTTGTGGTAAAAATTACGCAAATCATGTTTTAGTTTTAGCGACTATCCCATTCTGTACAACGTTTAAGGCCAGTAACGTATTAACATTTTTTTTCTCGAGAATGGTATCGTGTTAATGCACATATCATTTATTATAACAAGCAGCGGTAAGATGCTGCTCAAATTGATCGTTTTTATTCAGATTTGTGATGATTGTAGGCAAGCTAGATAGAGTCTCGGCAGATATAGATAGTCTAGGTAGCCTGTGACAGAAAAAAAAGGGCCCATCGCCACAAATTCGTAGGAATTCGAAGAGACTTCAACAGGAAACGTAAGCTATTCTGTTAAATGTTTCAAGCTCACAATTTGGTATCGTATATCAACTGTCCCATGGCCGAGGCTGAAATGTATGCTTGATGATTTTAAAATATGTAAACACAGAAGTTTGTGCTGGCATTTTGAATGGCGATATTATAATTTCCTATACAATATTTTTACCAAAGTGTCGCTCACACTCCTAGTGTGAAATGTGATATTGAATATCAATATCATTCGAGGAATTGGTATTCTACGTAAATGTAAGGGAACATATGCTTGATTGAACGAATTCTATCAGCCGATATTTCTTAGGTAACAATTTATATTCCCGGAATTAACATTCCGCGTAAATATAAGGCTTTCAAGGAAAATATGCTTGAATGAGCGAACTGTATTAGCCAATATTACTTAGGTAACAGTTTATATTAAAACCCCATAAATGAATGGTTTCATTTTGTAATCTCAACAGATCGGATCTTTATCGACCCAAAATGATTGTATCACTTTTAATATAGCGACGAGAATCGGTACACGACGATTCAAAATCGATTGGAACAAATTAAGTCGTGCAATTAATGTCAAAGACAAAATCATACTCGTTTGTTGATTTTGTAATGATTTGGCATTAATCATCATTAACATTTGGAGGGTCACACTAAACTGAGGGAGTATTAGCCGAATTTTGTCAAATCTATACAGGATGCATATTATCACAATTTTTTGTCCTGTGATTAGCAAAAGTCAGAAAGTTATCACGGCGAATAATCATGAATATTCGCTATTCACAGATTGGACTTAATTAATCAGTCGCATATCTCTAATTGCACATCTGTTATATCTTGAATTTCATGACAGTATGCATATGTCCCCCCTCGTGCAACGCGACTGGTTCTTGCAATTCAATTCAGCCACTATAGTGTCGAAAAAGTACGACAATGTTTAATCGTTCCAGCAATCCGAAAAAGAATTAACAAAGGCTTTCGAAGCAACAAACCTCGCTAACTAAGAGTGTGTCTGGGCTTCGATCGTTCGATTCAACAAAATTCCTAGTTGTCTGGGGCTAAACGAACCCGGAAACAACAAGACACGTCTGTAGTAGAAAACAAAAACCAAATATCATCTATTAACCGGCAGCGGTAAGTTGTTGCTTAATTTCATCGTTTTTATTTAGATTCTAAGTACAAGATCAAGGGATGGTTTGTAGGCAAACTAGATAAAGTCTCTAAATATATGTCTCAGTATATAGTTACATTACATCTCAATGAGATAACCTCATATATATTTTCGCCGGCGTGTGAGAGATAACAAGAGGCCCTCACCCTAATTCGTAGTCGTAGGAATTTGAAGAGGCTTCCGCAAGAAACGGCGAGAGGTCAACAGAACAGACTGCCGAGGTTGAAGGCCTTTACGCCACGGTTTATCCTATCAGGTGAACCACAGTTGATGATAAATTGTACGTTTGAAGATTTTACAATATGAATAAATTGTAAGTTTGTATGTATCTATGTAGTACTTGGGTAACTTTGCATTTTAATAGTATAGTGTTTCGAATTCGTATACAACATTATTTTAGCAATGTGTTAAACTGAATTTATGCCACGTAATTCTGCAAAATGAAATTAAATACAGTAGAATGATTCGCATACTTGACATTCCAAGTTAATTTAGAGATTTTGCAGAACATATGCTTGCTTGATTGAGCAATCCCAAATGGTAGATATCAGTTGCATAACATTCAAACCCAGTACAAGGAAATGCTTAAACTCTGTAATCTCAAATAATGTAAAATGGCTGACAGGAGCTAATTTTTTGTTTAATACGAACGAAAAAACTCATTCCTCTTACTTCTGAGAACGATATCTACAAAAGCTAACTGAAGCTAAGTTAAGTAGGGACAGTTTTTGTGAGATAGCTCATATAGGTTCTACATTGAAACTCTTTACTTTTTACTTTTTGTGTTTTGTGAGTTTGCAATTTGCGACAACCCGCACTCACTTCTCTTATAAAGATATCGCTCCTTTCTTAGTAAATTTAAATACCTTAATATAGAAAATCAGCATTTAATTTTAGTGCATATTTTCTCATTTTCCACTAAGAAATTCAGGGAAATACGAAAAAAATATGAATTCAGTTTGGCCGCGCACATAGGTGGACTAGAGTGTCCTCCAATAGCTCCTTCAATTCCCTCCATCTTTTGCTTCACTTCAAGTTCCTACTCCATAATCTCCATATTTATATATAGATCTCACTGGCAAGTTCTTGCAATTCATATTCCACGAAATGTAAACAATCTTGTCAACGATAAATAAGCAATTAGTGATGAAAAAGTATGATTATGCTTTATTGTTCCAGCAAGACGCTTTGGAGGCACATATTTGCAACTAAGAGTGTAGTGTAAGGGTTCAACCATAACACTCAACATTTCCAGTTGTCCCAAACTAAACCAGAAAAAGTTCATCTATTAAACAGGCAGCGGTGAGATGTTCTTAATTTTATCGTATTTATTTAGATTCCAACTAGGGCATATGATTTGTAGGAAAGCTATAGATAGTTCGGTATCCTGTAAGAGGTAACAAGGGCCCCTCGTTAACAATTTAGTGGGAATTCCAAGGGGCTCAACAGGAAACTTCGAGAACGTTTGTGCGCTAAAGACACCGAAGTTCCTACCACTCAATGATAGCGCTTGAAAATGCCTTAAAAGTAGTATATACAAGTTAGCAGACTGTTATAAACAGTACTTTTAATACGAGTGAAGTGCTTAGATGTTAAAGTGCAGAGATCCTAAGCCTAAGATGATTTATTATATATTTCATATTAACCACCCATAGCAACCATATACTTCTGGAAAATCTGTTTTATTTGGTATCCTGTTATCTTTCAAACTGATTGAATTTTCCATTCTATTTTTGGGTCATGATTCTAAGAAATGCTTAGAGCATGATGTGCAAAAGAATTAAAGAAATTTTTATTTTTTAGCTTTGAGAGTCAAGCGTTGCTAAGAGCGTGCTTGAAATGTTGTTACGCGTTTCAAAAATGTGACAAAAGTAATTTATGCCTATGTCTATAGGGAATATTTGACCGCAGAAATCGATTCCTGACCTAAAATTAGACCAGGGACGGTTTTTCGGCAATTTTTTCGCTTAAATTTATTCGATTTTTTGTTATTGTGAAATATTCGAATTCCATCAGTTATGCAATGTGTACATATCATTATTACGCCCATATTATGAATGTTCATGTAAAAAATCGGCATAATTCTCCAAAGGCTCGACTTTTAGGCTAAATATATCAGAACTTAACTAAATTACTGCGCTGCATGGTTTCCGTTTGTTTTACTTTGAGACTGATAATATATTGAATGATAAAAAAGTCGCATGCATTTTAAAGTAAATATCATCGCTGATTTATTATGTTAAACCAAACAAACCATGTATAGCTACTTAGTAATCAGGTCGATTTTGTCTTTAAAGTGGTACAATTTTCATTAAAATCAGTCACGTACATGAATAGGAAGTTACAATAAGCCAAACAATTTTAAAGCTCGTCGCAATGAGCCGACCGCAATGAGCTCCAAGTTAAGATAAATACATCAATATTGTCCAAATTTATTACGAATGTGATAATTGAACACCGATATTGTTCGCGGAATTGACATTCTATATTATTTGAGCCCCGTTTACACTACACTCAATTTCTTTGGCACGGTACGGCTAAAACCGGTAACCGTACATAATTTTACTAGTGTTCAGGTTACCAACACAAAGGCTGAGCATAGATGAAATTCATATGGGAACCCATTTTAGCCGTGCCGTGTCAATAAATTGAGTGTAGTGTAAACGAAGCTTTAGATATCAGTTGATAATAAACGACATATGGTTGCATTTTGTAATCTCAACAGATCAGCTCTTTAGCGATCCAAAATGATCATGATTTTTTGCCATTAGCCATTTCCCAATCGAGCAGGGTACTGGGCCTAGTCCCGAACCGCAAAGCATCCATGGACTGTTTGGAGGGACAAATGATTCCAGACTTATATTTCCTGTCCCTCTAATTGCGAGAGAGGACAATTAACATTTATTGCGAAACTCCGTACCGTGTATTCTGCTCCGTTTACACCACACATGATTTGCAGTTTCTCTTAAGTGTTGATGGTTGTTGACCCTATTTTTCGACTATTTTTATTTTTAACAGCAATCTTTAAAATTAAGAATTAAAAAACGAGTCGACTGCCTTTATGGTGTAATAATGCACGATGAGGGAATGTTGCTTAGCAATGATGTTGTTGCGTAATAAGTTGCTTAGCAAAAAACCAGCTCGATTCGCTTTCAGCAAGCGACTTTACAGCAAGAAATTCAGCTCTCTTTCTAATATTTTTGCAAAACCTTTCTTTGTTGGCATTAACGCTTTGCTTTTCAGAACAAGACTTTGCATTCTAGTGTTTTATGTTCAAATTTTTAACTTGTTTTGTGAAATTTTGGATTTTAATTACTTTTCAACAAGAGGCGGGTAAATTTAAAAAAGTACAATTGATGTGGTTTTTGCATTGCAAACAAATGTAAAACTATCGTATTACAGGCATGATGATTCAAATATCTGGGTCATTTTGCAAGTCTATTTTATCATTTCCAGGACCTGGTTCAGTGTTTAGTGAACAAAACCTTTGGGCTGCGTTTAACCAAAACCAAAATGGCCTCTGCTGATACAGGGGAGTCAGAAGAAATGTTGAACTACTATCAGGTATTGTGCCTTAAATTCTCTCCGTTATTGAAAGAGAACTATCCGCTTGTCTTTGAAAAAAGAAACTTTTAACTGTCCCTGCTTTTTTGTAGGAAGGTTTCATTGAATAAATTTCAATGACCTTTATTGAATCGAACTAACCACCCATGATTATCCATACTCATAATCATCATTGATTATCATCTATCACTTACTCCATCCATCATTCAATCAATCTATCATCCATCTTAATCTCCATCCTCGCTATCATCTATGCTTATCCTTATTCTTTATCTATATCCTCATCCATCTTCATCCATCATTCACACTTATCCATTCATCCTTATCTTTCCATTCATTTTTATTCATTTTCATTCATCCATCCATCATGCATCCTAATCTATATCCATTATCATAATCCTTACGGCCTTCATTTTTTTTTTCACAATACAGCTTCTAGGCGTAAAGCAAAATGCATCGAATGAGGCTATCATACAAGCCTTCCGTCGTTTATCGAAAGAAAAACATCCGGACAAGAATCTGGACGACGGTGAAAGAGCGACACGTGACTACCAAAAGCTGACGCATGCAAAAATTATCCTGCTGGATCCTGAACAACGGCGCAAGCATGACGAAGATTTGATTGACAGTGGCGTTAGGAATGAGAAAGCGCTACCACTGTACTGCAGTATTTGTTCGAAAGAGCGCGGAAGATATGCACGCAGGTGTTTGAAGGGCTTCGGACACAAAAGTCCAATTATCGAAGAATTTCACGCGGCCCAACATGAGCACAAACGAAGATATTCACAGCAAAACAAACGCCGCGAAAAGGCTGAGTTCATCAAATGCCTGGAACGAGTTCTACAAGAGTTTGTGAAAAATGATTTCCCAAAGTTGTATCCACTCGCAAAAGCTTCGAATCATCCCAACACCGCTTCAGAGCGTCATTCAAAAAGCTATGTTTCAATGAGAGAGGAGACAAGTGGTAAACCGGAAGCGTCCTCCTTGTCAACGGCTTCAGAAATAGCAAATATTCTAGAGGCAAGTAAAACTAGACCATCACGAGGTCGCCATTCAACAAACCTGTCGTCGACAAACAAATTTCCGTTGTACGACTTATCATCCTTAACGGACAAGGAATTGAGGCTAATTCTGGATTACTTAAGATTGCCATACGAGATCTCTGCTGATCGTGAAGTTTTAGAGAACATGGCTAACCAATACTGTCCCATGGTGGTTCTGTTACCAAATTCGGACAATCAATCGATAAATCAAAGTCGAGAATGCGGACGGTGTTCGAGTCAGCTTTGGTATATACAATTCTACTTTCCGAGACTAACATCGTCGGTCTGTTTCTCCTGCAATAAAATCTGTTGCGGTGATTGCCTGATGAAAACCAACTGGAAAATTCCGTTTTCTGGTTCGTTCGACTTGAGAACAATTTGTTCAGAATGCTTTAGAATATTAAAGATCAACGAATCTCAGAGTTGGTTGGAACGAGGAATTGCTTTACTCGAATCTGACCAGAACAGGACAGAAACCGTACTTGCTATGTACAGGATTTCAGACACAGTGCGACCATCAGACGTTGCCATAATCCAACAAGCCAAGTTGCTAAATCAGCGGAAACAATACATCAGGTTGGCTGAATTTGGAAAAGATATTCTGGTTAGCGAAAGTATGTTTACGAAAGACAATTGCACCGTCCTTTTATTCTTCGTCGCAGACAGTCAGTTGCATGTTGCCAGCGCAATGCCAGACACAGATTTGATGAACAAAGTCGAATTATATGAAGACACTATTGCCTGGATTGAACGCTTCGATAGTCTTGTTGATGAAAAAACTCACAATTTAAAACTTAGGGCAATCAAAATGAGGTCGGTTCTTCTTCGCAAACGCGATGAAATCATTAAGAAAAAAGTGGCCATGGTATTTTCGCAGCTTATCCAAGCCATTAGAGAGGGTTCGTTTTTTAAGGCGCTTCTTGCGATAGAAGAAAAAGATGAAAACAGCGACGAAGTTATGCATTTGTGCTGGCAGCAGTTGTTGAAGGAATCGAATGAAAACTACAACGAATACAGTCGACTAATTTTGCGATTCTTAAAAGCTACTGCCCTGCACGAACAAGGTAATTCGACGGCTGCCATCAATGAAGTGGCTGATGTGTTTTGGAGTGGTTATGAACTCTTCCAGTCCAATTACCGCAGTATACCTATCATCGACTACGTCGTGAAGTTTACTGTAAAGTTGATTATGGATCAAGCAAGTTTGCCTCTCGGAGATGTCGCCGGAATAAAAGTTTCAAATTTTCTATCGACCCTTCAATTAACAGAACAGGACCTCATTAATCCACCTGACATAGATGACCGCAAATGGAAAAACCTCACCGTAGAGGGTTGTGATATGAAAATGTTCCTGAAATACGAAAAGGCGGTGAAGACACTTGTTGAGAAAAAGAAGTGGACGCCACTAGACGCTGCCTTTGCCTATTACGACTTGATAACCAGTTGCAAACACCCAGCTCAGCTGTTGTTAACCATCATAACGTCTGCCCAGTGGTTTGCGCGTCAAATCTCATGCTCGAATTCCAGCGAGTCGTGCCTGTTCGCTTGCAAGAAGATGATCACGAAACTAACAAATCTGGCAGCAGCGCTGGCCTTCGAATTCTCAACGCAACCATACATGAGGTATTACGTTGCAAAGATGGTGGTCGCGTTGCAGTTCTACTCGTCTTTGAAGACTGGACACGAGGGCCAGGAGACAGCAAATTTCATTGGGGTGAACATGAAGTGGCTCGTGGCTGCGGGTCGCAATTGCCCTTTGCATAAAATGCCAATGGTGACACCCACAGAGGCCGTGCTTATGAATATCATTTCCACCAAACTTCATTGCGAGTATCTCCTCAAGCTTCAAGATGATATTCCTGCCAAGTTCCGTCCGATGTCTGAAGCTATATTGCGCTATCAAAATTACGAAAACTGGTGGTTTAAACGAGGTAATAGAGGTTCAGACCCGTTGCTCAAATTTGAGGCTTTTTCCACGAATTTGTACGTTTTTTTGGAGAATTTTAACCATACTATTACACGATCACATCACTGTTTACACGGTTCTTTTTACATCACTCTTAGGCAATTCATATTACTTTCCACATTAATTTTTTATATCATATTATACTAAGACCCCTTTTCAGTTAATTTTATTTTTGTATTATTTTTACATCACTTTCCCATCACATTACCTCTTACATTATTTTACTTCACTTCACTTTATACTTCTGACTAGCGCTACAGTTCGCGTCTACCGTGGCATTTATAGATCCAAAAATTACCATTTTTATAGGTGAAATTGTGGATCCAACGAACGGGGGATTGCGTTTGACTTGCATGTCCGAACTGCTTGCCGAGAAGAAATGGTCATGGGATAAGGTTCAACATCGCCTCATATCAAATATGATTGCTCGTGACAGGAATGGCTGTCAAATTGTTAACGGAAGGCTAATGGATTCTATCGCGACAAGCAACATCAAGCAGATTGTTGGTTTGGAAATCGATAAGAAAGATTTTGGCATCAAAGTTCTCGTTGAGCAATCTTCTCCAAGGAAGAGTCGAATGCCGGCGCTTCTCAGCTGGGGAGACATCGCAGGTGGATTATCCTTTAGGCAGCCAGGGGCGTTCTTCAGTTTGGAAGCCATCGATCCACAAGAAACACCGTATCACCCCTTTAACAAGTTGATCTATCACCCAGAACAGCTGGATGGAACGGAAATGCTGTTTACGATGTTACACACAGATTATCTGCTGAAGCAGTTCAGCATGGGTCATGAAATTCAATCCTACCCACCCTTTCAACTCCGACCCGCCACGGAGGGTCTTCTCAAAGATCTTCCCAATGATTTAAAAGAAGTCTTGCGCTCGATTCCTAGCCGTGGTGCCTCGCGCCATCGCGTTCATCGATTGTGGATACAAGCTGACACAATGGAATACGACGTTCAAGAGACAGACGACACAATACGCTGGCTGTTTGGAAAAGTCAAGATTACCGTCCGCTGCATGCCCATGTTTCATGGCGAAGACGGAGAACTGAAAGATCTCGACACCAATGGCCCTGATCCTGATAGCCCAGAAGGTCGTTTCGTTGAGGATTTTACGAAGAATTACAAGAAAATCGGGAAGTATTTTCCCGAATTTCTTCGTCTAAAAGAACTTTGTAAAGTTCAGTGGTTGGGGACATTTCTCGAACGCTTTAAAGACGGCATGGAAGAACAAAAGAAACGAATTGAAAGTGGAAAACAGGATTCGGAGATTCGGCACATCCAAGCGTCGGCAGTCCAGGAGGCAGAAACTAGCATTGCGAGTAATCTTGATAAAGCAAGAAATGACATAAAACGGCAGGTTTCGTACATCAATGACAACGTAGTAAGTCAAGTTCATCGGCAAGGTCGCATTACAGCATCGTATAGCCAAATTTCCAATTGGCTATACACTGGCGATTCGCGTGAAATTGCGAGGAAAATTGCTCGAGAAAATGCTCCTAGTCTAAACGAGATCCGAGAAAAAATCGTGCAGCAGCAGAAGAAAAACCTGCGAAAATTCACGAGCACGATAGCGGATCTGAGAAGAACCGCAGAGAAATTTCCCTCGCCCAGCAACAAATGCAAGTGGATACCCGCAGTCAACCACAGACAAGATGAAGACGCGTTTACTCGATTTCATTATGGTGGCGTGTCTCTAACACCAAAAGCTGTGAAGACAAATCTTTCCATATCTAGACTCTCCTCGGGAATCAGCAAGGTAGCCCTGAAAGGCAGCAGGTTGTTAAAGTACGTGACGAAAAAGCAACTACCTCTGCAAGCATTCAACCCTCCTACAGTCAATGCTACAAAACCGTCGACTAAAATACAACGGTCCTCGGCTACTGGAATGAAACACACCACTGCAAACACTCGAAATTCTCAAGCATCAGGAAAAGGTAATTGTTATCTGATGAAATGAGATAGGAAGTTTCGTTTATTCACATAGAAACAGAGTAAACTATCGAGATGCATATTCATGAAACAGCCAAATAATGATTCCAAGAATTTTTTTCCTAATCACGGTGGAAAAACATCGCGAGAAACAGTAAAAATCAATTTGCTTGAGAAATCGGATGACAACCGATCGAATTCAGCAATCTCCGGAATTGATTCTCCCTATGGAGGGAGGTTCCAATTAGACCTAAACTTAGAGTTTATACCCACCCTTTAAATTTCTTTCAATGTTAAAATAGTGTGTTTTTTATTCCAGGTGGAACAGGCGGTAGCTCTGGTGGAGGTAGTGCTGGCGGTGGGGGAAACGGTAGAAACGGATCGGTAGAAAGCGAGGGAAGCGAAGGTGGGAATAGCGAGGATGGAGGTGGGGAAAGTGAAGGAGGTGGGGAAAGTGAAGGAGGTGAGAATAGTGAGAATAGAAGTGGGGGAAACTGGGCCGGTGGAAATAGTGGGGGTAGAAGTAGGGGAAGGGGAAGGGGCAGAGGAAGGGGAGGAAATAGTCGGGGTGGACGTGGGAAAGGCAAAAGAGGTTGGACTAGTAGGGATGAAGGTAGAAAAAGTGGAGGAGGTGGAAATAACCAGAGTGGAGGTGGAAAAAGTGGGGGTGGAAGTCGGAAAAGCGGAGGTGGGAATAATGGGGGTGAAGGTGGGAAAAGTGAAGGTGGTTGGAATAGTGGGGGTGAAGGTGAAAAAAGTGGAGAAGTTTGGAATTATGGGGATGGACATGGGGGAAGTGGAAATAGTGTGGGTAGTGGTAGGAAAAGTGGAAATAGTTGGGGTGAAGGTCGGGGAAAATGTGGGAATAGTGGGAGTGGAGGTGCAAGAGATAGAGAAGAAGGGAACAGTGTGGGCGGAAGTGGAAAAGGCGGAAGAAGCGAAGGAGGTGGGAATAGTGGGGGAGGAGGTGGAAAAAGCGGAGGAGGTGGAAGAAGCAGAGGCGGGAGAAGCGGAGGAGGTGGAAGCGGAGGAGGTGGGAATAGTGCGGATGGAGATGGGGGAGGTGGAGGTGTGAATAGTGGGGATGAAGGTGAAAAAAGCATAGGAGGTGGGATAACATTGGTAGAGATAGAAAACGTGGAGGAGGTGGGAATAGTGGAAGAAGGAAAAGCAGAGGAGGTGGAAAAAGTGGGGACGGAGATGGGGAAAGTGAAGGAGATGGGAAAAGTGCGAACGAAGATGGGGCAAGTGGATAAAGTGGAAAAAATAGGGATGAAAGTGAGGGAAGTGGAGATGGAAACAGAGGAGGTGGAGGTGAGAGAGGCGGTGGGGAAGGTATTAACCCAGGTGGATGTAGTGCAGGCAGTGGGGGAAACAGTAGAAAAAAAGTGAAGCAGCGAAGATAAAAGACCAACCAAGATGGAATTTTATCGGAAAAGTATTAAAGACAAAATAATCATGTAAACAGCCCGATAGTAAATAGTTACAGTTATAGTTTAAGACAGTTACGGAAAAACTGTCAAAGAAGTTTTAACGGTTTTGTAATTTTAGAGAATATAAAATGTATTCTCAGAACACAAAAACGTTTTCTAGTTATACTATTTTAAAACAAACCACGCTGAAAAAAAAACTTTTATACGATAGCATTAAAATGTAGTTAATAAATAGATCTTTAAGTTACAGGCAAAATAAGATGTCATTAAAATGTAGTGATAAATGGATCTTTAAATTACAGCTTAGTGTGTCAATACCATGATCGCCTTGAATATCGCCCCCGTTCATGTATGCAAGCAAGATATATATAATGAATTTTGAGGGTTTTAAATCACACTAAAATGAAGAAATATTTGGAAAACGCTTTAACATTTCAGGCAAATTTTGTCAAATTCATGGGGGTGCATGTCCTCAACTACGCCACAAATTTTTGATGCTATTGGCTGGCTTGGCGAATTGACTAAAGCCAGCCAATCCAGGGACGAATATTCTCTTTCTATTCCACGAATATTTAGTGTTTTTTATACACCCTGCATGTCTTTTTTCAAATTGATTGTTTTTACGGTCAGTGAATATGAATGTATGAAAATGCCCGCCCCCCGATGCGACGCAACTGCTTCTTGCAATTCATTATTTAACAAAAATATGAATAATCTTGTTTTCGATTAATAAGCCATTGGTGAAGAAAGAGTACAGTTAACAATGTTTCACAATGTTTAATCGTTCCAGCAATTCGAATAAGAATTAACAAAGTATTCCGAAGCAACAAACCTCGCCATCTAGGAGTGTGTCTGGGCTTCCATCATTCCATTCAACAACATTCCAAGTTGTCTGTGATTAAACTAACCCGGAAACAACTAGAAAGCTTTGTTGTAGAAGCCGAAAAACCATATATATCATTTATTGACAGGCAGTAGTAAGATATTGCTTTTAAATTTCATCATTTCATAGAGTCTAGATATAGCTAGATATTTTCGCCCCAGCGTGTGAGAGATAATTCGTCCTAATTCGTAGGAATTTGAAGGTAAAGAACATCGTCGAGAAGTCTGTTTTCGACAGACTGCCGAGGTTGAAGGCCTTCACGGTTTATCCTATCAGATGAACCACAGTTGATGATAAATTGTATGTTTGAAGATTTCACAATATGAATAAATTGTAACTTTGTATGTAGTACTTGACATTTTAATGTAATGTTTCGAATTTGTAAACAACATTTACCAATGTGTTGAAGTAAGGAAAAATACATATACATATTGCCCAAATTTCGTCGTGAAACGAAGATATAGATTTAAACTGAATTTATTCCACGTAATTCTGCAAAATGAAATTATATACCGTAGGATAATTCCCAAACTTGACATTCCAAGTAAATTCAGAGATTTCAAAGAAAATATATGCCTGATTGAGCAAACCGAATAAGCAGATATCAGTTGACATTCAAACCCAACACAAGGAAATGCTTAAATTCTGTAATCTCAACAGATCGCTTCTTTATAGTGACCAAAAGATTGATTGGCCAGTTGTATAAAAGGCTAGTTAAGTTTTACTGTAGTTAACAGAATTGCATGGCCAATCAGAGTCGTTTCATTACAATAATCCATCCTTATTGGTCAATAGACAGGAAGTAAGGAGTTTTTCAAGGAGTTTCCCAAATTGTTTGACAAACTCTGTTCAATATGTTTTGGAACATGTAACAAAGGCTTTCAAAGCACGAATTCGCTTACTATAAGAGTGTGTCTTGGCTCAACATGCAATGCGATTCAGCAACATACAAAATTATTTGAAACTAAAAGACGAAAAACAACATATCATTTATTAACAGGCAGCGGGTAAGATGTTGCTTTTATTGTTTCATTTCTAGATTTCAAGCTAGATATAGTACGGTAGCCTGTGCGATATAACTAGCGCCTCTCGCGACAAATTCGTACAAATTCGAAAAAGATTCAGAATAAACCTGCCGAGGGTAATGCTATTTACAGTTTGTTAATAGCCTAACCACTGTGCCACTGCTGAGACTGAAATGCATGCTTCATGTTTTTACAAAATGAATGCATCCACGTAGGTTTGTATATTGCTAGCAATTTTTTACAATGTGTTCCGTGAGCTACTTGGCCTCGGCTGTTTAATGGGGTAATAAAGCCGGGAAGAAACAATATCGTCACGAAGAAACAAGATTGATACTCTCTTCGAGTATTTGTGCCAAAGACACCTGCGTACCACCAAATGATAGCGCTTGAAAATGTCATAAAAGTAGTATATTCTAAGTTAGCAGACATTTATAAACAGTACTTGTAATATATATCAAAGACAAAGTGATGAGATGTTTTGCTATTTTAAATTAATCACCATAGCAACGATATTTTTATGTTCCCTGCTAGCTTTCACACTGTCTGAATTTCACATTTTTATCCTCGTTTTTATCCTTCGGTCATGATTCTCAGTTATGTTTAAAGCAGGATGTGCAAAATAATCATCGCAATGCCAACAGCTATATTCTCATTTCTAAGCAATAAGCGGTGCTCAGCGCGTCCTTAGCAACCCTTGTGGCTTTAGAAATAAAAAAATAATGAGCACAATCCAGTTTTCGGAATTTTACATTTGACAAAAAAATGCGAAAAAGTCGTCGATGACCATCCCCCCCAAGGGATTATGTGATTGCAGAGATCAATTCCTGAGGTAAAATTGGACTAGGGTCGGCTTGTCGGTATTTTTAGCCGAAATTTGTTCGCATTTTTTAATTATTGCGAAACATTTGCCAGCAGCACAGCAGTGATAAATATCATTATACATGTTACGAATGATTATGTGAAAAATCAGGGAAAATCTTCTAAGTGCTCGACTTTGAAGCTAAATATATCAAAATAATTGCAGGGGCCGGCTGCTTGAAAGCTGTTTAGCTTAAACGGCGGATAAGCCAAAGTTTGAAAATGCTCTCATAAATCTTGTGAATGACTGAAACTAAATTTTATGCATTTAATATGTACTTCCAAAATGACAATTAAACTATTTACATCGAAATATTTCAGCTCAGTTGTTCAATAAATAAATAATTTGGTTTTCCATTTTTAACTTATTCACCGTTTAAGCTAAAAGACTTTCGAACACTGGCCCCAGAGATGTAAAGTAAATGACTGTACTGCTTTCCGTTCGCGTTTTGAGCAACATTTTAAGCATTCTAAGCATGGGCTTTCTTGAGATACACTATTGAATCATAAGTAAATCGCATGTATTTTGAGGTGAATATCATGGCAAATTGGCAGGATATTGATCCAAACAATGTATCTATTGAGGTCAATTTTATTTACTGAGTTCTCAGGCTGAGGTTAAGATAAATATACATCAAAATTGTCCAAATTTTGCATTGAAAGATTTAAGCTGTATTTATTTTATTCAATTTTACAAAACGAAATGCGATACTTGAATAACCGATTTCACCCGCGAAATTGACATTCCACATAAATTTAGGAAACTATGCATGATTTAGCAAACTGAAGATTCACCTAAGTGTTGCTGGTTGTTAATTCTTTAAAGACTCTTTTCTTTATAAACAGCAAGATTAATAAACGTATTAAACATTAAAAAGTCCCTAGTTAGGGACATCCGTGCCCAATTGAATTTGTTAAAATATCATATTATTATGGTTTTTATATAGTGAACAGAACATTTCATTTGGGACAAAATGGCTTTTGCTAATGTAGGAGAGTCAGATGATGGCCTAAATTATTATCAGGTATTGTACCTTTATTTCTTACTGTATGTCAGTGAATATTAAAAAAGAATGGGGGACATATCCGCTTGCATTTTTGGAGAAAGAAACATTTAACAGTCCCAGCTCATTTACGCAGGAAGATTTCGTTAATAAATACAATTGGTTCGAATTGACATCATAACCATTGTCAATTGACATCTAAACCCATTGTCACTTATTATCATCTATCATTCATCATTATTCAAGCCCATCCATCATTCGACCTTGTAATTAACCATCCACACATCATTCAATGTTATCCATCCTCACCTTTCCCGATCCCTTTTCATCCATCATTCATCCCTATCCATCATTCATCCTCATCTATAATAATCCTTATGAACTTCACTTACAATACAGCTTCTAGGCGTAGAGCAAGATGCATCAAATGAGGCTATTATACAAGCCTTTCGTCGTTTATCCAAAGAAAAACACCCGGACAAGAACCTGGACGACCGTGAAAGAGCGACACGTGACTACCAAAAGCTGACGCATGCAAAAATTATCCTGCTGGATCCTGAACAACGGCGCAAGCATGACGAAGATTTGATTGACAGTGGCGTGAGGAATGAGAATGCGCTACCACTGTACTGCAGTATTTGTTCGAAAGAGCGAGGACGATATGCACGCAGATGTTTGAAGGGCTTCGGACACAAAAATCCAATTATCGAAGAATTTCGCGCGGCCCAACATGAGCACAAGGCTCGAGGATATTCACAGCAAAACAAACAGAGCCAAAAGGATGCATTCGACGAATGCTTGAAACGAGTTCTAAAAGAGTTTGTGAAAAACGATTTCCCAAAGTTGTATCCACTCGCAGAAGCTTCCAATCGTATAATCATCATCAGACTGCTCCGGTCACCCACAGGCAGGATTTGCATCCTTTCAACGTCGCTTCAGAGCGTTACTCAAAAAGCTTTGTTTCAATGAGAAAGGAGACAAGTGGTGAACCGGAAGCGTCTTCCTTGCCAACGGCCTCAGAAGTAGCAAATCTTCTAGAGGCTTGTCAAACAAGACCATCACGACGTCGCCATCCAAAAAACCTGTCGTCAACAAACAAATTTCCGTTGTACGACTTATCATCTTTAACGGACAAGGAATTGAGGCTAATTCTGGATTACTTAAGATTGCCATACAAGACCTCTGCTAATCGTGAAGTTTTAGAGAACATGGCTAACCAATACTGTCCCATGGTTGTTCTGTTACCAAATTTGGACAAGCAAGCGATAAATCAAAGTCGAAAATGTGGACAGTGTTCGAGTCAGCTTTGGTATATACAATTTTACTTTCCCTCCTTTACATCGTCGACATGTTTTTCCTGCAATAAAATATGTTGCGGTAATTGCCTAATAAAAACATACTGGAAAATCCCGTCTTCTGGATCGTTCGACTTGAGGACAATTTGTTCAGAATGCTTTGGGTCAATGAAGATCTACGAATCTCAGAGCTGGGTGGAACGTGGAAATTCTTTACTCGCAACTGATTCAAACATGACAGAAACTGTACTTGC